GTAGCAATGTCGACATCGAGAGCGGCAGAGAAGCCAATGAAGACGGGGTCGGCAACCTTGACAAGGCAGTTGTCAACGCAGTAGGCGTGGATGTGCTGGATGCCACGCTTTCGCATATCGTCGACAACACCAGAAAGAACAAGAGCATTGTAGAGACCACCGTTTCCATCAGGAGCAACAGCAACCTTGCCCTTGGTCTCGAGGAGAATCTTGCCATCGTTGGAGATGCAAGGCAGAACACCCTGCTCGAAGATCTTGACGTTCTCCTCGCTCAGGCCAAAGTAGTTGTTCTCCTGGAAGAACTTCTCGGTGGGGCCTCGAGTAGGGCCACTGGTCATGACGTACCAGGGAACAACGGCGTTTGAGCCCTTCTTAGCAGCAAGCTCCTGAATCTTGACGATTCGCTCACCCTGAAGCTGGAAAAGAGACTTGTGGGAGGGAAGGCCAATGTCGTAGCAGCCCTTGGGGGCAGAGCTACCCAGACGAGTACCCTGGCCACCAGCCATGAGGACAACGGCGACCTGACCCTTAGAGATGAGGTCAAGACCGGAATCGTACCACTTGGCAATATCATCGGCACTGGAATCGAGGATACTGGCGGTGGCAGATTCGGGAAGAGGCTCGAGGCGGTCGGGCTCATCGCTGGTCTTGGGAGGGTTCAATGCGCGGTGTGTGATGTCGTTGATGTGGGAAGGGTCGAAGCCAGAAAGCTGCTGGTACAGAGTTCCTCGCTCGGCGGAGGACAGAGAGTCGTAGAAGGTGAAGACTTGCTCCTGGCCGGCCTTTGTGTACTTCTCCTTGAGCTCGTTGAGAGCCTCGGGAGTAGGCTCAGCAGGGGCGTCAGAGCCCTTGCCAAGGTGAAGCGCTTGCTTGATGGCCTCCATTGTGATGTGATGTATAAGTGGTTTTTTGGGGGGTTGCGGTGAGAGCGATCGAAGCTTGTAGACGAGTGTTTGTCTAGAAGCTAACAAAAGACAGAAGATGGGAGAGATGGGGAATGAGTTGGAGAGAAAAGAGAAAAAGAGGAATGAAGTTGGAACAATGGGGGTGGGAGATGGGAGCTAAATACGAGAGGAAGAAAGTCGATCTCGGAAAGAACCTTACACAAGACCAGTAGATGGTCTTCGACTTTCCTTGTGGTTCTTGATGTCGTACTTTCCCTTTCCCTAGCAACGTACCTCCCAACACGTTTACTTAGCTTACCTCTTTCTTACTACGCTCTTACCTTACCTTACCTGTAACGTCGTTTACTTCACCGTACCTTGCTTGCTTAGAGCTCCCCCCCAACGCTGATGCCCCTCAGCTGCCCCGCCGACTCTAGGTCCAATTGAGCTTGGCCGCCAATTGGAGGAGGCGATGAGCGGATGAGGGGCCATCGATCCTCTTCCTACCTCATGCCTGGTGCTGGTGCTGATGCAGAGGCTTTGCTGAGTGCCATAGCGCCCATGTTGTTATGCTGGCACCTCCTATTCGATCATTCATGATATGTTTCATGCTACATGAATGCGTACGTCAGCTCAGCAAAATAGGACAGATAATCAGAGAGATAGAGAGAGAAAGAGGCCCTAGGATAAACATACTAAGTTATGGTGTCTCAATTGTATTTCAGACATCGTATTCATAGCTCTCAAGAAAGAACAGATCCATACAATTTCTTCAGGGACCAGCAGGGTTCGGGTTCTTCAAGTTGTCTCACTACCCCACCATGACATTGAGATGAGGCCTGAAGCAGGGCTACAGTGTGGCTGTGGCGGCTGACTGAGATTGTCCATGTCATTGGATGGATCAAATATGCTGAAAATAGCATCACATCGAATGCTGGGACACACCCGGGCATAGAGCTCCTACAACAATTACGGCTCTGTGGCGAATGACTCAGAACAATCTTCACGCCATGCTCATTGAGACGAGTCTTCCATTATGAAATTAATACCAAGACCAAGTCGATTTAATCCTATTTCCACGGTCATATACCAACAATGCCAAAGACGGTCTCCGAACTGTCTTAGAACCATCTACGCGTCGTACTTCATATCCAACGTACTTTTTTACTTACATTAACAGGCGAGACATCATGACGAGAGGCAAAGACACACAAGACGCTCACATCCAAGAAAACGTCGCTGATGAAGAAACAAACGACGGAAATGATGTCCCAAGCTCACCACCCCAGCCAGCTACCTTTAAAGGGCGTCTTCAAATGAGTGACTTCATGTTCAAGTCAACTGAGTCTACAGGCAAGGGAGAACCCCCTATTCGAAGATCACCACGATTCAATCCATCAACGTCTTCTGCCATAGCGGCGCCTACACCAGTAACTACAGTAAAGAGGACGAAAAAGAGGGAAGCGGAAGAGAAGGAGAATGACAAGCCAAAGAAGAAACGAGCACGCCCCAGTTCTGGATACGCGCCACCCTCAACGTACGCCCATCTCCCTGGTCTGCCAGATGCCATTGCCGACAACCTCCTCGTTCTGTTTATCGGTCTAAACCCGGGAATACAAACGGCAAGAACTGGGCATGCCTATGCTCATCCATCAAATTTATTTTGGAAACTTCTCTTCTCAAGTGGTCTTACTCCACGTCTCTGCAGCCCGACAGAGGATCGTCAGCTCCCCGAGATGTACTCAATGGGATTTACCAACATTGTTGCCCGACCAAGCCGCAACGGGTCTGAGCTTAGCAAGCAGGAGATGGACGAAGGTGTTGAGATTCTTCACGAAAAGTGTCGCAAGTACCGTCCCGAGTCTGTATGTGTTGTTGGCAAAAGCATCTGGGAAAGTATTTGGCGCGTGAGGCATGGCAAGCCTGTTGGAAAAGCTTTCAAGTATGGCTGGCAGGATCAATCGGAGAACATGGGCGTCATTGAGGGTGAATGGGAGGGATCCAAAGTGTTTGTGTCGAGTAGCACAAGTGGTCTTGCCGCTACGTTGTCGCCGGTTGAGAAAGAACGAATATGGGCAGAAATTGGAACATGGGCAAAGAAACGCAGGGCTGAAAGGGAGCTCGAGAAAAAAGGCAACAATTGATAGAGTAAACTTAGGATCGTATATGTTTGCTGAGCCAGGCGCTTACTTCTCTACAGGATAACATTTGACAATAATAGTGATTGGTTCTTATATGTTATGTTGTCTTACTCGTCTAGTTTCGACTTTTGACATGCCCGGCCCTTCTTACAGTTCAAAGAAAATCTTCCCAACTCCATTACGCCAGAAGCCAAAGCGTCTACAGAGCCCAGCTTTTACTTGCATCGCTTCTCAACCACATTAGGACCATTCTCCTCATACTCCTTTCGCGAGATCCACATCTGGTGGAATGTGCCCAAGCTGGCAAGGATGCTGCCACCGATCCAGGCACCGAATCGTCGCTCGCTCGTAAGACCTGCGGCGTGGATCTTGATCTTGAGACCCGGGTACATGGCCATCAGTTCGGTATTCAGGCGGTCGTTAAATCCGTTGATCAAGCTAGTGCTGCCGGTTACAACGACATTAGCGAGTAGGTTGCCACGAAGATCGACATCAACCGCGTTAAGAGCGGCACGGATGAGCTCGGGAATAGTTTGTGTCTTGTTGAGGCGGTCAGCCTCGGGGATGGGGTATCCAGCATTCTCATCCCACATGCCCTCCGTCACTCGGAATCGCTGCTCGCGCCACATTTGGTTGTAGCCGTCGGGCATCTCAAATACACGGCCTGGTTGTGTCTTGACATACTCCTCATTGCCGGGAACACTGTAACGGCCAGGGCCACGCCAGACCTCTACCACGGACTCTTTGAATTCCGTCAACACACGCTCCTCTTCGTAGGCGCGGAAAGAATCTGTAATCGAGTAGGGGAAGCTTCGTAGTCGGACTGAAGGAGGTGACAGAGCATCGACTGGTGTCTTGTTCTCAATCATGAATGTGGGCGTCAGGTCGACCTGGGGCTCTGATGTCTCGAAAAGAGATCGAATCTGAGAAGAGAGCCAAATGCCGCCAACAGGAGACTTTTGGATGGAGCGCTTCAGAACCATGCCATCGTGAATAGCAGTGACTGAGGTGTTGGCGCCACCAACATCAATGACCAGTGACGTGGCCTTTCCAGCAGCAAATGCTGCCAACACAGGGGTGCGGCTCATCCAGAAAGCAGGGCAACCCCAATTCTCCATGATAATCTCAATAGCCTTCTCACGAGCCTTGGGCGTGTTCCAAGGTGCTTCAGTGACCAAGAGAGGGTTCTCGCCCAAGGGCTTCTCCATCGACTCGGCTTCGGCGTCGTCCATAGCTATATCACCCTCTCCATCTTGACCTTTCGGCCTGGGGTCGTCGTTGAGACCATTCTTCGAGGGAGGTGTCTGTCGTTCGGGTTGGAGTCGCTTCACGAGCATGTTCTCCCAAATTCGAGCTGCAACATCCCAATCTTCCACGACGCTGTCCTTGTTCATGTAGTTGCGGACTTCGTAGTTCTCGCGAGGGACGAGGCACTCATCGCCAAAGAGATCGCGGGAGTTGTCGCCGGTTACATGGCCGTAGAATGACGGCAAGATACTCTTGGGAACGTCTTCGCCAGCGAATCCCGCCCGAGTTGAGCAGTATCCGGGGTCGAGAACAAGTGCGGAAACCTCATCTATGTTAACATCAAGTTAGTGGAGATCCTTATGGCGGGCTGACGCGACATGGGGGAGCTAAAGCAGCGCGTACCTCCTCCGTAGATGTCGGTAGGCTGCACCGACGAGGAAAGTGGTTGTTGGGCCATTATTAAAGCTGTGAAAGAAAAAGTCGCTGTTCGGAAATGGTGGAGGTCAATTGAATGATTCGGCGCAGAAGATCGCGAGGATGTTCGCGTTGGAACAAAATTCAGCCTTGAGTTAGAGTGATTGGGAAGAAAGAGCAGACGCCACATTATGTCGAGGCTGAACTGTGGCCGTGCGGAACCCCCACCGGACCGCGGGTCAACTTCGGTGGGGCAGGCTTGCTATAAAATTTCGCAGATGGCCTCTCAGAATATTTTCTCTTTCCTTCACACATGGAGCGCGAGTTCCATGCTATAATCATGATTGTAAGTACACAACTTTTGCTACACAACCCTCTTTTCCTTTGCCTATATGATGAGCTCGCATATCTCGCTTCAGAACCGCTGCGATTGACACAGTTCGCTGTGACTGATTTAAACTGCCAATTCTCTGACCCTAGTGCATTGCATTTCTTCACTATATCTTCACTTAGCTGTCGAAGCATTGCTAACTGAATTAATAGAAGGTATGATGTCTATACGATATTTGCGCCAGGCCGGTAGGCCTTTAATACAGTCAATCTCCCTAGCTTCAAGTGCTCGTTACTTGCAAGCATCAAACTGTGGTGGCTCCTTGACGAGAACAGCATGGAGCCCACAGAGTGTGGCAAGCGGGAGGTGTCTAGCTACCTCTGTTGCTAGATATGAAGATAGCGTTTCACCTTTCAAGCAACAGCGCCGGACTGAGCTTTGGGCGGAGCAAGAGGAAGAGGATCCCCTCTTCACAGAGACACATCCTCGCCTCGTGAACCGAGCAACGCGAATGTCGGTGCCAGGCTTCTATGAAGCTTTCAACAATAGTCATGATGATTCTAAGGATGTCACCGTCTGCGGCCGTATCCGATCTAAGCGAGTTGTAGGAAAGAACCTCATCTTCATCGATATTGTGAATGAGTTTACGCGCCTACAAGTTATGGTCAACCGGTCAAAGTGCATGGTGGATGAAGAGGACAGAAGATTAAAGTTCGGATTGTTCAGAAGTTTAATAGAAGTGGGCGACCACATATGTAGGATCCCTAATGCTTATCCTGTTGTATCCCAGATGCTTACAGTCTGGCAGCGATCACTGGTATCCCGACTCGTACTAAGGCCGGTGAGCTCACCATTGAGGCCAAGGCTCTCCCCGAGCTCTTGTCTCCTACTATGGAGCAGATTCCCGAGAAGCTCACGGATCCCAAGACGAGAATGCAAGAGCGCCATGTTGATATGTTGGTGAACCGTGAGGCGATCGACGTCTTGCGTCTTCGTGCCGAGATCACAAAGTACATGCGCGATTACTTCCACTCCAAACGATTCCTTGAGTTCCAAACCCCGATCCTGGCTCAGAATGCTGGCGGTGCCGTTGCTCGTCCCTTTGTGACCAGGGCCACCGAGTTCAAGGACAAGGACCTGGCACTCCGTATTGCACCTGAGTTGTGGCTCAAGCGTCTCGTCATCGGAGGTGTTGATAAGGTCTTTGAGATTGGTCCTTCGTTCCGCAATGAAGGCGTCGACGCCACACACAACCCCGAGTTCACCATGTGCGAGTTCTACAGCGCATATACCAACTTGGAAGACCTGATCAAGGAGACTGAGGAGATTTTGTGCGGCCTTGCTCAGCACTCTCAAGATCTTATCTCCACTGAGCTGACAGCCCTTCCTCCCATTGACATGTCTCGCTTTGTCCGCCCCTTCAAACGAGTTGAGTTTGTTCCGGCACTCCAGGAAGCTCTTGGACTGCGTCTGCCTAAGCTCTCATCACCACATGCTTTACCAGAGGTGCTCGCCATCTTGAAGCTCGCTAACATCCAGGTCCCTGGTGAAGTGCCTACATCATTGGCCAAGCTGCTTGATCGTTTGGCTGCCATCTATTTGGAACCCATGTCCTTCACGGAGCCCGTTCTTATTATGAACCACCCTGCTTGCATGTCACCACTGGCAAAGAGCTTCGTATGCCCCGAGACTTTCCAGCTCGTCTCTGCTCGAGCAGAGCTTTTCATCGGTGGTCGCGAGTTGGCCAACATGTATGAAGAGGAGAACGATCCAGAAGCCCAGAGGCGCAAGTTGTTTGAACATCGACATCTCGTCAACAAGGATGATGGCAGCATTGCTATTGAGCTTCCCGAGACACCAGAAGGGGAAATAGTTATCCAGGAATCACAGGACGAGCCTTTTGAAGACGAAGATGGCGATGCGGCTCCTCTGGACCAGAGCTTTGTCAAGGCCCTTGACTATGGCCTGCCTCCTACCGGTGGCTGGGGATGCGGTATCGAGCGTATGGTGATGTTGTTCTCTGGTGCCAGCCGAATCAGTGACTGCCTCAGCTTCGGTACCATAAGAAACGTGGTTGGACTCTCCGCGACCGAAGAAAACAAGAAGGACAGTTCCGAGGAACACAAGGCCGATGAGGAAGAAAAGAAAACGGGCATCGAGGGCCAATAAATCTTGACACTTGTACGAATAGTAGACCCTAATCATGGGAACGATGTATGATGATAGCATTGTATAATACTGTAGCAATAGCTACACCAAAAGGCCTTGAAGAGAACAAGAAGCAATTTGTCTCATTCCACCAGTACCAAATTACCCACTTGTTGGACAATGGCTAGCACATGGCGAAAGTGAACCGTCACTTGCGTTGATGTTATTTGGCACACTTAAAATATGTACGAAGAAGAAATAACACTATCTAAATCAAGACAAAAAAACAAGTCTAGGAAACTTCAGATGTCTTCCACCTAGGCCACAAGTTGGAACAAGCTGCTGCCTTTCTTGGGAGAAGACATCTCCTTGACCCAAGACTGAACAGTCTCATCACTTAACGACGAGCCAAAGTCAAAGCTATCGGGCAGCTGCTTGATAGCAACGCTCGAGGTTCGCTCGCAAAAGACAACGGCGACCTTGATGTACTTGTCAGCAGGACGCTTGAAGTAGTCGGAGCTTCCAGCGCCGTTGTTCATGTGGAAAGTGCTCTTGCACTTGTCATCACCCGAAGCGAGGACTTCGTAGATGTCAACCTCACCACAGCCAGTCTTCCAGCAGCTGCACTCGCTGTACTGACCAGTGCGGGGGATACGGCCATTGAGGGCCCAGAGGGCGGGCATGTCGCCGTTGAAACCGTTGTCGCCGTCAAAAGGCATCTTGAACTGGAAGAGGAAGATCTTGTTGGAACCGGAGAATCCCTCTGCTATGTGTCAGTGAACGTTAATAAAGGATTGGCCAAGGGAGACATACTGTATGCGACGTCTTGAGCACGAGAGTAGCCGCAGCTCTCATCGCACTTCTCGGCACTCCAGATGGAGAATTCCTTGTTGGAGGGGATATAAATATGCTTCAGGACCTTGGGAGAGGAGGAGCCACCGGTTCCCTTGGCGTTGAGATAAGAGAGGGAGTTACCCCAGGTGCTATTAACTTGGTGAGCATTCGCCATATTTGAATAATGCTAGATCATTGTGAACTCACTTGTCAAAAACACCGGAACCCTCGCCACCATAGTTACCCAAGAACATGACATTGTCGGCAACTCGTTGCTGGGCGTTATAGTAAGAGGTACGCTTCCAGTTTCCTCCAGAAGAGCCAGAGTACGAGTTTGTCTTGGAATCATCATCCTTCTTGGGACTCTTGTCGGATTGCGAACCGGCCTTGGGAGCCTTCTTCTCTGCCTCCTCAGGCTTGGATGCAGTCTTGGATGCCTTGTTGGAAGGAGCACCGCCAACAGCGGGGGCAACCTGTGTAGCAGAGCCGCCGTACCAGTTGTTCTCCCAGGACACTACCTTTCCATCAATGGTGGCAGTAACCCAGTCTCCGCGCTTCTTCTTGCGCTGTTCGTGGAGATGACGATGGCCGTGGACATGGGGAGAGGGCGCAGTCTCGGTGTCACGCTTCTTCTTTCTCGAACCGAGGTTGTAAACGGCGAACTCCTTGAGCTTGAAGGGGCCACGAATGTGAACAGAGAGCTAACGGTCTTTTGTTAGATCTTACTCTTACTAGAGATATTGATGAGTGATTGTTGACTTACATCCTCACTAAGGGGTCCAAGAGCACCATCGTATGAGACGGACTCTCTCTGGCAAGATCCATCACCACCCATCTTGCTCACAGCCTGGTAGCTACCCTTACCAGAGAATCCTTGATAAAGGATCTCCTCAATGGCACCGCAGAACCAGTTACCGCCCTCGTTGACGGCGTTGCCAGTGCATTGTTGCGTAAGGGCCGAGGCAAGGCCAGCATAAGCCAAAAAGGAGACGTTGGAAAGCTTCATGGCGTTTTCAGTATCCAAGATATATCACCGCGGCTTGTAGATATTTTGAAACTTGTTTTCGAGTATCTTTGTTTCGTAATAGTAGTGCAAGGAGCGAATGCTTCGGTATGAACTGTCTTTCAAAGAATGGATCTCAAAAACATCGACAGTCTAGTCGGTTTTAAGGAACGATCAACAAAAGGAGTGTATAGCGGTTGTGAACCAAAGTGTTGTAAAGAGCGAATGATTTGTGTTTCAGCACCAACCTCGAGCAGGAACGTGAGTGACCAAAGTGAAGCTTCCATCCATCATGAGGGTGATGGCGATATTAAAGGAAAACCTCCCATAGTCTGGGCATCACGCAGGCCCATCTCCTCTTCCCAAAGGAGATTGAACGCCATCAACGCCTAGCTTGTCCCCAAGTCTGGGCGGTAGATCTTAATTCTGTTCCTGGCTCAACAGGACCTTTGAGTGACAACTCGGATGCCTCATTGGATGTTATTACCAGCTGTAGCCAAGATCGATAGTGGTGGTGGTGCGAGCATATTGTTTCAGGGCACAACGAGACCGGACTCTTGGCCAATCGAAGAGTTGAAATGACTTGTTTCCAATAGTTAATCAAGACGACGGCGTGACCTTGCTGAATTTGGCATGAAGCAATCACAAAGAGCCACGCTTTGGCGCGTAGGCGAATGGCGCAGCAGTCTTGGCTTCAAAGCAGCATTGTTTGGGAGCATTTGGTCTAAGGCCAAGAGTCTTGACTAGACGCCGAGATGCGCTATGTAAGATTAGACCTAACAGACAGTAGGGCATAGTTGAATATCTGATGTTGCTTCGATTCGTCTTGTGACTGTCTTTTTAAATACCTTGTCGACAATGAATATGTGTAACAAGATCTCGAGGTATTCAACCAAGTCTGAACAAGTGCTGTTCGCCTAAATACCAAAGCATGGCAGCATATATTGAGAATGTCTGATTAAGAAACCCATGAAAGAGAGGTTGGGGTAGGGTGTGATGACTAGGCGTAGCATCCCTGAGACACCAAGAAGCCGCGTCAAAGGCCAACGCTTGTCTTGTCTTGGCTTTTCTTGGCGGGTCCCCTATTTCGACTCCTAAAAACCAATGCAAATGACGATCATGTCTTTGTTATTTTAATGACAATGAATGTATTTCAGGAATGCCCACGTGCCGTCTGACGGAAATGCGCCATAATCGAAGAGGAGATGTTCCAGGAAATGCATTCACAACAATGGCTGAAACAGTCTTGACTGGCAATTGTCCATATTTCTTTGTAGTCACATGGGCGAAAGTTGAAAGAAAATTGAACCTCTGTGCTTATTCGTGAGCCGAGGTTTTCTGGTATTCTGCGTTTTGTATCGAAATCCAGAGACACTGTCGGTCTCTCCAATTATCTCCTGCTCTTCCTGGTATATAGGTGCTTTTTTTTAAAAAAAAAAAAAAAATTTTTTTACCATGACAAGTTGTCTAGTCATCAAAACCACCCCATTCTCCATCATCACCACTGTCATCGTTGGGCTGTAGTTTTCTCTTCTTGCTTCCCTCGATAGCACCAAGACGGTTGTTCTCCTTGCGTCTATCGTAACCACTCTTGGATGAGATCTTGGACTTTACACCGCTTCGTCGGGCCTCATTACCTCTCTCCTTGAGTTTCTTGCGGTCCGCCTTGCCAACATTTGGCAAAGCATCGAGCAGCCATTTTTGCACACCAGCCTCGTCTCCCGTCTTTCCAGCCTGCTTCTCGCTGACAGCAATCACGTTGGCAACCATCTTGACAAAAGGAATGTCTTCCTTGGTATAGAAGGTGACTGCGACGCCACCTTCGCGACCAGCACGACCTGTTCGTCCAGCGCGATGGACGTAGCCAGCGCTGGATCCAGGTACATCGTAGTTGACAACGCCGTTGACACCGGCAAAGTCCACACCTCGCGCTAGCACGTCTGTTGTGATCAAAATCCAAATGTCTCCGGCGCGGAACTTGCGCATGATGGAAGATCGAGCAGAGTCTGTGAGACCGCTATGCAGAGCAGCAATTCTTGCAGCGCCACCAGCCTCGAGAGGAATATCGTACTGCAACTCTTCATGCAGAGCAATCGCTCTGTCGATAGTTTGCGTAAAAACTAAGAAAGGGGGTCGTAGCGGGGGGCCCGAATCATCACTGGCTGTAGGGTGTAGCAATTGACGTAGGGCAAGTAGTTTACCTTGCTCCGATGCAGTGTAGATGAGCTTGTGAGCAATGTTTGGCACGGCTGTATCCTTGAGGCCAACGACCAACCGAACAAAGGGTTTGGGTGTGATATCCAACGACTGCGCCCTTGCAATCAACTTCTCTGTGACCATAGACTCGATGTTTGATCCCATGGTAGCAGACCAGAATGATACTCTGAGGTTGGTGTTTGTGCAAGCTGTCCAGTCAGCCATCGTGGCGTCCCGGAAAAGAGGGTCAAGGAGAACATCAGCCTCATCCAAAATCAAATCTCGCACAGTAGGAAGGACCTTTTGTGTGCTAGGAGGCCCAGAGGTGAGAAACTTGAATAGAAGGAAGGGTGTGGTGACCAGGATATCAGCCTTGGTGATCTGCTTGGGCTTGTCATCGGAAGGTTTCTCGTCGCCATCCTCTGATTCTGACTCCTTGTCCTCTTCGTCTTCAGAGCTGTCCTCTGCCATGTCTACCTGTTCGGCCGATAGTTGAGTGTGCTTCTTCATCGACACGACCCTAAGGCTGGTGCCCTTAGCCAATTTTTGACCTTCGCTGACGATCTGGTGCACCAGTTCTCGAGTCGGTGCAACAATAACTGCTTCAAGCTCATGGATGTCGCCGGCATTTTCTTCAGAGCGCCTGCGCAAGATATTGTTGATAGCAGGGATCAAGAAGCTGATAGTCTTTCCACTTCCTGTAGGAGCAATGGCCAGGAAGTCGACGCCTCCGTCCAATCCATCCTCGTCCTTCAATGCCGCTTGGGGGTGAACCAGAAGAGGCAAGCTACCCATTTGAACTTCAGTAGGAACTCGGTATCCTTGGAAAACAAGGTTGTCGGCGACCTTGTCCGAAAGACCGTAGGCATTTCGAAGCTCGCCGAAAGAGTCCAAGGGCTGTGGGAAAAGCTGCTTCTTGTCATCCTTCTTGACTTCGACGGCGGCCTTCTTCTGCTTCTTCTTGCTCTTCTTGACCTTGGACTGGTCTTCAGTCTTTGAGAGTAGAGTAATCTTGAGTCGATGCGATCGCAGGAGCTGGCGACACTCGTCCTCGCTCAATAATCGAGATGATCGTGTAGGTTTCAGCGCTTGGACAGGTTCTTCCACTTCGACGGGTGCTTCGGCGACGGGCTCAGGCTTGGGGGCAAAGAAGTCGACCTCGGGCAGGTCTACTTTAGCCTCGGGCTCGGGTTCATTCTTTGTTCGCTTTCGCTTCTGTCCGCGGACTTGATCGTGGTACAGCTGAGGGTTCGTGCTAGTGCCAGCAGAGGGAAGCTTCTGCTGAGGGTTGAAGGCATTTTGGGAGCCCTTTTGGGTCTTTTTGGTTCCTCGCGATAGGAGCTTTAGAATATCCATGGTGAATAGTATTGCGCTGATACGCGTGACAGGAGCAGCGAGCGTGGATTGTGCGATGCAGTGCGATTCGGAGGAAAATCTGCTAACAATTGGGAAATGGATTAAGAAATTTTAGTGGACCCATGTTGACTTGATGTAAATCGTAGGTCGGATAGTGGGGGTGGGGAATTGGTGTGGCGCAGTTACAGCCACAGTCGAGATCACCGCCACAACTCAACGGGTCGATCGTTAGGTGATCGATCAGCTACGTTAGTTAGTGGGCACCATGGCTTAGACGTTGCAAAACAGATCAACATCAGATGCGCTATATCGAAAATCCCCGAAATGTTGGAATCTGTGCACGTCTTTTTCTCGATAACATCTGGAACGACACTTCATGGTTGATCCCCCTGTTAAAAAAACGTTTTTATCCAATAGTCGAGGTCAAGATGATGAACTTAATGTCGATCTTCGTCATAATCATGTCCAACTTTTGCTGCACAAGGTTGACGTCACATCAGCAACCAGGATAGCCAGCAATCAGGATTTGGGAGGTTCGAAAACATGGAAATACATGAAACTTGGCTTTTCACAACAGGAATTTGTACTGTATGTCTGTATCTGTACCTTTTTATGACTTGCATTCCCCATTTCTTCTTTCTTTCCTCTAATCTGAACTGACCTGACCTACATTCAATCAACATCACCACATATACACTTACAAGTTACACCACAAAATACCGCCATTATGCCGACTATGCTTGGTCTCACCAACGACCGCTCTACTAACGGTCTCAATGCCAACGAGAGCAAGTTCGGGGGTCCCTCTAGCCAAAGGGGAATGGAACTCACCCCTAGTCAACAAAATGGCAGCATCGTTTCTGGCATTCAAGGATCCGATTTCTTCAACGGAGGCGGCAAGCAGCAAGAGCACGACCCGGATGAAGAATCAGACGAGGAGAACCTCAAGACAATCAAGGGTCGCAACCTCTCCGCTGTCAAGGAGATGGAGACTCTCCTCTGGCGCGCGCTCTGCGACAAGCCCAAGACGGCCCTCAAGTACATCGCCAAGGACGCCGTCATGTCCAACCGCTTCCTCTTTGGCGACCCCACGCCTCGCACCGCCGACTCTGATCCTTCTCTGGAAGAAGAAGTCAAGCACTGTGAAGAGTGGCTCGCCTACAAGATGCACGACCCTCAGCCCGTCGAGATCGGTCTCATGGCTGCCGCTATTGGATACAAGGTCACGCTATTCCGCCAGCTCGATCAAGGAGACGGAAACTTTGGTATGCAGACTGTCCAGGCCACCTGCTCTAGTTCCTGGAGACAGCTTGCCAGCGGAGACTGGGAGCTTACCAGTATGTTTGCCGGTTAATATAGTGGGTTGACAACTTGGACGATTGCATGAAATTGGATTGGCGTTAATAATGTATGGAGTAATGGCCTGGTGATTCGATGGACTATTATGAACTGAGATATATGTTGTTATATAAAAATATGAGGGTTATTTACCTGCCACTTATGTGCAGTATAATATACCTAAACAGATACTGATATTAAGCTTGTAATGGAATTTAACCCAAGACCTTGAGAGAAACTTTAATTAAGTAGCTAGCTTCTTTTAAAAGACTTTATAAAGTTTATAGTGATATGGCAAGTGCTTTTTCAGTCTTTAAAAGTTAATATAACTTGACCTTTCTAGTATAAACCTAATAATCCAATAATAATAATAGGTAATAATAGGGTCAGTAAGGCTATAAAGCTATATAATATAAGATCTCAGTAGAAACTTTATATCCTTATAAGTTCTATATATAGTAAAATAAGCAGTAAGCTTTAATCATATAACTCTTAAAAGTAATAAAAGGTAATTCAAATACTTAAGCTATAATTAGCTATTTTTAATTAATTAGATTTAATAAAGTTATAAGAGCTGTTAAAATAAATTAGCATCTAGTAAATATATTAGCAAGTATAAAGTTAAGTAGTAAAATTCACATTTATTACCTCTGGGGGCTATGAAGTATATTTATTCTACGAGTATTCTGTTATACCTATATAAGGCTTGAAACACTGTTCATTCCCATGCTCATTATTGTAACCTCGTCATTCTTTCTTTTTGCTTTCTTCGGCTTCTTAATTATACCAGCTTATTAATCGTCCATGATAGGCTTGATGCTGATCTCATAGTCCAACAGTTTCCCCGTGCACTTGGCGTCGCTAATACCGCTCTCGATGTACCGTATAAACTCGTCACGGATATTTCCAAACACATCTTCATTGTATAGGTGTACCTACCGCAGATGAGTGATTGGTCCGTACTTTAGTATGAACAGCCCTGAGATCTGGTCTTTGTCCTTCAGCGGCAGGGCCACAACGAATTCTCTCAGTGACATTGTGAAGAAGTCAAAGGAGGAAATGTTATTGATCCTGTTGGTGTGGCTGTTCGAGTGACGTAGCGAAAACGAGAACCATATGGGTGTGGTAGTTCCCTTGGCGTGATTACGGAGATGGCTGTCGAGAACGTGCTTGACATGCTCCGAGTCGAAGTTGAGTTTATTCTCTGGGAACAGACCCTTCTCTGAGGCCATGGGAATCTTGACGACGCTCTGGTATGGGTTCTTGTTCAGCGACGAGTCTGTGAATGCCTTCTTATAAGGCAACTCGTCTGCCTTGTCTGTTTTGTCTCCGATTGCTCGCCCTGGGTCGTCTTTGTTGTCTATAACATGATCGATGGGGAGGTCGGTATTTTTGATAGGAAGGGGGGTTTGGTGAAGAAAATGTTCGAATAACTATCATCAGATATGCCATCTGGCGTAAAATCCGTAGTCTTCGTTTCTAAACGTGCTGACGATTCTGAAGGTTCTGAAGGTTTTGAAGGTTCTAAAGGGACAAAAGCATCTTGAAAGACAGGCGGTGTGTAAGTTTGCTCTGGCACATACATCGGCGAATCGAGCCTCGATCGGAAGCGGGATACTGCATTAACTTTGGTCTTTTCCGACGGTATATACCCGCTTTCGGAGTCTCAGTTTCTTTCTCAAATACTGGACGGTAGGGATTGTAGGGGGAACTTGTGACCTTCTCCCGCAGCGGCTTGCAAAAGATTGTGTCCTGGACGTCACTAGAGCTAGGTCTTTCTGGGGCAGAGTCTTCTGGTGGGTTACTTTGAATATTCTCTGCGACGTCTCTGGGATTATTCTCTTCTAGAGTTTGAGGTACAGCATGCTCAGCATTTGCAGCCGCAGGCAGGTCGCCCGGAAGGCCATCACACTCGAGATTGAAAGCATCCTGCTTGGTCTCGCTACTGTTGCAGTCCACGAGTTGATCACGGATATGCTCGTCGTCTGATACAAACAAGTTCTCTTCTTCTCCTGTTTGGTTACTAGGTAATCCGACACTGGAGTCTGGGGCATCTAGACGAAGACTCTTTGCGCGGCTTTAAGCTGGGGGGGATTCTGCTTCAGCTGGGCGTTTTGGGCTTTGTTTGGGAAGGAAAATTTCCTGTTGAGGCATCATGTTTTGCTCAATTCCAGAACCATCTGTAACGGGTTCACTGAAATGAACAAGTAAGCAAATGAATCTCAATCAATCGTTCCCCAGACTGGCTTACCTCTTGAGAATACGATCAGGGGAGGACCCTGAGACGAAACGAGGAAGAACATCATCAGACAGATCGTCAATGTCTAGCAATTGGTTTACTCTTTGTTAGCTTGATAGACAAGTTTACTGTGTACTTTACCTTTATCCCTGTGTAACATCATGCAGATCTTAATAAGTTTCTATCAAATTTAATGCATCAGTCGACAGTCTATCCAAGTTTTGACATGTTCAACTCAAAGACTAGCTAATCGTATGGTTGTAAGAATAAAATTTCTATATAAAATCTATGGCCCCCACGTTTTAACCGTCAAGTTCCAAACTTCAATTACTACACAGAACCATGAGCAACAATCTACTAATAGTCATTCGAAATAATACAGCCAACCATATAAGATGAAATACCTCTGTGCAAAACGCTACAAAAATTATATTTGATGGTTACTAAAGTAGCTAAGAAAGGAGAAATAATAACAATGAGCAGACTGAGCAAGATACATAGTTAAAAATACAATCCAAGAGAAAAGAAGGAGACAAATAAAGAAACAGCCCCTTCAAACCGTGAAAGGCTCATTTGAAAAGTAGAGGGAATACTTGGCCCTTCGCCTCTGCGCCATCGAGGTTGAAGCAGCACGCCGATGCTGCTTTGCAATATGATCCAGCCATTGTTCTTTCAAGGAACAAAAGTCATCTTCGCCGTCTATATTCCTTTCGAGTCTCTCTGCCCAATCGTGCGCACGACTCCTGAATCTAAGATGGAGTGTTGCAGAGTCGTCCAGTCCTGCTTCTCGAAACATGTCTGCGAGAGACATTTGGAAGAATGATGTGGGAAATCTTTGAGTCACCCACGTCACAGTATCTTCCATGTTGGTCGTATGGATCAACTCGCAACTGTCAAGAGCTTGTTGCTCTTGATCGCCGATGACAATACTAAAGTCTTGCTGCTCTTGCTCTTGCTCACCACTTCCTCCGGAGCTGTTCGTAATATTCGGATGAACTACCTGAGGAGCACTCGTCTCTGTCCTTGGAGTAGATTCTTCAACCACGTCTCGCTCCCTGCTTGGACCAGCCTCAACCACAGCAGCCTGTCTTGTGGGTAAAGCAGGCTGTTTCCCCTGCGCTCTGGCAGAGAGGCCAGTCGCGACACGAGGTTGTTCCTCAACACCTACAGCTGTTTCCATGACTGCAGCTTCTTCCACTGCTTGTCGAGCTGCTGCTTCTCTTGCAGCCTGCGCAGATGTCTGCTCACCGGTTGATCCCCTAGGAGCGGCAGGGTCTCTACAATGAGACGATAGCTCCTGCGGAACTTGGCCATTAGCTTTGCCTTTACTCTGTTGGCGTTGCCCAGTCTCATTGTCGGAGTTGAAAACCGCCATCATTTGCTCCTCTGTGGCACTATCTTGATTGACTCTCGGTTTCCTCCGTCGATCAGAGGACCGCCGGGTCGTGGAAGCATCATCGGCGTTTTTTTTGGCCTTCTTTCCTTTATTGGATGGGTGAGTAGGTTGCCCAGAAGATGCTGCTTTGTTCCTCGGGCACTTGGCTTGATGATTGTTGTCGTTCGAACTCGCTTCGGCTGGTCGTTTACTTGTCTGTTGCCCCTGCACATGTCAGCCTTAATGTCAAAATGGGTCATTGACGTGAAACTTGCAACGCTTGCAGCTACAGGTGGGCTATTGGGTACCTCCCACGGGTCATCGCCATGCATCCTGGCTTCTGGTGCAGCTTGATGGTTATCTGCAGCATCAGTCGGTTGGCAGCCAAGCATGTCAGGGGCGAAAAGTGACGAGGAGAATGGCTCGGAACTGGAGGGCTCGTCTAGCGAATCCTCAGCTGGTACAAATGCGTCAAAACGTATCGATCTGCCCACGAAAGGATCATTGTCTCTGGATATATTGTTAGAGAGACAGTTGAGCTTATGACAGTGAGCTTACCTAGATGGACCAATAGCACTTGTAGTTGACTGCATAGTCTCAAGATCGATAGGATCCTCGGCACTATTGCCCCTGAGATGAGTCGTGTTATCTGAAAGGGGGTGCTTGGTGTCGCCTGGGTTGTCTTCTGACCGGCAAGACGTGTCGGTAGACTGTGATAGGAGCGGAAGTGTCGTGAATGCGATTTTGTGTCGCTTGTACTCGCGAGCTGCCCGCCAAAAGACCTTGGTCATAAAACTACGGATTCTGTTCACAATGATGTTAGTTGTGCTTCTCAACGACAAGGCAGATTCGCACTAACTTGGCAGAATCTTTCCAGTATTGCAGCGGTTGGGTGGTATCAGGGACGTCTCTCTGCGGCCAGAACTCAAACCCTTTCCCCTGGACTTCAAGAAAGTCTTTGGTCACCTCCAAAAGGCCTCGCTGATGTGCAGTATTCTTCCACTTGGTAAACTTGTACGCTGGGGTGCTGTCACTGCTCGACACAAATGTTTTGATCTGTGTGCGAATGGCCCTTTTAAAGGCAATGTCTCGTTCTTCGCCTCGAGTGCCGTAGCCCAACTCCTTACGAAGATGAGTAAGAGAGGGGATGGAGCAGGTCTTTGTCGTCTTGAAGATTCTTTCGCCTGGTCTGCGAGAAGGTGTCTTAGGGATTCTGGCTGAGTCCATGTTGTTGTGTTATTGTTGAGTTAGGGCATACGATTTATATATTGGTGAAAGCACTTTTCTATGTTTATCTTGGTAGGTTTTATGTGTGTTTGTAGCCTGCTTTCTGGGTTAGGTACGACTTGGAGCACACCCTTTTCGAGCGACGGCATTTCAACCAGAGTGCCGTAGCTCTGACAAGGGTTTGTTTGAAGCCTTCTGCTTGATCAAGGCCCCCGTAAAGGGAACAACACACTCTGTGGTTTCGTTGAGTTGAAGTGGCCAGGCTACCGAGAGGCTTGCCAAAGAGTTACCCCTGAATAAATCGCGGGCATCTCGCAGGACCTTGGCATGACCGCGGGCACCATGAAGCTCCCTGACTGCTTGACGAGGTAGATCTTAAAGATTCCCGTATCTTCTCCAATGACAACTTGTTGCAGTCCCGCTTTGGTAGTCAGAAAGTCCCTCTGTGAAGCCTGATGGTAAGTCGCATATCTCAGAGTTCCCCATCGTCTTATAAGGCTATCGAAAACTACACTCTCAGCAAAGAGGGACTTCTCGGCAGGCCTCCCAATTTCTCGCAGACTCAATTGCACTTTTATCGAAACAGTTATCTCATTTTAAGCACCACGCACAGTGATCAGATTTTCACGATGTCTATTCGAGTACATGTCTTGTAAGCGCTCTGGACTGACTAGGATGTACAGATGTTTGGGACCAACATGCATAACAGAAACCAGCCACAACAGGGGCCCTTGACTTCTACTTTGAAATGTACAAAAAACTCGACTCATAATCGCTTGCCGATTAAATGTGTGAGTGGTTCTGCATATCGTTGCGGGCTGAGAAGTCCTGGCCTGGTCGGTCGATGGCATCGAATGTAGTTTGTAAGTGTTGAAGGCATTCTACTCCAATCGGAATCTCTCCTGTTTCCTCTGAAAGAGAAAAGAGGCAACGTCTCACTCCAGGCTGAACTTTTCTGGTGGATGTATGCTTTATTGGCGATCATAAACCTTGTTCCGGATAGCAACCCCAGAGATAGAATACGGATACACCCACCATCTAGATCGATGCCTCTATTCCATAGCCTTCCAGCATCATTTTGAGCCTCAATGGTTTGCAATTTTACCAAGAGGCGTAGTAAGGCAATCATTTTTAATTTCCCTGAGGCCTCAAGATGTTGTTCACCGTCTTTCTCCTAAAGAATTCTCATCCTATTCCCAGTCTGCCGTTGCTTTTGTTGAAGCACAGATCAACTCAACGTACGATTATCTGCACCGTTGAGTGTCTTTGCACTACAAAACGGTCCTGTCTCATCTCAAGTAATGAAAGAAATTCACGGCCAAGATACCATCACGTAGCAACAAAATTATGACCCAGTTTTTTTGTTTCGAAGTCCTATTGTGCCGCAGGCGATAACTCGTAACTATCGCCAGTTAAGCTCTCTTTGCACTCGTGCTATGCCTTGTAGGTAAACTCAACGGTAGCTACATCGCGAGAAAACACATAGTGCAAAAACAACAACCATATATATCCTCACCAGAAAAAGCAAAAACATAAGGTCTCGGAGGGAGTCGAATCCTCGCTATCAGAATCAGAATCCGCAGTCATAACCCGTGAGTTTTGTGTGACGGACGGTTGTGACTTTTTGAATAACGGTCTCAGATATGAGTAAAATTCGAATAATATCATGGTGGCTTATAATTGTGAATCCTCAGGGATGAAACTCTCGAGTGATTATAACTTTTTAGATCATCCTTTGCCGTTGTCTTAATGGAATGATGTGCATAAATCCATAGTGAATTATGCATAGTGATATTCCGTGTAATACGGAAGTGTACGGAAGTCCATAAACCAACTTGCAACAAGTTTACATACATCACTCTTGGCTCTTCGATTACCCTACAACATTTACAAGTTCAAATGTCCAGCATAAGAGAAGCACCCAAACCGCGAACCAGTCCACGTACAACTGAAGACGACGGTACTTGGTTATCGTCTGAAGGTTCATATCTGAATCTAATCAAGCAAAGCTGCACTCGTCAGCCAAATTTAGAGCTGCCAGATGGAAGAAACCGTGCAGTTTTACTATGCAACAGACAGAATATTCGCGCCTCATTCTTCGAATTAGAGACTGAGAATCAAATCTCACCACCAACAGAGTTCCCTAGTTTTGTAGACCTACAGGAACATTTTAAAGATCCTCGACCCAATGCTTGTCGTCGCATTTATCTCGTCGAAGGACTCAACCCACAAGTCGTAGCTCTCTTGGGCGAAAGTCTTAACATAGATCCCATCTTTTTTGTCACACACGAGCGAACATCAACCTATCTCCGATGGCCGTACGAGCCCAACCTGGCTCCATGCTTACCTTCACTTATAGACGGGAGTCAATCCTTCACAGCCAACTACTACGATATCAGAGCTCTGAGTGAACAGCTCGGCACATTTAGTGTCGCATGCGCAGAGTCTGGAAGAGATGCACTGAGGACGAAACTTGGCAAGGAATGGGAGCCTACTGTCATCCTTCACAGAAAATGCTCCTTCTGGAAAACAACATTTACTAATGAGAACGACTGGACTGGTAAGTTTCACTATTCTTTCTTGTTTCATGAGTTAATATCTCAAGCTTTAATTCTTTGTGATCCGCCTTTCCGACAGGCTCATATATGGCAAAAGCCATCTTTCACCCAAGATCCATGGTCCTTAAAGACTATCCGTTTCTCAGCGCCACCGTTCCAAGGAGGATATGCCGACTTTATTCCTCACCCATGGACTATAAATAGAGCATCTGGTCCTCCTAGGGACAGTCTCTATGATGATATGGTTCACTACTTGACGGAATATCACAATGATATATCGACCAAACTGTCTGGACTAGACATTACTGTTTTTGCCAAAAAGATCATTGCCTCCCATTTTCTGCTTCTCATAGAGTACCACGAAGCTCTCCTCTCGACCATGGCATTTCCGCTCCAGCGAAAAGACAATTTCGCCAATATCGAAACAACATCACTCGAAAGTTCATGGAGTAACATTCAGCAGCTCTGTAGTCGAATCGACAGATATATCAAGGATGTATCGCACATAATGTTGCAATTACATATATCATTTGACGACCCATGCGTGCCAAGCACAGCTACCAACTCCTACACCAAATGGGCCCAGAGCGAATCCGACTTTCAGTACATTTACATGAAATTACAATCCCTCAGAGAAAGGTCAGAATTCTTGAGTTCTTCACTTACAGGTGTGACGGGTATCAATGGAGCTGCGAGGTCTATTCGTGAAGCCAAGACCATCAAGACTTTTACCATTGTGGCACTCATTTTCATTCCTCTTTCTTTTTCGACGAGTTTATTTAGCATGTCAGATCGCTATTTACCTGGAGAAAAGAACTTTGGGGTTTTCTTTGCCGTTGCACTTCCGTTGGTTGTATTCATTTTTGTTGCCATATTGCTTTTTGATCTGGGTTATAATGAGAACAGTAGCTGGCGCTTAGAGACGTTTACAACTAGAATATGGAGATCCTGGTTCTAGGCAAGACTCGGATATCATCTAATCATCATCAACATAACCCTCCTCATCTCGCCCTTGTCCATACAAAACCTCACAAACTCCCGCCAGCGGAATATCCATCACCGCATCTGTGCCCTCGCTCCAAATCTCCCTCCATCTTAATCTCCCATCCGCCTGAACCTTTCTCTCCCTGTTCCTGCTCCCCTTCAGTCTCCCTTTGGCATCAATCTCTGCCAACTTTCCTGCTCCATCAACCACCGTCTCCACGCTCGACAGCGGCACTGTGAGCATTTCCGTGTTGTACGCCGCGAGCGCTACGTAAATATACACGACTGTCATGACTATGAATGCTGGGATGGCGAGCGCCCACCACCTGTTGGGGTAGTATTCAATACCCAGAGCTTGGAGAAAGGGAGACGGGAGGTAGCCCCAGAGGAGATAAATGAGAAACGTCAGGCTGCTGAAGAGATACAGTACGAAGCCATAGTACTCGTACGTGGGCACCTTTGGCGCTGCGCGAGGCACGGGCGCGATTGCGTCGTCGTCGGATGCATCTGGCGTTGTTGGACGTGAAGGGCGAAGTAGAGAAGTGAGTGATGGTGAAGGGGGTAAAGGCGTAGGTGGTCGCCCGTAAAATGGAGGTGCGAATAGATTTTGTGATAGTTGACGTGGAGGAGAGTCTTCTTCCGAGGAACCTTCCGATTGAGCATCTGAGAGAATCTCATCCTCTTCATCAGAGCTGAAAGACATATTTAATGCGGTGAATGTGGCTCTGATTTGTGAAAAGGAGATGTCTATTTGAGGTTCAAAATGTGACGTTTGAGATGAGTTGAGTTAAGGCCAGGTACCGCCCTGCCACTGCGCGGATCACTAAAACATTTATTCTAGCGGCTCTTTTAGCACTCGACCCTGAAATGTCAACGGTTTAACATCACATTTATAAAATGTATAGGATAAATAATTTACACTATTATAATTTCCTCTTATTAAGTATTATAGACTATTGCTCATCAAACCACAGTCAGCTACATGACACAATCCGACTGCACTCAAATTCATCATCATTAATCCCATCTTTAATCTCTATCTATACACTTTGTACAATAAAGCCTTCTCTTGATAATATCTCACCCGTCAATCGGGCATCTATACTCCCTCTCAACACCAATCACGCCCCCGTTCTGCTGCCGTTCTTGCAACTCATCTAGACAGCTCTGATGGTAGATGTGCCGACATGCAAGCACCACCAATGGCCCCATCGGCTTATCCTTATTACTGCTCACGCCACTAGTAGCGTTTGCTTCGATGAGCATGCTCGAAGGCCTTGTGTCGACTCCCTTACCCTTAGCCTTGAGATCTGTTTCGCCGTCATCGCCCTTGGCACGTTCTGCTGCATCGGCCTGTCTTTCTTTCCTCCTCTTTTCCTCAATGGCTTGCTTATCTTCCCATGCTTCAAACACCGATGTTCCTGCAACACCAGGTCCCCACACCCTTCGACTGCATGCCTCGCAGGTTGATCCTCTTGGCCTCCAACCACGTTGGCGGAGTTCGACTGACTGGTTGACGTCCACGAACAAACTACGTTCCAACAGACGGTTCGACAGCTTCAATATCGACTCCTCGTACGCATATGCCGAAAAGATAGATGCAAGCACACCTCGTAGATCTGCCAAGTTTGGCGATGAAGCAGCTGCCTGTGTCAAGAATGCCCTCAATATACGCAAGAAGGACAAGTTGGAACTGGCGTTCGATAGAAGTTTCGACCCTGGTTGTGAGGTTGTCTGACTAGATGTGGTTGTGAGCAGCGCTGTGAATGTGTGCTGAACTAGTGAGCGCAAAAGAGCCACGAGCTTCTCCTCATTAAATTCATCATCACTGGTGTTTTGCTCAGCAGCAGAGTTCAGTGCAGGGGACAGGTCTTTCGTGATCTGCACACATGCCTCAATCAAGCTTAGCCAAAGAGCCTCATCGGAAGAAAGTGTCTCAACTGCTGACTTGGAACCCTTTTGGACCACCTTTGACTTTTTAGACGAAGACTTGGTCTGGCCTTGACACAACCATATACCAACATGGACATACTTCTGAAGACCCTCAAAGAGTTCTTCTGCGGCGTAGCCAAGACTTGGTCCCGAATTTCGTTCCTCGGCACCAGTCAAGAGTCCATGCATAGCCGATTCAAGTGTCTTGAGATGCTTTATAAGTCGGTCCATGGCATCCTTGACTTGACCTTCGCGAGCCATCAGCACCACGGCTGCATCGATAACGCCTGTGTCCTCCATTGTAGGCAGGAGCTTCTCCAATCTCAAGTCGGTCGACTGCACAATGCCCACATAATCTGAGACATGAGATGGCTCATACTTACACATGAGCTGTACGTATTGTTCTACCAGGTCACGAGCGGTAGTCAATCTTGTGTCTGCTGTGGGCTCTTCCGGCTCCAAAAGAGTCTTGAGATATGTGTGCTGCAAGTCTGGTACATCTTGCGCCGAGTCAACCACATGCTGGTGAAGCGCCACATCTTGCTCGGCGAGTGTCTTTGCCGTGAGCGTGGGCTCAAGCTCAAGCAAGTCCCGTGCATGCTCTCTGACGACCTTGAGCACTTCTTGGGTCTGACGTCCAGTAAGTCCTGACTGAGGTCGTAGACACTCGCGCAGACAGTCGAACACTAGCTCCTGATCCTCTGAGTCCTCGAAGTAGGTCTGCAAAAGGTTGTCGTACTGCTTGTCTGTCTTGTATATGCGCTTCAGAATACGGTAAAACCCTGCGTTCTTGAACAACGGCATCAAATCTGGCATGTCTGATGGATGGTATATAGAAAGGAGATACTCAGCACTGAGCTGTGCATCCTCCGCTAAATCCTGACCTGGGTAATTGCATAGTCCAGTCAAAACACGTGACAGTGTTGTGCCTGAAAACAGTAGATACTGAGGGAACTTTGGAAGATTTCGTGCGATAAACATGTCAAGATAGATGGTATCCTCTGGCGCAAAATCGTTGGGATTCATGACATCCAGCAAGATAGACAGCACGTATTGTCGGTTGATGGTCTGCCCAAAGATCTGCTCCTCAGGCAGGTCGCCCTTGGAACTGCCGTTCATGTGGTGATCATTCGAGTCGTTCAAGAACGAGTCTTCGAAAGCTTCGTTCAACGCGCTCAGGAAGCTAGGAGCATCCAACTTGAGAATCATACGAAGATATGGGAACGATGGCTGTGAATCGGAGTTGGGGATGGTGCGAAACTCATTCCTGCTGCCTTTGGGCCACGTTATTGTTCTTCCCGAAAAGAAAAACCAGTAGATTTCAGATTTGGCCCTTGTAGCCATCTCTTCGCTCATCGTCTGATCGTTTGGATACACTCTTCCTGTCAATGTATAAGACAGGTAAGGGAAGATCTTGAAGGCATTGATGCTAAAAAAGTCATCTGCTGGGTTGTTGGCTGTGAAGTCGCCATCGACCATGAGAGGAATCAGCAGCGAAAGGAGATCAATCATAGGCGTGATATAGTCGCCAATGCCCTGGTTCCAAACGTATATAAGAGCATCGTATAGGCTGTGTTGCTTACACAGAAGAGTCGTCTGGTCAAGATCAAGGGTTGCCGTCTCCATGTGACAGATCATCTCCTCGAGTCTACTCTCCCATCCTCGACTGACGTAGTGCTGGACCAGATCTTTAACGATACTTGGCGGCACCATGGTGATCGTCTTTTCAAGGATGCAGGGCTCGAGACATTCGAGAAAGATACCGGCGATGTCAGCGTCTTCGTACCATTCATACATCTCCTCAAAGAGAAAGTCTTGGTTGCCCACAGCTTGGCAAGCAGTAAAACATGTATCCGCTAACTGCTTCATGTGATCGTCGTCATAACTCTCAGGCTCCTTTTCGCGTTGACCAAAGGCGTACTTCAAGGAAGCGCCAATAATCTCCATAATCTTGTCGCGAACCATAGTGTGACGCAGAGTGGAATCTTCTGGCAGTCCAACAGTAAGCTTATCGGCATCGCCAGTATAATATGAGGTAGCAAGTTGGATGGCGCCCATGTAGTCACCGTTCTCCATCATAGCGATAAGTCGGTCTGCCCAGTTCGACAACGCCCCAATGGAGACTTCATTAAAACCGAGGAGAAATATTCTGCCCTTGTAGGCTTTGAAGCTCATATAAAAGGCATCGGCTACAACTCCATGCATAGAGGAATCATTCTCGTCAAGTTGTTCCACGAGGGTATGTAACTGCTCGGAGAATAAGTCTGCGTGGTATATGTACTTCTGTACCAGATCAAATCCTTCAGTCATTCGCATGCTTCTGTCTTCAAGAACAATCATTCTTTGAGATATGGTTAGGACAGCCAGAACTGAACGACTAAGCCATTGAACGGCAACAATAGCCTCTTCGCACTTCCATCGATTTCGTGCTTTAAATCTGTATGATGGAGGTTGGTCTGTGTCCTCACGGGGATATTCGTCCACGTCTAGCACTGTCAGGATGTTCGACCAACAGTAAGCAAGTTTCACTTTTGAAATATCACTTCCGGTATGAGGATCTAGCACTTTGAGCTTGACAGCCGGGAACCATGCCAAACATCCTGTCATAGCGCTGTGGGGAGGAACATCTTTAGGTCGCGCCGACTTGTGTTGAGTTTGCGCTACAGGTGTAGTCGAAACGATGACAAGGAGATAGGGTGTCAGCATAGCTGTCAAACCAAGAGTATCTGTCGAACACTCAACATTGCCCAGGGGCAGAGGCGCAAACGCAAGGACGGTGCTGGGCTTGACTGCCTTGCCCGCAGGTAATGGCGCATCTGGATACCGACCAAGAATTCGATGAGTCTTCACAGTCCTTCCAAGTGCACCTGTTCCTCTAGTTGCAAGATGCGAGAAGGCCATTCCCCGGTTATCGGCTGAAACAAGTGCTGTATGGCGAGTTCCTAGGAAGCCGAGATGAACAATGGCGACATCAGGCACATGCCCATCCACCGTGCGGTTCTGAAGCTGCGCAGGCTCCAAGTGAGGTATTGCCAAAAATGGTCTTGAGGCGCGACTTGTATCCCAAGTAAAGATATTGCCGCTGGCATGTCCTCCTGCAATTGTAGTATGATCTGCAGATATCGCTATGGCAGTAATTGGTCCAGACTCAACAGCTATATCAAGTCAGTTTATACCCTCCAGCAATGACTTGTATCCTACCTTTTGTTCCTGGTCCAATGATCATTTTGAGGTTTTGGTTATAATCAAATACTAATATAATACCCTTGGACGTTCCGAGTACGATCGTTGCTGAAACTGCAAGACACGTCGGTGATCCAAAGTTTCGTTTTCCTGCTTCGGAGAATGCATGGCCGTTGAGTTTCCGTAGCTTGGTCCAACGAACAACTTCCCATGGCGGCGTTGGTGTTTCGAGATCGGCTTGGTCGAGGAGGAATTGTGAGCTTAGAGAGACATTACGGCTGTGGCTAGAAAGAAAGGGAAATGCCGGAGACGATGAGCGAGGAGTATTTATATTGGAGGAAGAAATTCGCGATTGGAATCGTCGATCGAAAGGTCGGAATGATGGTGAGGGACTGCTTAGGCCGGGACGAGAAGCTACAGATGGGAGAACGCTGCTTCCGGGTGAGGAAACAAATGATCCCTGCGATTGGTTAGACAATTCTTCAAGATCCAACAATTGGTATTCGTACTTGAATGGATGGTGTATCGTCAGGTCCCGAAAGGACCGAATCTATCGGACTCCCTGCTCGCTTTGGGAGACCATGCAATGAGCTTCCACCTAAAGAGCTCACATCTGAGCTATCCTGATGTTGCTGCTGCATAATCTCGCGATATCTATTCCCGACAGAGCCATTTCCTATAGGGGCGGGCGTAAGGTGACGATCAGTGCCGTCACTATCGTCGAGCGACCCATCATCCACAGCATCAGCACCAGCCATGGAGGGCGCATCGTTTATCGAGTCGTCGCCATTGTCTAAGCCCACGTCTCCTGGGAGCGACAAGTCTTCTGAATCGGCCATTGCGCCGTGGCTTCCATCACTGCATGCGCAAACACTACCGCGTCAAGATCATGGCACTGCGCGAGATAATGAGCTGGTGGACTGGCGATAAGGCAACAATGCGTTTTGCCGTTTATGGAGCTTGGTCAAGCAAGGTATAAGATGAACCAGGTCGGAGGGGCAACCAAGACACGGCTGGAGAGATTCCCACACTTTGGAATGCCGGAATTTGCGAATAGCGTTTAAAAATCGACAACTATTCACAACTCGAATGTTGGTGCAAAAGATGTAATTTAAAAGGTATCGCGCAAGCTGAGAGCTAAGTAAGCTACGTAGGTCAGTTAGTTCGTTACGCAGCCCCATCGTCGAAGGTAGGTTGGCAGCGGCACAGCCCACTGCACCTGCCCCCGTCACTCCGTACGGAGCGGGCCGGGGATTCTCCGGGCGGTCTGCGCTGTGACGTCTTTCCCCGATGGAAGGTCGCATTGCGACGAGAAGTTCCACCATGCATCAAAGCTTCTTGAACACTGCACCCCTCTAATAATCTGAAACATTGTCGAGAGAACAACTCAACAACGAGAAACATCCAAGATGTCTTCCATTGGACCCCAATTACCACCACATCTATCGAAGCGGAAACGCACGCCAGGTGAAGAAGCGTCCGCCAGCAAACACCGTCGCAGCGAATCCCCAGCAAAAAACACAACGAATACAGATGAGATCGATCTCGAAGACTCGGACGATGATTACGGCCCCAGCGCGCCATTGCCTCCAAAAGCACCTATCGGTCCAGCTATGCCAACATTCAACAAAGAAGAGATAGATCTTGGGTCGGATTCAGACTCCGATACAGGCCCAGCACCACCAAAGCCTACCGTTGGTCCAGCACCTCCACCTACCGACATCACACAACGCCCTGCTTCGTCTCCTGATTCAGACTCAGACTCGGAGGATGAATATGGTCCTGCGCTCCCAGGCGCATCCAACGCGAATAAGCCGACCATAGGACCCCAGCTTCCAGTCGCTGAAGAAGCTCCACAGCGCGATTCATGGATGCTTGCGCCTCCCACTGCATCAGGATATTCAGAGCGCGACCCGACTAAAATGCGCAATCGTAAATTCGCTTCTAAACCGGCGTCATCGTCAGGACCCTCAGCCGTTTCGGCAATATGGACTGAAACTCCTGAGGAGAAGCTAAAGCGACTACAAGATTCTGTACTGGGGCGTTCCGATAAGACTGCAGATGCAGAGCCCAAGAACGTCAAGTCGCGTGAGGAAGAAGAGCGCAATCGCAAGATGTCTGCCAATATTGAATCGAAAAGAGGCAAAAGTCTATACGATGAGCATCAGGGACGGCGAGAAAAGTCTGGACAAAAAGTCGAAGAGGACGATGATCCTAGCAAGCGAGGTTTTGATAGAGAAAAGGACATGGCTCTGGGCGGAAAGATTGGCACAGCACAAAGGAGGGAGCTGATGAATAATGCCGCTGATTTCGGTGGCAGGTTTCAGAAGGGATCTTTTCTGTAGAATGGCTGACACGCAACGACATCTCAGTAATTGGATCAGCATAGTATTTTCAAGTCATATTTAATCATAATGCAAGCGTATGGACGGAACAATTATATTTTGTACCATTCAACTATGGAAGTCCCAAAACCATGCAAACTCCGCCGCTCCGGTCCCAGCTGAAAGCCATGTTTTCTAGCCCAATGCAAATACAATACCTGTCTTAAAATAGACAATTCAAAGAGTACCAGTAAATCCTCACTATGAGCAGCATGCACTGCCCTCGCCTCTACTAGGCATATCATATGACCCACGATCGCGACCTCAGACACCATCGTCATCAGGGGGTATATATAGCTCATCGAGCGTTATACGTCCTCACTCTCTCCCACTTATAAACCTACTGTCGCTCCACGTGTATATCATGCGGTGTAAATCAAATGCCGTGTCGTCAAAAATCAATTCCTTTATAATGTCAAGATTCCAGACGGTTGTGCCCAGCAGTGTGGTTGCCAGGAAGGAATGAGGGGAAACCATCGCTAAAAAGATTCGTGTCGTTATGTAAGAATGGAAAATGTGATACACATGTTTATGTGGCGGCTGGTGCGCGGTTTGCCGCTTCAAGTTGTGATGGTGTTACAGCTTCAGGATTCTCTTCTGGTTGTCGCCTTCGACCAAATCGTAAAGCGCCCCGCATGGAGGAGAGAACACCACCGTTTGATGCCTGAGTAACTTCTGCTGTTTGCTGAGTCTGCTCAGTCTGTTGAGCAGGTTCCTGCCCAGCCGGAGCATCACCTGTTCTGCGTCGACGACTAGCGGAGGCCGGTGTTTCATTCCTATCATTGCGAGAGCCTCTAATCCATGCAGAGCGAAGAGCGGCGGGCATGCCAAAGACTGGGTTGTTTCGAGGATCAAAGCTGGAGCCGTTGTTCGCGCCAGCTTCGTTGTTGGCATCAGGAGCTGGGCGAGGTTTGGGAACATAATAATCGGCCTTGCAGAGTGGACAACAAGCTCGTCGACTGGTCAGCCAGGGATCGACACAAACAGCGTGGAAAGCATGTCCACAAGTCAATCCGCGAACATCGTCGTCATCCTCAAGTGTATCAATACAAATAGCACATGTATCACCGGGGTTTTCAAGACATTCGGGTGGCAGTGCACCATCGATATGATCGTCGTCATCATCTGTTTCCTCGCTAGAGACTCGATGAAGTCGTTGATTGTTGGCGGGCTGTTCGTTTGAAGTTTGAGCATCGGCTGTCGCCTTGGGTGCCTCCTTGGATTTTTCGGCCTCGGCAGCTGCGGTCGCGATGGAAATCTCGGGGGCTTTAGTTTCGGTGGTGTTGCTAGTACCTGTCGTCTCTGGCTGTGCATTCGTTTGCGGTACGTTTTCGGCCAGTTGTCCATCAGTCGAGTCGCGCACCTTTGCAGAAAAGTCTGGCACAATTCCATCCGCCTCCCGAATACTGTTAGGTCGAGTGGGTGGTGCAGAAACGCCGCCGTTGGTAGGAAGACCGTCCTTTGCACGCTCGGAAACCCACGCCTTGTACTTCATCATCGGGAACTTGTCATTGACCTCGTCCATGGTCATCAGCTTCTTCTCACGACGTCTGCGATGAGGTCGAGGCATGTTTTCGAGAGGCATAGGCTCGCCGTCCTCGTTCATTCGCATTTGTCGATTCCGAGCATTGTATCGGAAGCAGTATTTAACACCAACGATAATCCTGACGGGGTGTTAGAGCCATTTCAAGACATGATCCAGCCATCACTGTGCAGACGAGGTTGGGCATGTAAGCATAAACAAGTTCTCACCATAAGTTTGTAAAGACGACACCAAAACCTAAAGCGACAAAGAAAAGCAGTGGCGAGTTCGACCCGCCGCCGTTGTCTTTTCTATCATTGCTGTTATCGGTTGTCGTCTCAGCAGCAGCTTGAGAGGTTGTCGACGAGGGATCTTCGGCGGCGGCGGCGCGAATCACGACGTGAGAGACCTCAGTCAATATCTGACCAACGGCGACCATTTTTAACGTCGGGCAACGGCCAAATTATATCTCGAGCAGTGGAAAGTCTGGCTCGAATTAAATCGCGGGCTACCGTGCGGGTACCATGAGCCGTTCAAGAACAAACTCTTGCGGTTGAAGGGCGTCGTCGAATAAGAAGGCAATTATATCAGAAATTGCCAATCTTGATGCAATCGCCCTTTTTGAGTTTAAAAAGGGCGTTTTTGGTTGATTTCCTCCTCTTTTCACAGAAGAAGAGGGATAATACTCGATCCTGAGCGAGTATGTATTTGATGAGGTGAGAATAGCCGGCGGAGGGCGGAGAGGTGGAGTGAGTGGCAGGACAAGGCAAGAGAAGAGACAGATCCAACGGCAGGTGCGAAAGTGGCCGCGCAAAGGATAAAAAGAGCAGGAAGGAGCACAGAGGAATGGGGAACGGGGCGAGCGAAACCGGGCCGGGGGCTAGCGATAGACGTTGATTGGTCGTGTCTCTGTAGTGTGTGGAGTTGGAGCCGTAATGAACACTGTGAGATGGTACCTTTGCGATAGCAACGGAGCGATAGAGGGAACACGACAGGCTGGAGAGTGCTAGAGAGGCCCTGGACAACCTGGAGCTAGTGGATAAAGCAACCTGAAAGTGGTAGGTCGCTCCCAATTGGAGTGTCGCGTCAAGGCTTGACAGGGATTTGTCTGTGGCTGGAATAATTAGACCAAGTGGTGTGGTGAGATGGTGAACTGTGCTGCGAACCTGCGAGGTTGGGCAGGTGGGTGGTTGGCTCGGAAAGGCGTCCCGTTTAGGTGGTTGCGAGACCTTTTGATAGATATTGTGATAATAGAATGAGTCTCAGGTCACTTTGAACGAGGAACAAGATGTTGTGTATGTAAATCAAAGACTTGACGAGAATGTGTCTGTTTGTTTCAAGTCTTTGAACGACTACGAGACGATGCAATAAACAAATGAATAGACAATGGAGACTTGGGTTGTTTATGAAGAACTTTCGGATATCGTGACGGATCAGAGCGTTTTGAGAACAACGGGCCTATCCGCTTAATGTCCTCCTGATACGGATACAACTGAGTGTAATGAACCTCTTTTTGTGCCGTATTCTCGGGCGTATTCACTATTAATGCATCCATCACTGACAGTCGTGGCGCAGTCCGCGGGGTGAGAGGCAGGCGGCTAGGATCCATCCATGGACTAAGCGCAGTGGAGTTTTGAATCACAAGAGTTAAAAGTCGATGAGGCAAAGAGTTTATGGTAAGACCAGGGGTTTCTTTTGCGGTTTGTTGCAGAAAGAACAGGGTCAGGCAGGTTTGAGAGACGGGACGAAGGGAATACCAGGTTTGATCAGGCCAAGGCCCAGGAGTTTGGTACTATTAGACTGATGTGACTTATTTCACATTTACGGTTTCACTTTTGTTAGTTTACTTTAACCGTCAGCAGGATTCAAGCGTTGAGGTTGAATCATATGTGGCTTTTATTTTCAAGAGTTACCATTTGCGCAATACCCTAGGTAGCCGGATCACACCGTTTGACATGAGAGTTCTATTGACGTTGTAATGTTTTGTTTATTTATTTACGCTTAATCTTTTGCTTTCCCAAGGTCCAATAGTTGAATCGGGTCCCGACAAAGCGCTTCTCACCGAAACGTCTCCACATGTCGCCGACTCAATTCGTCTCAGCCCGTCCCGTAGCCGGCTCCTGGTCTCTGTTTTTTCTTTGAAGCGCTCCACTACGATCGTCATAGGTAAAAGAAGAAATTAATGCGAAAAGGTGAGAGGCATCTGGGCAAATTTCTGATCGTATCACATCCTGGATGTTTTTCATAAAAAGGGGCTGCGGCTGACAGCTGAGACTTGTTCAGCCTGCTTTCCGCTTAGTCAAGTCCATTGAAGGGTCTAGACAAGAGGCACAGCTTCAGCCTGTAGGAGACAACGCGTTCCCAAACAGCTTGGCTTTTTGACTGTGGCTGTGAAGGTTCACAGGCTGCGTATCGAGTTGAATGCTGTACGCCTCAAGCGTCACGGTGAAGCCGAAAAACAGGATAAATGTTTATTGGTTCTTCAGGAACCGGGAACTGGAAGAGTATTAAGAAGAAAGCTCAAATAAAATGACGATGAACATGCAGTCGCGCAGTAGTAATACGTGGTAGAGATGTGTCATTGTGCTACAGAGCAGTCAATCGAGTGGTTCTTGTGCCTTGCTTGAATCCTCAAACCTCTAAAACAGGCTTTAATCTGACAGCTGTCTCAGGACACTGACAGCCAGATTACAAGTTGAATAATCAAAACAATGCCACGTTCGCGATGGATAAATAGGTCTAGGCCTTGCGGTCTTTATTGAAGCGGCCTCACGCGACGCTGAAACACATAGGAGATTGATCGATTGATCCTGGCAGTGATTCCACTTGAGTTATAGTTGAGGATCCATATGGATGGCAAGTACTTACAGTGTTCAGAGTTAAGCTCTCACACTGCTCCTTAGCGTCGATTTATGGCGCATCTTTAGAGGCAGGGATAGTGTATAGCGCTGCTGCACCCCGTCCTCAGTGGTGGGTCTTGGCTCGCTAGCTATCGTCTTGGCTGTGGCGATTGGATTGGATAGGCTAGGTTCTCTAAATGCCTCTTGCTTTGCTGCATTAACCAGAAACTGACAACCTACAGGAAAAGGACAGCGGGGTTTGAGCCTCAAAACAGGTCGGAATCTGCGGGTCGTTCGGCTGCAACGGGATTTAGTTGTTATTTTTTGTTATGTTTGAAGATGTACCATTTGCAGTGCAATTGTTTATTGTTTCTGTGATATACAGTTTGCGATTACGTATTCGTCTGTTCCGTGAATCCCGGTATCGTATTACACTTTTAACGGTTGAATATCAATGGGGCTATGACGCAGCCGTTGAAACCCTGGAAAAAAGAGCCTGACAGCCTGAGCCTTTAACTGAAATACATTCAACACACACGGCCTCGAACAAAAGATCCACGTCAGATCGTCAAAGTTACTTGCCTTTACAACATAAACCTCGGCAATTCCCATGATGGTCTCCTATTTTGACTACCGAAATGGAGGGAAGAAGTCGTCGTCGACAACACCACTACCCAGACCATGTACAATATCCCTTGTAATTCTTCATCAACGCTGACTATCAATTACAAATACCGATCTAAATCTATGATGTCGACATTCAAGCCGAGGCTATGTCGCCTTGGCTCTCAAATGTCTTGATGATTCGCCTCATGGTCGGCATCATAGACATGGCAGTATGAGAATGAGTCAACATGACGCTATTTACCGACTTTTCTCATGATGGGCTGAGCACGGATAGACCCTGACTCTTGTAGTATCAAGACTCTTAGTCAGACGTTGTCAACGATCACAACGCTCATAAGCTGACTTTCGGAAGCTTTCGACGACATGTGCACTAATTGACACTTGTGAATTACTGTTGGTTACCAGAAATGCAAAGTAACAAGTAGACTCTGGGCTAAGAAGGCGGAGCATGACCGTTGACTTATTGGTCTCTTAAAGCGTCGTCACCAGATCTCCATTGCCTTCCCCATCCTGTCTCTTTGCGCTTGGCTTTTGTCTTGGCTTCTCCATGTCTGCACACTCTAGATGCTCTACATTCAATAGCTTCACGGAGCTGACCTGACATGACCTGACCTGACCTGACCTTTCTGGCTTGGTCTGAACCCCAGGTGCCACCCCCGCTTCTGAATCGATGGCCTGGTCGAGATGCATCTAATCCATCCATCAATGGGCATGGGGTAAACCAGTGGAGGAGGTGGTGTTAGATCTGGATCCGAGGCATATGCCATCAACAACGACCTTGACCAATTTTCATGTTGTGAGTATCATGTCTTTACTAGGAAGTGCATTTGACGGAAGTTCACATAGATATTAATAAAAACAAAAACAAGTAATTTCAAAGAATCATAATAATAAATCTCTCGATTGATCAATTGACTAAAAATCAACCAACCAGAGTCTTTCCTCGGTTCTCCACATCGGTCTTCCGATTTAGGTAGGTTAAAGTTTCTTGTAGTGTCTGCCCCACGCCAAAATTGTTGCGTTTCCACAGCCTAGACACAAGAACATTGTAGGCACAATCCATCCTATGCAACACTAGAAACTCTCGACTAACAAGAAAGCACAAATCTAATACCTCAAAAATGCCTCCTACAAAACTCCCCGAGTCCGGAAATCCCCTGTGAGTTAACCCTCTTCCAACCCCTCACAACAAAGTGGCGGTGCTTCGACTCTGCTCTACTCACTCTACCCCAGCACTTTTCGAGGTGGAGTGAGGAGAGACAACCACTCAGTTTCGAGTCAGCCCCCCCCCAATAAGAGATAGAGAGTGTATGTACTAATAGTTGTCTGGTTGTTTACAGTGTGTTTTTCGACATTACCATTGGAGGTTAGTAACTGAGTCCCCTCCGACTCCGGAGCATACCATCACTCCAGAAGTGAAGCTATTCCCAGCGATATGGATGTATTCATCTTTTGATGAACACATCCATATTGTCTCCTACCGCTCCTATGAAATACTCTTAGTGTCCCTTCTTACTAACACACTCAGGTGAACCGCTTGGCCGCATCACCTTTGAACTCTTCAACGATGTCGTCCCCAAAACAGCAGAGAACTTCCGCCAGTTTTGCACTGGCGAGAGTAAGAACCCCGTAGGTCGTCCTCAGGGCTACAAGGGCTCCAAGTTCCACCGCATAGTACGTTCTCTCCCTCTCATTTCCGGCTTGTGAAACATGAAAAGCTTATCGTCGCGTAGATTCCCAACTTTATGTGTCAAGGTGGTGACTTTCTCAACGGTGACGGCACTGGATCGACATGCATCTGGGGCTTCAAGTCTTTCGAGGATGAGAACTTTACGCTAAAGCATGATCAGCCTGGTCTGCTCTCCATGGCCGTATGTCTCTATCCTCTGTTATCCTTGGTATTCATATTAACACGTCTTAGAATGCTGGACCCAACACCAACGGATCTCAATTCTTCATCACCACTGTACCCACACCCTTCCTCGATAACAAGCACGTTGTCTTTGGCAAGGTCTTTGAAGGCATGGATGTGGTCAAGAAGATGGAGGCTACCAAGACTGGCTACCGCGGCAAGGATGTGCCGAACCTCGACGTGGTCATCTCCCAGTGTGGTGAGATGTAGGTGAACTGCATATGGTGTAACTCCTTGACTACTACAAAATGTCTCTGGAGGGAGATACGAGACCACAGGAGCGCGATCGAGTGAATTGAGAGGCCGAGATCTAGAACAGTTTAGATGCCCGTCGCGAATACAAGTCTCCATGTGCCCCTCATTCGGTCGGTATTTTTCATCTTTTGTATCATGTTACACTGGCACACAATTTATATTATATGCAACGTGAGCCACGGCAATGAACCAATAGTACAATGTTTCAGAATTGTGTTCGTTATCTTATTATACGTATCAACCGACTGCTGAGATGAGTACATCCCATCGTCAAACACAATCACAAGGGCAAATATGTTTCACTTTACGAAAGGCACACAAGAATCGCGACGAACTATTTTGGAATTTTATCTCAATCGAACTTTGTCGTTTCGTAAATCCCATTCCCTACCCTCGAAATGCTCCCAAACCAGAAAAAAAAAGAAAAGCAAATGCTCCGTGCTGCGTAAATCATGTACACATATCCGTGCTGTAGCGAAAGACTGCGCCGCCACTTCTCACTCCCCCTTTCCTCTTCCCGACGCCCATAGACGTAGTAAAAGAAGGATAGGGTGGAGGAGTAAGTAGCGGGCATTTAAATTCAAGTGGTATCATGCCCTGTATATCCAACGCCGTTGAATGCGACCGGCGCCCCGTTTTGTTGTGTGTTGATCCTTTGCCTGCATCTTGTGGAGATGAGGAAAACACATACCGTCTATATATACCGTAAAGAAAAGACGAAGGAAACGGCGCCCCTTGACGGGATATTAGAGTCAAGGGGTTGTGAGGTTGGGCAACCTAAAAGTTGCCAAGAACCCAGTTCTGGCGGCGGCGGAGGAATGGCGTGGGGATGGGAGGGCCATCGCTCTGGGTCTGAGCCGGAGCACCTCCATCGGCGGGAGGGTCTTCGCGGAACTGACCGCCGGGGAACGTGGGTTGAGCGGGAGGAGCGTTGACCTCTCCGCTGGATGAGGGTGTATTTATATGGGTGACAATGGTCTTGAAGACCGTGGAGGGCTGCGGCTGTTGCGGCTGATTACCTCCAGTGGGCTGTTCCTTGGGCCGTGTAGTATAGAGAGTCTCGTAGACAGTCGAGGCAGCGGGCGGGGTAGGCACAGCATCGGATGGGTTCTTGCTTTTGGTAACAAGAGCTGTAGTAGTGATGGTCTTGGTGCTGGTCTCTCCATCAACTGGTTCGGGAGCAACTCCAGTAAGAGACTCGGAAGGAACAGTGACATATACGGTGCTTATGATGGGAGAAGGCTTGACGGTCGCTGTGACGGTCACCGTAGCGATATCACCGCCACTTCCAGCTCCTCCATCGGATGGTGCGGTAGCAGTAGGGCTAGCAGGAGATGAAGGAGATGAAGGGGATGAAGGAGCAGGCATATCTTCACCCTTGCCGCCGTCAACGTCGACTTGAAAGTTGGACTTCATCTGCTCCTCGATACCGGCAGAGTAAACGTTCTGATCGTCGACGTATTCAAGAATGTTTTGATCCTTAGTAGCGACACCCGCGGCGCCAGTGATCTTGATGTCAAGGACGCTCGAGTAACTCTCGTTGCGCGCAATGGCGTCCATGTTGAAGCCGTTGGGGTCTTTTTCTCCACGCATGAAAGTTCCAGCCCAGGGGAACTTGCCATTCTTGGTGGCTTCCATGTCAATGCTGTCGCTGTTCAGGTCGGGCCAGTCCCAGTACCAGTAGATGGTGTAGATATCGCCAGCCTTGAGATCGCTGGGGAGCTTCAGATCAGACTGGCAGGCGAGTTCCTTCTCGTGGATGGCGCCCTTGGGCTTGAGTTCGGTGGAGCGTCCAGTGCTGAGTTGACCACTGTTGGGTTGATAGCACTGACCGTCATCATAGTTGCGAGTGGAGATGAGCTTGCCACGCTTGTCACCACCAGTGCCCTCTGTATTCCAGCGGAGGTGAACATCGAAGAGCTTCTCCTCATCATTGGGCTTGGTGGTGCCGTAGAAGTAGATAGTGCCACGGTTCTTGGGTTTGTTAGGCTGGTTCTCGGGAAGAGTGGTGTGGCCATTCTCGAGATGCATGATAGCAATGTAGTCACCAGCAGCGGCTTCAAGCATGGGGAATTGAGGGTTCTTCTCAAGTTTGTACTTGTTCAGAATCTCTTGGCCAGAGTAAGCGGATTGGCCTGCCTGGGGCAAAATGTTCTGAGGGATCGAGTCCGCAAAAGGAGGGTTGGTGGAATCGCGAGGGACAAAGCCACGAGGATAACCCATTTTACCAATCATGGTGCCATTTCGAGCGAGTTTGGAGGCATACTCAACCCAGGAGTGAGCCGAAGCCGGTGAAATGAGGGTGCTTGCCGCAAGAGCGAGGGCGGAGGTGTCGATGAATTTCATGTTGATTGTTGTTCTCGTTGTTGATAATCTTTATTGATGTTTTGTAATCGTAGATTGCAAGGTAATCGAAGCTGATTTGTGTCGAAGTGAATTTCAAATAATGATTTTGAAAAGGAGTGTTGTTGAAGAGTTACCCCGGGGGGCGAGAGAATGAATGCGTCGCAATTTATGCGCAAAGGAGTGAGAGAAAGGCGAAGCCTGTCACGTTCGATTCTCGCAGATGCTGTTGTATTGTTTATTGTGAATAAGAAAGAGAAAAACAATTGTTGTGCGGGTTGAACAGTGAACAGGCAGGGCCTTTTTTCTTTGAGGTTCGGCTCGCAGCTGGCGAACACTGGCAAGCTGTGTGAGCAGGGCTAGTCGCTAGGCAACAAACGGTGCCTGAATACTGACCGACAATGAAGATGACAAACTTGCAATCAAAGGGTTCGAAACTCTTGCAATCAATAGTGATTGGTTTGTTTGCCTTTAATGTTGTATGTAGCCGAAGGAGTGATCGGTTTGTGGTGTGGTAAAGATCCTCCGGCCGGCGCAGGTAATGTGTTGATAATTGAGTCAGTCCTGCTGATATTCAAGTAAAGGAGGGCGACACAAGGAAAAGAAACAGAGGGCTTGTTCAATGTAAAAGAGAAGAAGAAAGAAGAAGAGAAATAAGACGTGACAAAGGAAAAGAAAGAAAAAAGTTGTATACCGCTGGCTCTAGTTCAGCATATTTGGTGTTCGTGAGTCACGAACAACGGGTGATGTGTGTCAAAGGCTCAGAAAGAGAATCTCTAACAACCAAGAGAGCACGACAGCGAACGGATGGCAATAGCTCAGAGTGGAGAGGATGGGAGGACGAGTGGTAATGAAGGGATTGCACGAGAGTTAGGCAATCAAGAACACAAGTGGGACAAGTAATGCACGGCAATCAAGCAAAGAATGACAAGCAGACACCCTGAGAACGAAACTTGAGATCTTTTAGGTAGAAACACGAGATCTGGGACGCAAGGTATAGATAACCATCCCCCATCTCCAAGTGGACTGAGGACCTATCGTTGAGCAGCATGGTAACGGTCGAGGAAACTGGCCTCGTACAGATGGAGTCGAAATGGAGACGGTAAAGAAAGCCGCAACATTTCAACATGCAAGGCACGATCAAGACATGGACAGGGGACAAGGGACAGGGGACAAGGGACAGGGGACAAGGGAGGACAAGGCGCGGCTAAGGACATATCGAGTATAAGTGTAACTTGGCGTAGCATGAGCTAGTTCATCTCATCGTATCGAGCTATCGCGGATAAAGGATGATGGCAGCTTATACATGTGTGTCATTAAACTCAACCGCGCCAACGTTGCTTTACCCAATAGTGGAAAGGAAACAGAAACAAGAGCTTGAGATGGGTTATGTTCCGTTGCAGTTTCGTCTGGGGAAGCGCTCAAGGGGGTACAATAGCAGTCTCACAATCGCATTGGATAGGACAGTTTAAGATCTTGAATCTGTTTGTACAAGGATACTGATACTTCAGATCCTTGTTTGATAGAAATAAAATGTTTCCCACAATAGAGAAAGTGTTTTCCCTTGTTTCGGAGCTAGGATCTTGATAGCCGCCTGACTGGTCATAGAACATCAAGTAAATATTCCCGCCAACACGTCTCAAAAAAGACTCACAGCTCTTCAGTGGTTGGCTGACCAGAGCGACGGGACCCAATTGGGAAAAAATAGAGTCGAGCAGGGGTTGGGTTGAGGTCTAGAACTCTCAAACAATGCCTGCAACGGGATCGTTGAGAACGACTAGAAATAGCATGAAACAACGAGTTGTAAAGTCCAAAGGATTGGACGTCGTTGCTCGGTTGGCGCCCACAAGAATCGGGCGTCTAAGGAAATTGGCTGGCGACGGTTGCAAGCGCGCCATAGCGGGTCTGAGGTCAATTGGCTGTGGCTTGATGTTAAATTGATCGAATACAGGGATCTGACAGGGGCTTTGGTTCGCTGAGGTTCACTGAATTGACCAAGTTTAGAGTAAAGAGAGAAAAGACAGAACAATAAATAAAATGGTTTGGTCGCCTGAGGCCTGCCGTCGTGGCCTTGTGGCCTTGTCTATGGCCTCACCAATTATAGGTATCTAGGCAGGCACAGCATCTATTTGCGCTTATTCTGAGGAAGGCGTCAGTGAGATGGTGGTAGCTTCCTTCCTTTTCGACTTGGATCGATTTTAGACGCGAGTTAAGGCAGGTACTATGCAGCCAACTGCATCTTATCTTGGTATTTGAAACTAGAGCATCCTCTCTTTTTTTTTCCTTCTCTTCTTCTCTTTGTCTTTCCTCCTTTTCCTTTTATCGTCTTCTTCTTTAATATTTGTCGGCCAAGAACTGTCGTCGTCATCGTCCCACAAGGTCAACTCTACGGTCGCATCCTCATCTCATGAATATTTATCGATGCATTGACGAGCATGTTTGATCAAGCGCCCATAATGACTCCACCAGAATACAATATCTTGGAATAATCTCATGTTCAAACCTGGTCTGATCAGTCTTTGAAGAGTATTTTACTGTATCATTTTATCATGTTATGTAGCGTTTCGTTATTGACCCATTTGTTGTGTTCACTCTTTCTATCTTGTACTTTGTTGTACAGAACCACCACACATGTGGCAGCAAACTCTATGATACAAAATCTTGACCGCTTCATTCAACTAGGGATTGTATCACTAACCGATATTCTCTTTGTCTATCAATACATGACAAGTGTTCGCCTGGTTTTGGTCCTCTCGCCAAAATATGCCCTTCAATAAATATTTACTATAGAATTCTTCAACACCATCGGGGACAGAAGACAGATACAAACTAACATATCCCACTCCTGCGAACAAATATCGAATTCTCAAAAATAGCCCTTAGTAAACCTCCTTCACATTCAAAAACTCCATAAATCTATCGTATGAATATTCAATACCCGCGCACCCCTTCAGACTTAGTAATATTCATCCCTCAGTACACCCCTCCCTTGACTTCTTCTTTTCCTAGCACACCCTTTTTGTTCCTTCAAGTTCTCGTTTCGTTGTGAAGAAACGTGTTACGTCAAACCCCTGCTTATCAATTCCAGTTGAAGAAATGCCTCATCTTTTCAACAGCCCTTCATCATCATTACTTTACCAAATTACAACTTACAACTAACTCTCAGACGATATCTCACGTGTCCGAGGGCGTGGCTGTTCCATCTGTTTTCTTCAATGGCTTCTCTCAATGTCTCACTTCCCCAAATCTTTCTCCCCTTCAATGTCTCTCTATTACTCCTTTCGGTTTCTCCAAGTTTAGCTTCCGTAATATTTGCTTTTTCCTTAACGATAATGTCTTTTGCACTGGCTATCTGGGTTGGGGTTATAAGTTCTCTTCCCTGTCCAAGGGAATACTGTGAAAGACGTTTCTATTTCCTCACACCCTCTCCCTCTCATCTCCAATAGTCTTTATTCGATCCAAGTGGACCGAGATGTAGATGCACTAAGTTCCATTTTGATACCTAAACCTTCGTCTTGTCGATCCTCCTGGTGCCTGTTTGCGATGGGAATGTCGTCACAGTCCCTTGCTTTAGTGCCCGTCTGATGATGTAGTGATCGACCGAGGATCTATTAAACTTGAACTTAAAGCCAAACCTTTCTTTAGCCTATTCATGATATGATGATAATGCATCTGAGACGTCATCTCATGGTAGGAATTTCACCAAAACGAGAAACCACTTCCGAAAACGGATGAATCAAGTGAGCATCATACATTATAGTCAAGCGGAGAAATGATGCCGAGAAATTGGCTAATTAATCTCTTTTGTAAATCTTGAATAAACTACCAAACGATATGCATGTCGTATCTGATACGAACTTGGTATTACTGCCATGGCCAAAAACAATTCCCATAGTTGCTCCTAAACACCGATCCTAACACCCAAGCATGATTATTATGACGTTGACCGCGTAAATGCTTCATTCCATCTCATCAATGATTCGCTATTTTCGTATTCCCGTTCACCATCCTCCTGCCGCTGCTGTCATTGTTGGTGGTATATGGCTATCAATGGCATCTCCTCGTCTTCGCTTCATTGGTCGAGGGCTGCTGTCACGGTCACCCGCCATATGTGCCCATTGTGATTGTGTCCATAGAGCTGTCTGATCACTGCTGGGCTCGACCTTGTGGTGAGATCCCCATTCTGATCCGCCGCCTGTGCCTGTAGACCACTCATCCAAGGCCGGCATGTCCCAGCCTTGGAGCCCAGTATCGCACTCTGAGTTATCATAGACAAGAGAGCTTGATAGGTCCAGTCCTGATGTTGTCGTTGGACTCTGGAAGGGGTTGACAGTAGACATGACAGGCTTGAGATCTGCCAGTGTTGTCTGCGCATCGTAGTAAGCCGCCTGGCTGTGGCTATGTCCATGACCATTGACGGGATGGCTCTCGCCCGCTGTGCTGCATGTGGATGGGATGAAGCCAACACCTGTGCTTGGAGGCATACCGTGGTCAAAGCTTCCTGGGTACGACCCTTGTAGACCCGCGGTTGGTGGAGGTGTAGCGAGTCCACCAGAAAAGGACTCGAATAGTGTAAGTCCATTGTTTGTTGCAGCGACATTTGGCACTTGGGCCAGGCTCACGCTAGGATCCCATGCAGAGCTAAAGGTCTCGTTCATCGCTGCTGTCATGTGTTGGTTGATTGAAGGAGTAGGCGACATGATTGAATCTCGGGACATGGAGGCAGAGGGGTAGACAAGAGCCTTTTGCTGGTGGTAGCGGGACATGGGGTCGTTGACAGTCAACCATCGCCATGAGGTACCAGCGGGCTTGAAAACTGGGTTGTACTTGTACCATTGGTTGGTTGTGTTGAATCGCCAGAACACAATGCCCTGTCGAACCCATCGGTTCGAGTCGGGGGCGCACGACCAAAGCTCTTGGTACATGGCCACCTTACAGACGAGGTCGCTGCCGGTGAGATCACGGCGAGCCCAAGAAGCGGCGTCACCGTCATCCTCAGAGCGCTTGCGCTTGCTACCAGCACGGTCGAGATTCTTGCGATCATCAGCCTTGGTGCGCTTTTCCTTCTTGCGCTGGTGTTCAACATCGGGATATTGAACAGCCATGCTCAAGATGCTAGCCCACTCAACGGCGGGGAAAGGGACATGGATATCCTGACGAGGTCGAGAGTGGCAGTCACAGTCAGGCTTGGAATCGCTGCAGCCTCGGCGGTGGATGCCGGTCTCGTTGGTGTATACGCCTGACTTCTTGTCATCGCTGTGAAGCTCAGACGGTCGAGTGAGGCGCGTTACACACTTCCAGCGGTGGTTTTGGAGGCTGGGGTTTGTGATTGCCACCTCAACAAAGCCAGTGAGCTCAGACCCAGAGGGGAAGCGAGCGTGCTCATGCAACTCAAGAGTTGCGCACATCTCAAGGAGCAAACACTCCTCGTCGCGAGTGGGGAGATCGAGAGTCTCATAGATCTCGGGAGCATCCTTCTGCCATCGGCGGGTAATCGTCTTGACACAGGCAGAAGTGGTTCGATCCAGAGATCGGGTGTACTCATGAAGTAGCACATCCTTGCCGAGTACACTTGGGCTGTCATCACAGTTGTTGTACTTGTTAAGATGAGGGAAGGACTCAGTGTCCAGAGGAGTGTCTTGTGCGTCGTAAGCAATCTCATCTCTGAACTTGACCTCGGAAGAAGAGACATAAACCTCTGCTGTCTTGGGCCGGACTGAGATCAGAGACTGGAGAGCCAGAAGTTGTGAGAAGTATTCATAGTTGGGCTTGACATCGGGTACTCGGCCCTCCGCAAGAGCAGTGAGGACAGGGTTAGACTTGAAGGATTCTTGTTCCTCCTCGTCATAGTAGTCGTCTGAGTTGGTGGATCCAGGCTCCTTCTTCTCCTCAGCAGGGAAAAGGAAGTGGACTAAGAACATCAGTTGAGGCCTCATGTGAGTTAGGAGGCAGTTGACTTACAGCATCGCAAGTCCTCAAAGAACTTCTTGACTACTTGCATATGACTTGAGACCTGCTTGCGTCCCATCTGCTCAATGCTGTCGTTGCTGTTGTCGATTCGAAAAATCTCCTTGCTGCCAAGGATGGCAATACAAATTGTGAAGATGTATTCGCTGATAAGCATGTTGCGCCCATGTAGCTTTCCTCCCATGGAAAACTTGCGACGTCCCATATGAGGCATGAGAAGAACAGCTGCTTATCATTAGTAAAGGCCAAGTCAGTCGAGGATTTTGTCAGGTACTTACAGTCAACAAAGGCATCTTCAAGCTCAGGTCTCCTCCAAACACCACCCTTATCCTTCTGGGTGTCTTTGTGTGCTTGTCGGTTACGGTACTGGCGGAAAGCAGGCCAGAAGTAGAGAGGGTTGACTCCATTTCTGGGTCTTCTTTGTTGGAAGCGAGGTTGGTTTCTTGGTGTAGGTACGCGGTAGAGGCACTCGAATGATTGTGAGGGGATCATGGGAGCTGGAAGGCTGACTGGCACTGAAGGCGAGATGCCAACTGAGTTTGAATAGCAAGGAACCATGCTGTTGAAGTTGTGTGATTGCGCATTGCTGGCGGTTTCCCGTAGTGGTAGGCGGCTGTTGTTGTGATATGTTCGTCGAGCATCTTGAAGATAGTCTGGTGAAGGTGTATAGCGTTGTGAAGAGAGCACCGGCCTTGGGTGGTATAGTGATGAAGACATGGCGACAATTTGATATTGGCAAAGGAATGCCAGTAACAGAGGTCAGAAGGAAAGACTTGACCCAGCTGAAATGCTGTTTGTGACTCTACGAATGCAGACAATGAGTAGACAAGAGATGATGAGAATGTTGAAAGGAATTCAAGACGTGGAATGGTGGGATAGATGTATGCATCTGAAGAAAGGAGTGTTTAGGCACTGGAACGAAGAATCACCAGGAGATATTTAATAAACATCTGTAAATCCAAGACTGGGGAGTATATCATAGATAGTCTGCGGAGCCCAGGGCTGGAGGCGCCCCTCGTCAACTCTACTCCAAACCGATCAAACATCAAACCATTCATCACCTATCCACTAGAAGGGTACGGTAATGGGATGGTATGGGGGTGGGAAGGGCGCCGCCTCGTCTCCATCTCCAACACCAAAGCCAGCTCCATCGGCGGGGAACCGACCTGACCTTGCCCGGAGGGAAACTCACATCGGTAGTAGTGGCGACCAATTGTGAGTGCTTGCAGAAGCCACCAGCACATGGCAGCTTGGAACTCTGATCGAGGGCGTTAGCATGCAAGGGTGTCAGGGCGGGGCCGCGACAACTATCGCCAATCATCAGGGGACTGGGGAGGGAGGGGCGTGTATCGAGGGATCTCAGAGACATCTTCAGAACGAACGGCGCAAGGTACGGAAAGGTATGTATTCAAGATTAGAATCAGACATTAAGAGGATCCGCAGCCTTCCCTGCCAGGGCAATGAATTCTTTGACGAACCTCTAGGCCAGATCGAAGCCACTCCGAATAAGCGTTGCGAGTAATGCATGCATGCCATCCTTTCTGTAGTGGCCATGACCCTTGCCAAGGGAGAGCGGCGTAGAGATGCTGGTTCGTCAAGAGCGAGGCCAGTCGTGCGTGTGGGATCAGGTCCAGGTCCAAAAACAGGAACAGGAACACTCAGCCTTGTCGCAACCCCCTGTATGGGATCGAGGTTGTAAATAGTATCTCTATAGTTTTCTCCTTCATGTTCAAACGTCCATCTCCTCGTCTTCATTGCCAATATTGACCCTGCTCCTTCCCTTGCCAGTCAATTGCTGTAGGGCCACCTTGTTGACTTGTCCTCCAACCTTCTTCTGCATCTTTGCAATCTCCTCCTCGGCATCAACTGCGTCTGCCTCAGCAAAGTCCAAGACAAGCTTGCGACCCAGCAAGTGGGTGTCCCTCAACGAATTTAGCGCGTTCTCGGCTTCGCGGGGAGTGACAAAGTCTGCAAAAGCAAAACCCCTAGGGGTGTAGTCGGCCTTCTTAGGAAGGCGTACAGACCTAAGTTGACCATAGGTTCCAAAGAGAGACCTGATGTCCTTCTTGGTCGTCTGGAAAGGCAAGTTCTTGATGATGATTTTGGTGCGTTGCCCAGCAGACTTCTTAGCCTTGTCTTCGCGACGTCTCTCCTCAGCTGCGTCGTGACCCTTGTGTGATGCCTTCACAGCGAGTGCGTGGTCCTCAAGAACATGGCCATCCATGACCTTGAGGGCAGCCTGCGCTTGGCTCTTGGTTCTGAATTCCACAAAGCCAAAGCCCATGCTAAGCGTCTGCCCTGGCTTCTTTGGGTCCATCTTTGTCTTGACCCTGGCCGAGACGAATCCGTCGAGGGACTGGAAAGTTTCTGCGAGCTTGGACGTCGAAGTGCTGAAGTTTAAATTTCGCACAAACAGTGAAGTTGTTTCCAACTCTTCCTCCGGCTTATCGCCGCGTGACAGCAAGTCATTCACACTAAGGTTTTGGACTGTAGGAGCCTGTCGATCTTTTAGCGACACGGCTTGGTCTAGTTGGTCGCCGCCTCTGAAGATGTCACTTGGCGCTTTTTCCAAAAAGAGAACGCTATCACCAATCCGGCGATATGCGAGGTTCCCAAAAGCGGATTTGGCGTAATTGGGTTGAGAGAACTGGACAATTGCTATGGTACCGCTTGGTGGCATCAAAACTCTCAACACAGGCCCGGACTCCTCAAAAAGTTTACGGAGCTCGTCGATCGTAGTCCCATAGGGAAAGTTCTTTACCAAAATGGCCGTGTCGCCCCGCTTCTTTGATTTGAAAGCCTCAAGGTCCACTCCATTAGCGGTAAAATAGGATTTGGTCTCTTGAATGACGCTTGTCTCCGCGATGGCCTGCTTCACGGCAGCATCAGCTGAGGTAGGGTCGAGGAGTTCTGATTTTGAAACACCGAGACGGTTGGCAACTGATGCGTTGACGGCATCCTGACTCATATACAGCGCATTCCAGTTGAAGGTGTTTGTGGATGCTTCCTGTTTCTTGCGGATCATGTTTTGTTTCTTAAGAGGGAGTTTGGAGAGTGTAAACTCGTCCAAAGCTGTGTCTCTCCTAGCACTGGCAGGAATGATGTGAATGATACGCCCCTGAAACGTCGCCCCATCCATGGCTTGGAATGCTTCAACCGCTCCCGAGGGCTCAGCAAACAAGATCAGGGCAAACCCCTTGCTGGTACCTGAGTTGCTAACGGGAAGATGAACCTAGTAGCCGACAGTTGTTAGCTGATGTTCGGACTAGTATAATCCTCAAGAAATGCAGTGAAATTGGCAACAATTCAGCTAATCGAAGCATCTACTAAAATATTCGTCTCAAGGTTCTCATCAAATACCGAAGTATAAGCTGTCCCTATCTGAGGTTCATCACGTTGCGGGGTTTTGCGTAGAAAAGAGAAAAAAAGTAGAAACATACCTCTTCAACAGTTCCGAACTGCTCAAAGCTTTCCCGAAGATCATCCTGGGTGGCGCTGTAAGGCAAATTTCGGACAAAAAGTCGAGATGTTCGACGGATCGCCTCAAGTGAGTCGTCCTTTGCCGTTTCACCCCCTGTGGCCTCAGGCGCTGGTTCAACCACCTCCACGTCATCCGCTGCTGGCGGGTCGGCTGGAGTGATTTCCATGGCATCGCCTCCCTGTGCATGATCGGTCTCAGTTGCTGAAGGCCCTTGCACAGGCGTTCGTTCCAGATCATCGGGATCAACAAGGTCCAGCAGTCTGTTTGTGCGTGAACGAAGCCAATCGTCATCCTCGGCAACAACCTCCTGCTTTTCTGGGTTGGGCTTTGCCGCATCTGCAGACTCCACCAGTTCGTCAGCTGCAGGCGCTTTATCCTGCATATCAGAGACTGGCTTTGCTTCTTTTAGATGCGAAGGCAAAGTCTCAGAGACAAGAGGCTTCGTTGGAGATTCGATTCTGCGCTGCTTCTCTTTCCGAGCAGGAATTTGCTCGTACTCATCGTCGCTCTCTTCTTCAGGAACGGCGGTAGCAGCTACAGCGGCAACTCCGTCACCGAGACCGCCATGGACACCATCGTCGACAGCACCCTCCCTACCTTCCTTCATTACGTGAAGGAATTCGCGTAGCTTGGGGTCTGCAGCAGCTTGGGGCTCATCTCGCTTGCGCTTCCTCAAGGTCGAGTCAGAGTCTTTCTCAGCCGACTGCTCCTTGCCCTTGATCGTGGTGGGTGGTTGCGATGCAGGTTTGGAATGTGCGGCGCTCTGGGTTCTATTGAGGGCGGGGTCTGAGATCTAACATTCCATCAGTATTGAGAAGTCGAGACATGTAGGAGTAACTCACGGGTCTAGCAGTCTCCACGGCGATCTTGGACATACGAATGTAAGACTTGTTGAAGTACTTGACTGCCTTAGAGGCATCTTCGGATGTCTTGTAGCCCACATAGCCAATGCGTCGCTGGGGAATCAGCTTGACATCAGTAATCTCGCGACCATGGGCGGAGAAGTGTTTCCGAAAGTCAGCTTCTGAAATATTAGGGGGCAATCCCCGGATGAATATTCTTGATGAAGCCATTGTGGTGTGATTGTTTGTTGATAGATCAAATCACTGGTGAATGGTGGTTCACCGGGGGAGTTTGACGCGTGAAGTCATTTTTCAAGAACGTAAGCTCTTTAAGAAGGGAGAAGAGGAAAAAAAAAAAAAGTTCTCTACCACACTCTTATTGTCCGAGGTTGGGACCCGAAGTTGGCCCGTGCATCCGGATTTTCTAACAGTTCTAACCCCACTATTCTATCCAGCTTCTAGGATGCTTCTACAAGCAGACGTTTTGCTTCACCGCCCACAGGTTCAGAGATGGGAGAAATTCCAGCGAACAAGTCAAACGCCACGATAACATTGTAATGTTGATGAAAGCAGGTTTATTTGGTCTAATAAGGAGTAATATATCCTACATCATCTCAGCTTTATCATTCATCCATAAAAATGCATCCTCAACGATCAGATACTTCACGTTGAAGTGGGCAGAATTCTGCCGCATCGTAAAATTTCATTCAAAGCGATGCCTGCTTGTGATGCTTCAGAAGGACAGTTATAGATACATCTACCGGGGGGGAAATACACATCACATGCAGTCTTTCTCTGGTTGCATACACTCAAGAATGCTGAGGGCGGGAATGTTTTCGCCTCCAAGACTCACCTTCCACCCAAGACCTACATACTGAATGCCAAAGGGGTCGTGCTGGAATCAAAGTGGCTTCTGTCTCCCGTGATGTTTCTTTGGAGTTTCATTCTCTCATACATCTCCATTTCACCATTGTGTTATTGTTTGGCCGTAGCAAAAGTCCAAGTTACTGACGAGCTTGGAGATGCTCATTCGCAATGGTCGATGCTATGTTTCTTCTGGTGCCAGCAGCTGTTCGATATTGTGAAGCATTCTACTGCGCATGGGGTATCTTGGGAATGAAGATAGATTCCTCATGAACGATATACATTCAAGTCCAAAGGTGCGGCGTTATGCGTTTGCTAGACGCCGATCATTATTCCCGTACAGCATGCAATGCAAGCCAAAGACAATGGGAATTCGTCCATCATTGCTGTGATTCTTCCCGTCTTTTTTATCTCTAGCATCATTTCAACTCTCTTGTTCCTCATCTTCAAAAAGGTCCTCCATGCCAGAGTCATCGCTTTCAACAATCATTAACTGAATGCAACAACGAGAGATCTTCAAAACATCAGCTTCTCTACGTGGTCTCCCAGCAACTGAAGAATTAACTTTCATTCAAGAAGCGGTGAGCATAATCTAGAAAGATTCTTAAAGTTTAATGCCCATATAGTTCTGAATTTGGTGCTCCGACATTCCTACCACCTGACATCCCATCACTACCACAATATCTAATGCTGGAGAATTGCGAGCATGATTTGAATATAATATTTTGATTCAAATCAAGACTCTTATGATTGTATACATATGAATAAATAAGATTTTTCCTTTTTTTTAAAACTGATTTATCGTCCAGAGGGGTGCTGTAAAATGCATTCTTGATATGCAGTCTGGCATATGTAAAGATGCACACTCCACACCATGAGCTTTGGAATGACTGGTGAGGGAATGCGGAGGCAAGCCATTATTCTTTAGAGAATTCTTTCCAAACTTTATGGAGGGCCATCTGACTTTCAGTATGCTTGAGTGTGTATGATAGACAAGTATAAGAAGTCCCATCAATCCACTCACCACTCGGAGTCATCTCGCTCACTCATCATTGAGGACTGAATCTATACGTGGCCTTCTATACATTTATATTCTTTTACTTATACCTAGTGGTATCCTGCTAGCGATAATGGGTATCAAGGATAGTTTACGACTGGCCTGACCGAACCGACAGGGCACACAACAACGACACTTGGACATATCGACTCTGGAACTCCTCGATAAATCGCCCAACTACCGCTACTCACAGAACAAACCTCGACAGTCAATACAAAAGAAAATTACGCCTAAGATCTTCGGCAGTGGGATTGGTTGCAAGAGCTTGGATAATGGTCTCGATCTGGTACAGGGTTGTCTTGAGTCATGGCACAACTACTCGTCCATGATTCATGAGCAAGAGATATATCACATTGCTATGGGTCCAAAGACTGTTCAACACCAAACGAGAAGAGACTTTCGAGCGATACGCCTATCATCGAATCTGGTTAGCAACCTCATGCGGTCACTCGATCATGAGTCCCTCACTGGGTGATTGTACTGAAAGTCACTTACCAACTTCACTCTCTACCGAACGGCCGCATCATACAACTCGGCGAAAACTTAAACTTTTAAATCTTCTCACAGCCTTGGCGAGTGTGTTTTATCACCACCATGAATGAATCACATGTAGGTGGTAACTGTCAAGTGGTAGGTGTATGTAGTTCCACGACGTCGTTCTTACACCTGTCTGATTCGAAGCTAAACTGCATGCAATGCTCTCTTGGATGTATGACGCCACTCAAAAGTTTATTCAAGCCTTTGGCATTATCTTTCCCCCCGCTGAAAGCATAAGAGACGAAATCAGTAGGTCACTTTATGCTCCTTAGACTATGGATCTTAGACTACTTATATTTATACCCTAAGACTTCGGAGGCCATTTTTTTCTACTACCCACTAGCTTTCTTGCTATTTTCTGACACAACACGACCGCATTCAGTCCTTTTGTTCGCTAGTCACTTGCGTTTTGGGCATCCTCTTACTTGTTTAGTCGAAGACAATTGAGCCTCTGACAATTTTTTTGATGTATCAGTTCGTGATTTTTGTGTTCTTCTTGTTGTATCCCGTCTCTATTCTATGTGGTGCCATTTTAAGTTCACTCATATCCCGTGCCCATTAATATTCATGGTGTATCAATACCAACATCTCACAGTTCACTAGAGTTCACAGGGTGTCTTTTGAAAAGCTTTCGGCTTATACTTCTCACTACTATTCTGGAATTGTGTATTTTATCTTCGCCTTCCAACTATCCACGCCTAGATGTTGTAATCCTAGAGTGGCAGAGTAGGTAGCAGTTCATTGACATGGCGATAATATGGGAGTGCGGAGTCACAGATACGTACTTTGTTACTTTCTTCAACATGATTTAAGTGATAGGCTATCTAAAACGCCATGGATGTTATATTGTAACTCGTCCTGTGTGTGAGAAAGTGACGTTTGCTTCCTACTCTCTCAAACAAGTCCACTGATATGTGTTTATCTACAACTTTTCCAAACTTGGACGAAACCAACGAGACTGTCTAGCGACAAATGTATGTAAAAAAACAATAGTAAAATCATACGGAGCGTATTTCTTCTGGATAAATAACTGCCATACAGAGCCAAAAAGATGACAAACACCCGTTCATTCTTGTATTGTCGTCTATCAATGATCAATGATATTAATTGTACATAAGGTATAGGGTAACGTCACAGCAGATAGGACGCTAGCGCAGATACGTACCGACAAGTCGCGCCCCCCAGGCGTTCCATTAGGCCGCTGCAGCGTGGAAACACCCTCCAAACTACAGGGCAGCTTCTGCCAACGAGGCTACAGCTTGGCTAACAAGGACAAACCAATCATTGCCTGGATAAACACGCGACCTGCACTTTGAGCATTCTGAATTACTCCACAAGGCTTTAGCATTTGTTGCGTTTCATCAACACTCCATATCCGTACAAACAACTACTGACTGACCCGTACCCGTACTCGTACCTTAATACTGTCTGCTTTACTTTTTTACTTTACTGCACTAATCACTCGAGAACGTTGACGCCTCATACCTCGCGCTTATCGCGTACGTACGCCCCAGATCTCCCTTTCTCAAACCAACGCTGCTAGCATCCCGTCCCACGTTAAGGGGAGCGCGCGCGCACCAAGGCGTTGTCGGCCGTCAGCCTCGCGACATCAAGATGAACTAACAAGAATCTACCAGTCGCATTCGCTTCCCAAACCGAAAACTTTCATCAATTCTAATCACAATGGCCGACGCTCACGCTCCCAAGGCAGAGTCTCCCGTTCCCCGGGAGAAGCTCGAGGGTAAGCAACACCCCCTTGAGTACCGAAACAACGTCATACTGATATCCAGCCAGCTCAGATCAAGTCCGCCGATATGGTGAGATAACCCGACATGCGTACCGAATATACTAGACACGATCGCTAACGACGGAATAACAAAAAGACGGAGGATATGCAACAAGAATCCATCGAAGTTGGTATGGGAAACAATGGATGATCGCGCTGCGCCGGCGCAAAGGGAACAAGGCTGACATGATAATAGCTCAGGAGGCCATGGCCAAGTTCACCATTGAGAAGGTTGGTCTACTAAGCACTGCACATCTGTTGCTATCCGAGCTAACATGTCATGACAGGATATTGCACAGCACATCAAGCGAACCGTTCGTATACACCAAGACCGTCGCATATGAACCTGTACTTACACCATCCAGTTCGACGAGCGAAAGGGACCTACTTGGCACTGCATTGTTGGACGCAACTTTGGCAGCTTTGTCACTCACGGTTCGTCAAACCCAACAACTTCCAGAGACGAGACCCGGCCCCTTAGCCTCGGGCTCAGGAAGCTTTTACTAACACATACCACAGAGACCAAGCACTTCATCTACTTCTACCTTGGCCACTGCGCAATTTTACTATTCAAAACGCAATAGGCATGGGAGCAATGGCTCACCAGTGGGGGCCTTTGGAAGAGTCTGCTGTAGCGCAAGAGGACGATGGGGTAGGACAGAAGAAAAGAAAGGCAAAGGATATCGGCAATGGCAACGAAAACGTCGATGGAGCATCATCATGGCTGTTATGCTGCCCACCCTACCCTACTGTGCTCGCCTCGATGTACGATACGGGCAGCCGTGGAACTTGCGGCTGTACTAGCTTCATCACGATCAATAACGAGGGGCGCTCGCCCAGTTTTTTTTTCCTTCCAAATATCGCTATTACTGTTCCATCTGGGTGTTGAAAGTTTACTGCTGGGGGTGGCCGATCTGCCGTGATGGGCTTGTCAGGTTGTGCCTGGTGCAAGGCTATCGAGAACCTAGCTCCAGATCTGGGGATCTGATGGGTTGATGGGCTGATTTGCTCAGATTTCTCCCAAGACATGATCATCGGGGTATGCGTGTGTATGATATGTTGGTCGTGGTTTCTTGGTTGCATTTTGATCATGTTTTGACCGGAATCCTCTGACGTTTCCTGTTGTTGAATGTGACAGAGTTACAAGTCACAACTGGCCATGACCATAACCATGGCTATGACCATCGGCGATTCGCATATTTTCTCAACATGATGAACATTACAATATCGGCCGCCTTTGGTTTACGGCACGATCAACAGCCTCGCGATGATCCACCTCTGGTAAGTTGACGTTAACGAAGCTATCGTCTTTTCGGATCGACATCCGGCCCCAAGTGAGTTACCCGACAGCCTAGGGATCTTCCAGTCCAAGTACAGAGTAGTAACCGCCAACACACCCGTCGCCAAAGGATGGCAGCTGGGGCCTCTGGGTCGGGATAAAGTCAAATGCCTCGTCCGTCTTGCCGGCTCGACTCGGTCCTAACTCGCCCATCAACTAACTAACTGGACTCTCCCGAGAGACCAGACTAGCAAGCTAAACCAAGATGCTGCAGGCTAAAGACATTTTCGGAACGGAAGCGGGGCCTCCATCACCATAATCAACGCCGCCTCTCGTGGGGGTGGGTATTGAGCAGATACTAAGACGGATAGAGAAGGGGGAGGGTACAGGTACACCAGGCACAAGGCACAGGAACAAAGAAAACGATTTGGATTTAAATTTGGATTTGGATTTGTGACATTTCGCCTCTCGAAAGAGCAAAACTTTAAAGAGAGCTAAACTTGACGTAGAGAGAGAGGAAGTTAATCAAGTTAGTGTGACGGGTTGGAAATCGAGATGTGATAACCGACATCGTAAAGTGGTGCTTTTTGCTTAAAAGACACCCTCGACACCCATTAAGCGAAGATGTTGGCTCGAAGCGAGAGATGGAAAAGACTCTGAACTCTAACAGTAGGGGCATCAGTATGATGCTAGCATGCATGATCATCAGGCACTGGAGAACAGTGACCTCAGTCAGTAGAGATGGAGCGAATTAGCTGATGGACACTGGAATTTGATCATCCTTTCTTTAAATTCTTTCTTTCTTATCTTTAACTTGACTTCACTCTAACGACAGTCATGGTCCGGCCCGCTGCCGTTGGGGTCGTCCAATGACATGGACCTTTAGTCACAGGATATACGTACGGATTAGACGGAAAAGGACTTGACACTGTCACATCATATCATGAGCCAAGGCCAGCCCTCCAGTTAAGTGACCGAGACTTTTGGGGTCCTTGCACCCACCCGCTGAATTAGGTTGTCATACAGAAAGGTTCTGGCCTTGAAGGGACCCCATATCAAGTAAAAGGAATCATGGTAGAGAATCTAGACGTTTGTACATGATTGGGGTCGAATGCCCACATTCCCTTTCTGTTGGTCAGACTGACTACCTATTGAGTCTTCTCTCCTTAATGACATCGAGTGTCAATTTTGAGTCTCGGTTATGTACCATGTCGTACGTACGGTTGAACCGGAAGATTGACAAGATGCTGCAACCATAGACATGCGCATGACATGGCATGAGTGTAGTAGCATTAGCATGATAGGTGCATATAGAATTGTCCACTAGACCCGACTAAACCGAACAAGCCGAGACTATGCCGTCCGGTTGAGAAGTCCAGTAACTATCACGCGTACGATCTGGAGGGGATATATGCAGACGATGGTTGATCATGGCGCTTTCTACGTAATACAGGTGCGATACAATAGCAATCGAATGATATTAACGAAACGTTATCCTGGTGACATGTTGGCGAAAACCAGGAATATCGATGTAGTCCATGTCACTTAGGTTACCCTAGAGCACAACATGTACGCCTTGGCTTTGATATGGGGCATACCTGAAACATCAATAATAAGAGGCTATCTCACTCTTTAAACATGAAGGCTAATACAGAAGCTTGCATGTTTAATTTCATTGTCCATGCTCATCAATACGAAAACTAAAGGACGAAGTTTGGATATTGCAATATTTCCAATATCAACCTTGACAGCTTCCATACGAGAAGCATCAACAACTGCAGCATCAGTCCTCATTTTCACCACCAATCCCGTACTGTGACGGACAAAAGTCCTTGCCATCCCAGCAGTACCCAGAATTCATCTTGTCCAGGGCATAGAGCTCCTTAGACAGTGTAGCGTTGGTCGATCAGAGATAGTCAGGGCACTGAGGGCCGAGCGGCTCGAGCTCACTCATCAGAAACACGGCAAACGGGTGGTCTATGCAAGCTAATTATTTCGAAGGCGACAAACAGGTTCCCTAGACTATCCGATGAATATTCGAACTTGTGTTGGGTCGATATCAAGGTTGTGTAGGATTCGAGTTACATGTGAGCATTACATATGACGAGACTTAAGACTATATCGAGCACTTTTACAGATCTGACCGTCACACTAAGTAATCACGAGAGGCAAAGAACTCAAACGAGATAGTGTGCTTGCAGAGATATGTGGTCATCCAATACTGGGAGAAATATCCGACAGTTCCCTTGCTATTCCCAATGGTGCCAGTACTAGCTGCCCATGTATATTGCCTCGCCCTCGGTTAACATGTCAGACATCCTCCCGCTATATCGAGTTTTGGCGAGTTGAGACACATGATATTGAAACACACGAAAATGGACTTTAATATTTTGATAAAGGGCCAAAATATGTATCCGAACTTGTCCTAATAGTCCTAGAGACTCACCACAAGAATTGTACTTGGGCAACATAGTGCAGAAATGATACAGTTGAGTGAGACAAGGCAAATAAGCGCCCATTTTCTGCCCAGTCCAGACAGTACAGCACACGCACACTACAAAGTGTTATAAAAGTGATAGGAGTGAGTGTCAGGGGTCATCATACCCCTGTCATTTATGGACGGAAATCGAATACTAGAGCGGGTCCCTGGTGTTATTATTCCCTGCAGAATCCCTATCCTAGATTTCCCACCTGAATCACTCGCCGGACGGCAACCCTTTTTTTTATTTGTTTGTTTGTTTTGATGGCGATGGGCCCGACTCATTTGTCCCTGAAAAGGGTCACGGTCACGGACAACGTTACAGAATGTTGACTCGTTCCCTGTAATGTCGGTAGAGGTGTATTGTGTTCCGAAACCAAACATCAAACACAGGACGACTGTACTGGTCATAAGCCAAGAGGCCAGGCGTCAAATATCTGAGACAGTTACAGGCCAGCCAGTACACAACTACTAGTCAGGGACTGACTGTGACAAAAGTGCAAAATGTCAGCGCAGCCTCAATAGACACGAACGACCGTGGCGCATGCATACAAGCATACAACATTCCCGATCCACTATCTATGTCTATTTGGCATTGTTTCCATGGTATTCTTATAAATCCATCCATCGGCTCATAGAGGATCTTGTCACGCAAATGAAATCATCAGAGAAACAAGCCAAGACAATCCACCACTGTCAATAACTCGCTAATGACAGTAGCGGTCTGTTGAGAAACCTCGGACCCATTCTCCGGAACATGATGCACATACAGTAGAAACCAGTGCCTGGCTACTATGGTATAACCTTGAAATCTGGGTTGACCAAGGAGGCGAGGCGAGACGGAGAGAGGAGTCTGGAGCCATTTGCCAGCGTGACCATGATGCCCACAGCGCTAGACATGACTGACCATTGCCGGGCCTACAACACATAACACAGTAGTACATGCCTTTTGACGGTGAGGACGAAATGTATTCTGGAGTTATTTATACGAGAGACAATTGTGGCCACTTGCTGTACAGCCAGCGAATACTTACCAGACAGGACCAGGCCAGAGCTGGCCAGGAGGCTGGCGGTCTACGAGTGAATTAAGACAGAGAAAAAAAGAGGCGGCGCATAAAGTGACAGAGAAGACGGAGTTTCACCGATTGGGAATCAATCCTTCTATAAAACTACCGAGATTCCTTCCCGCCAAGCGCGATTTAAAAGCCTCTTTCTCATCCGTCCACAGTAAGGCAGAGGAGTGAGAGTAAGAGTGAGAGCGAGATATGACAAGTGTAGCAGCAAAGTGATGTCAGCGATCATGGTTTGGCTTGGCCGAGAATGCTTCTGTAACGAGACGACGACTCAAGTGAGGCGCGCGCAGCAGCAACAGCCCAGAAGTACAGTACGTACCAGGTACTCTAGTTATGTACATAGTACTCTGTACTGCATCTCTCTTCTGTATGATCCCTGTTGCACAACTCAGTGCCACCCATGTCTACAAGGGTCTTCCGCTTGATGCCCCGGGAGGGGGATCCCTGTCGAGTCTAACTAAACACGTTGGCAAGCTAGAAGCTGTGGGAAGTGGTTGTTTATTCGTGGATTTGGGTATATGGGATTAGTATGTACTTCCAAAGAAGAAGAAAAAAAGTCGTATTAAAAGTGACTGTGGCTGTTCTTAGGTGGGCGGGCATGTCCAGAATGGGTGAATCGTTAGGTAGAATGGAAAGACAGCAGCAACAGCTCAGCCAGCTCGGGTAAAGGTAGCAAGAAACTTCGTAGCGTTGACACAAAGTAAAGTTTCACGGCAAAGAGAAGGATGCCAGAAGAGGGGCAGCTAGCAGACGTTGAGAACCGTTTTGGCTTCAAGGGAGAAGAAAATAAACTTCAATCGTATCTAAAAAACATTAATAGTTTGAAAAGAAAGTTGGATTAATGCGAAGCTCAGTGCGATGACTCAAAAACTATGCCCTGACCACTCAAACTCTCAATTTGAACGATGAGTCAAGATCCTGAATCATTAATGATTCATCTGACACACTCATTATTAATTGGATCTACTGCTTAGTAGCTTGGGAGAGGAGGAGAATTGTCGGGTTTGTGGAGTTTTATTGCAAAAGAATTGAGGCCGGAAGTTGCGGGGGCGGGGCATCTCATCGATCAAGATATGCACATGTAAAGTAAGTAACTGCGCTGTGCTGCTCGATCATGCAGTCAGTCATATCATTAAATAACCGGATCATATCAGAGAAACGGATAAACACGTTCTTTTTCTGTTGTTGTTAGTACTAATAATTCTGCTTCTCTTGTTCTTTCCTACTACAGTTTGGTTCTTTTTTCTTCTTTTCTATTTCTCTCTCTCCCCGCATTTATGGAACGGAAGAGCGGGTGTTCCCTTTGGATCATGACTGTGTCCGGTTAAGACCGGTCCAGAATACCGGGACGGCAGACATTGATCAGAATACATAGTATATTGTGAAGGAAAGAAAACATAACTGACATGAAGGAGCAGAGTGAATTGTTGAGTGGCAGATCAATCTTTGGCTTACATGTCTCGGGTAGCAGACGAATCGAAGCGTCCGTTCGGCAACTCAACAATACGACTGTGACAGTATCAATACTAAACTTTTTCACACTACTGCAGGTAATAAATATCATTAACTAGGTTCGGCGATACGATAATAATTCCTCTAATTAATTATGTACAATAGCAGATTATCCCCAGATCATGCTATATCCTGCAAATCATAATTATTCGCATCTCCCGGCATCGAGTTTCAGTTAACATCTTTGACAGTCCTGCATAATCTACCTAAGTTATGCCCTCATTTCCCTCTCCTCGTGAACGGTTTGGACCCTGATCCACCCAGCTGATCGGCAATCATGTCCAGACCAGACCAGACCAAACCGAATCATCTGCAAGGTCCCGACCACGCCAGTCGAGAAGGTAGGGTAGCAGTAACAGATGATTGATTGGCGATGCAGGTTTTCCTTGGTCAACCTCGCCAGCTCACATAGCCTTTGACGAGCCTCCAAGAAATCAATTATTCTTAACATTAATCAAATCGCAGCGGGGGTCTCTGCAATCGAGAATTGCTTTTGACTCCAAAGACTTTTGAAAACGTCAGCCTGTGACGCTGACATGACCGGAAAATAGAATGGTTCAGCCCTTTTCTACCATGGGAAACGGGAAGCCCGACATGCAATCTGTAAGCCACATACGACCATCGAGGGGACTCACTGGGGTTCACTTATTCCATGCAGCAGCCCATGACTGCCACCCTTTCGCTTGTTGCACCGTACAATACAGTGTATTGTATCAATGTGTGCTGAGTCTGGCTTTTCAACACCCAAAAGGTTGAGCAATGAGATAAGAATGGTCCCTGGAATATGCTCTTCCAACCAGCCTATTCGGGCCCGCCTCGGACAAAACCGCGGTGTGTAGCATGTTGTGTTGTGTTGTGCTCTGCTCTGCTGTTCTGAGCTGACGACAGATCATGGGTACCGCCAAGACGAGTGGGTTCCTCAAGACATGCTATTGACGCATCTAGGCTGTCTCTACTTCTCTGTCAGTCCGTCTCCTAGTACAAACATCATTATCCCGACGTATTCTATCTGTACCACGAGCAGGAATATTCCCTCGTATTGAATGCCATGATTGATATGAACCAAGGCCTGCATCATCGTAATAAAAAGTAAAACCACTGCATGGGAAGCAATGGTCATCCGGCACGGCTTGGCTAGCAGGTCTAATCGGCCGTCACTAATCATCAGATCCCCCAACTACTCGGTCGCCATGTGGCAGAGTGTAGCGTCACTGTACTGGTGCAGTACGGTACAGTACTCTCGTACCTCGCATCACTCCCACTGACCAAAACGATTGAGCTTAGCCTCATCTTGCTCAATTGGTAAGAAACAGGATCCCCTCCTCTAGGTCTTGAAAACCCCCTTCATAATCAGGCAGGCATCCTGACGACAAATGCCCAGAGAAGCGTCGAGATTGCATATCTGCTTAACAATATGAATTATCCACTTGCTTAATCTTCGACTCAACTGGAAATAGAGTCAGAGCTCCACTGTAAACAGTCAGTAAGGCCAAAACAGTCATGGGTCCGCTGCTGGCTTATTGGAGGCGTGCCGACAAGGGAAGAAAGGGTCACTGCGGATGGGATTTTGGGGTTTGAGCTCGCGCTATTGTTATTGCAGGCATACCAAAACGACATGGAATTATATGTGGCGGAGACAAATTGCGTTGAGTAATTCAAGATGAAATAAATCATCTTTTCAAGGGAGAAGACATCGATAACAAAGGGGTTTATTTCAAGCCTCTTGAACAAAGTTTTCTCGATCTGAAACCCCAGGCGCTGCTCTTTCAAGCCCAATCTTGTTTCAGCAAATGTTGCTCCAGCCCTTTGATCTCAGACCGAATGAGTCCTAACCAGCAAGACAAGAACAACTCAGATCAGATGGGATCCTGCACGAATAGCAAACACCAGCATCCCATCCACGGTTCGGCCACGGCCACGACTCCCCCCGGCCGGATGACAGATCCGTCGTGACCTCCATTCCGAGCCCTTGATGTCTTGCTATGGGTCATCCGGAATGGGTCTTCTCGTTCGCTAGACCTGGTAGCTCAACCTGTCCGCTGGATCCAGCCCGTCATGTCCCGTTCCCTAGGCTGACGACCTGACAACCAATTGGGACGTGAAAACAACAATGATGCGACAATCCGAAGAGTATTGTTGTCTCGTCTTTTTCGCTTTCGCTCCGCTTCTCAGCTTCATATTGATAGAGAACCTTCCATTTATATGAAAATGTGCTCAGAAGGACAACCAGAACCTTGATCAAGAGGCCGGCGAACGGGACGGGAGGAACCCTTTGGCTTTCCATTTCTGGGACGAGTTTCTCGACTAGCACAACGCCTTGCATGCATCCACCACATCCATCAATCCATCGCTGTGGGCCTCCTGTGCTACGCGGCCCGCTCTTTGGTCCAGAGGTCGCGGTCAAGTACTGATTTGCAGTTCGGAGCTGCCCCAGGGCTCTTTGTAGGTCTTTACAGTTGAGCAAAAATGCTGAGCGCTACTTTAGGAATACTCTCAAAGGGACCTTGACCGGTCGACTTCACCACATGCACCATCAGGCGCACCATCAGGCACGCCACCGAAGCCACGGCCCCAGTGGACGCTAGCGAAGCTGAAGATGTTTGAATACAGCAGTTGAACTTTTGACCCAGCAAACGGCCCTGTATTTATCACTGTATCGGTCAACGTTAGAGCGGTCACAAGCTCTCTGGGTCCCTGATTAGCATTGTCTGTAGTGGATACTCGTCACTCAGAGCACTGTAGAGCCTTGAGTAGCGATAAAGTACTGCCACACCAGGCGAATATTCGTAGCGTACCGTGCGGGTAGCTTGGCACATCCGAGCAGGAAATCGTCTCCCAGTTAGAATGAAGTGCTGTCAAAGAACGCTTTGTGCTGCCGAAACCCAAATTTAGTGTGTTAAAGCATACTGTGTGTGCAGAGCGGTGCAGTGCAGTCGGCTGTAGCGCGAGCAGTCTGGCAGTGCAGATGCTGGCAGGTGCTGGCAGGTGCTGGTGCTAGGGGCATTGGGGCGTCTCCTTCCTCCCCGGCCAACTTCCCTGTTTGGCCGCACCCACTCCCGCTCGTCAGGTAAGGTAGGAGAGGAAGGTACCTCCCCCATGTTCCTTTCCGCACGCAGTACCTACCTTGGTACATCCTCGTCTCCCGTCCTTCCATTGTCGCTTCCTTTCCTGGGCTCGCTCGCCGCTGCCGCTCTCATTCCCTCATTGATCGTCTCCGCCCTCCGTCAACTTTCTCCCTCAACTTGTTTTTTGCTTCTCGACGAGAGTTGCAAATCACAAAGGGTGCTGGAGCTTCTTTGTACGTTTGTGGCGGTAATCATTGTTACTGCCAACGACAAACGCACAGCGCTCTCTCATTCATCTTTGTCCTCCTTAATCGGAGAGAGGGCCCCCATTCTTGCGTTTCCTTCGTTGCGGCTTTGGCTTTCGTACGCCCAGCTCATAAAAACAGCGGCCTCACTCTCGGCTCACCTTGTTGGATGACAATGTGACAACGCTCCTCACCATTTCTCATTAGACTTTCCACACCGGCAAATCTTTCTCTCCTCATCAACGGTCTCCTCCAAACTTAACCTCCTAACCTTCAATCCGCGAACTCGATCGACTAAACGTCACGCTTCCACGCTTCCGCCCTGCTCCTACATTGATCGACATAAACATTCAACTCCGCGAAATTTCTCACTCCACGGCCTACCGAGGCTCGTGATATCCTCCAGTATGAACTCGCTCAAGGTTCCCGAAAGCGGGCTGCAGCTCGAGGGCTCAACTGGCAAGGACGCTAGTCTGCCTTCCCAGGCCTTTGCTCTCACCCTGAGCGATGTCCTTATTGAGGACATGATCAAGTGTGTGCAGAATGGCGATGGCGTTCAGCTTTCGCTTGGAGCCAACCCCGTAAGTTTGCCAATTCTATAGCTATTTGACAATGCGATCCCAAAAAGATCGCGGGTCAAGACATTTGAGCTCGTGTTTTCGGTTGCTAATCTCACCCGCAGACTCTCCTCTACGGCTCCAAGTCCCATACCATTGCTCCTCCTTCCGACTCGAACCCATACGACCTTTACCTCACACGCCCTTTCGAATCGACTCGAACGGCCGAAAAGATTCCTCATACAGGCACTCTTTTTGAAAAGCCCAAGGGTGCTGCTTCGAAGAAGTCGCAGGCTAGCAAGGCCGACAACACCATTGATGCAAAGACCGCAAAGTCCAGCAAGAGCGTTGCATCTTCAGGATTGGATTCTGATATCGAAGCTCTTCAAAATGGACTTGCGGCTCATGCTGCCTCTAGGGAGAAGTCGGTCTCACTTGCCTCTAGTTTTGGATTAATCATACTGACATTTATTCAAGGGCACGCGTGGTTGACAGACTACCCGCGAAGAAAGGCGCGATCAAGGCCAAGAACAACAAGACGCTTAGCTCTACCGCTCCCCGATCGATTCCCCAATCTCCAGGTCAGGTGTCACTAGGCTCTGCCACGCCCAACCCAACATCACAATCCCTGGACCGAGCCAAAGGAGACCGCGCCATGCTGGTGCATGAGCTTGCTGTGCAAGATCGTTCATTTGACAACCTGTCTAAGAAATGGGAAGGCGCGCAGGAAGACATGGAACCCACACTACGAAAGGTTGCCGATTACCTCGATGACAGTAGGAAATGGTCACTAAAGAAACGAGCATGGAAAGACCTTGATGTTTGGAATTACGATTATGATACCCAAGAACTACGACAGAAGGCGGTTGACAATGCTGTTCGACAATACGACAAGCAAAGGATCACCATCGCCGAACCAGAGTGGGACAGGCTATTGCCTAAGGAGGAACGAGGAACAGGGAAATGCCTGAGCCGAGTGCAGGCCAACCTCACCAAGATCAGCACTCCATCGATCAATGTGGAAATGGCGGACAGTGGCTCCACGCCTCGTGATAACGAAAATGTTCTGGATACTAGTCGGCCAAGAGCTGGCGGAGAGGCCATGTCTAGGTCCACCTCCAATCCTATGTCCAACAAGGCCAAAAAGCCTACAGCTCAAGAAGCTCAGGTCAAGCGTCTCTTGGGCAAATCCAAATCCAAGACGGCTACAACAGCTGGGGCAAAGCCTGCATCAAAAGCCACTTCGATCAAGGCATCGCCTACTAAGCAGCGACCCGCGGCTGCGCCTAAGGCGAATGGAGGAAGGGTTCTATCGCAGGCAATCATTTCCAACTCAGACAGTTCAGAGGATGACGCCGCTCCCATGATCCAGTCCAAGCCAAAGCCAGCCCCCAAGCCAGCTCCGAAGGCGAAGGACACGGTTGTGGCCAAACCACGACCTCCGATGAGGGAGCCAGTGAAGCAGCAGATCACGGCGAAGCGACCTCGTGAAGACGACGACTCCAGCTCCAGCTCTGGAACACCTTTGTCGAAGCGCATCAAGCCCAAGCAGCCACTTCCTGGCCCTCGACTCAAGCAGCGACCCTCGGATGGAAGCCAGAACTCTCGCGGGACAGTCACATCGACTTCGATGAAGAGCAAGAACACGTCGCCAACAAAGTCGTCGCCTCTTGCATCTTCACCACCCACCAACGCTTCGGATCTCGAGAACGAGGCACAGTCTGCACCAATCGTTGTAAAGAAGCGCAAGGTAGAAAGCTCAAGCAAGCCAAACGCTACAAAGCGACCAGCTACCGCAATCTTCTCCGACGATCTTGTGCAAAAGGCACAGGCGTTCAAGGTTTGCTACCAAAAGTACGAAGCCTTGCACAACGAGGTTTCTGCCTTGAACAATCCTTCAAGCAGAAAGCTGGACCACCTCGTGGAGATGAGGAACCGACTGAAAACGATGAAGATGGAGATTTACAGTGAATGCCCTCCCGAGAGGAGCTAAATGGCAAGAATAATACGACAGGCTGAATGAGCCAAGGGGATTGATTTCAACGGCGTACAGCATCACGACCGGATAACTTTGACAGTCGCATTTTGCATTGGGAAAACAGGAATTGCATGAACAAGAGCTAACCGGACAGGAACAAAGCTCTCTTTGATATTTGCATCGTTATTTGATACCACATGACAAGCCAAGCCAAGGCAGGCAGTTAGATTAGGCAAGAGCCAAACAATACAGAAAGTGTTGAAAATGAATTGAGGAAGCATCCAATGATGAATGTGACTGTGATTGGCTAAGCGATCAAAATGTAGCGAAGTCATGGAATCAATGGAGGCACTTCATTTTTATGGACTCCTATCAGTTAACAACATGGGGGGAATATGGGTTCCTGTGATGACGTGAGGTGCATGTGATCATGGTGCGTGATTTACCTAGAATTTACCAAATTGGGCGTCACGGGGATGTCTAGACCAATGTTTGGTGGGCCGAATGAACGGACGGGTGAGCTGATTCAGGACCCTTAGACAAAGTAGAGTTTAGCAAATGCAGTAGTGGCTGATCATGGCCTTTCAGCCTGCTGAGCCGTATATGCAACGATATGGAATTGTTTATCAATAGTAGCACTTTGCTTCTGGTCTCTGTGAATGGGTGTCTTATGCACGTAGCCGCAGGCAAAAGAGGTTTGCTTGAAAAATGATAAAGCAGTAAAGGGGACAATGAACCTGCATATTTTAGCTGCATTACCTGTCTGCAAAAGACAACGAATTAATTCTACAGAATTCACATGCTTATGTTTAAGAAAATATGAGCAAACATGGTCGTGAAGACATATAAATGCCGTACAGAGTTGCAAAGCCTTTCCAACTCAACATCTGCCTTTACTCATCTTTAATCAAAGCAACAAGTCCGTCACCGACAATGGCAGCCAGACGTTCACAGTTCGTCGACACCACAGCCACAGAGGCACCTGGGCTCTACTATCAGGACCCAAGATACATCTACCATGTTCCCCAGACTTCGCTCCGAAACATGGCCCCCGCGCCTATTCGTATGACCGAAGATTACTACAATCAGACGTATCCTCTTCCAGCAACTCCCCCAACCCCTTACATTTTCAATGCATGTTGCCGCGGTCGTAGCCGCAGCCGCCGACGTCGTGCCTCGCGCCCCTCCAACACCTATGATAGCGATGGCTCAACGGATGGCTATCCGTCATATGGAGATGCCCAGCCGACCCAGCAAGGAGTAGATCGCCTTCCGCCTCGAATCGCTCTGAAACAACTCTCAGATTTTCTTTACGCGGCTGCTATTTTCTACGATAAACAGCTCAACGAATTCGCTCACAAGCATTATAATAGCGGCTATACTTCCAACAAAGCTCTTCGCCAGTTGCTATGGAAGGACTGGATGGGCCGACGCGACGATGTCACGCTCGAATCTTTTACGTCTACAAAGATCAACACCACAACGCTGTTTCGCCAGGTCGAGGCAGCTGCTGAGATGCCATGGCTGGAGGATCCAGATATCGAGGCACGGTTTAACTCCACCCTCAAGATTCTACAGGGCATGTGTTTTGAGATTATCAGATTAGCTGGTAAAGCGACGAGTGATTGGCAAGCTTGTCGTTTTCTGGCTGATGAATTGAACAATGCGAGATCGTATGCCAGCCCTGAGGGGCCTGTTCAGCGACACTTGTTCAGTGGATGGGATAAGCCAGAGTCTTGGTGAGCGTAGAAAGGGAGGGAAACATATTTGGATTTCTTGTTAGAGGTGCTTTCTCATGTTTGGAGAAATGGTTTGTTGGAGTTGAGATGCACATTTACATGCAACCAGAGCAAGGATAAGAGCTGGAATATGCTAGGGCGGCCAATCGGGAAGACAGTGGAGACAAGCTCATAGCTCCCTCCTTGTCTGTCAGTGTCAGACACGTGGATTATGTCGATCTTTCCTTTTATTGTTGCAATCTCTTTGTGGCGGTGCAGATTGCAGAGCTGTGGCGCTTACGCACGCAGGCACGACATTCAGAAAAGATATGATAGGAAGATGTGCTTAACCCAATTAGATGTTGGCCAAAAAAAAAAATCGCAACTTTTTCTTCTTCTTCTGTAATTGTTAGGCTTGTTTTTTTTTTTTTTTTTTTTTTTTTTTTTTTTTTTTTTTTTTTTTTAAAAAAATTAGTAGCCAGTTAGGAGTCATCATGTGGGTTTTTTTGGTGACCCTTTTCTTTTCCCCGGATTGCCTGTAGAAAATTCCTAACGAAACAGGGACTAAATAACGTTATGTTCTAGGCTTGAGGCGTGTCCGATATGTCTGCATAGCTGTTCTAGCTTGTGCTCTCAAGCGCTTTTCTGATCAACTTCTCCTGTCCTGAAATTTTGACCTCTAAAAGTTTCTCGCCACACCGACAGCATTTGAACTGACTCTCCCTCCCTCTCGTGGTGAAATATCAGTGGATCGCGATCTTATCATGGGTATCGAAGCGCTTGATTTCCCCCAGATGTGGGAACGTCCCAGCTACACTCAGCTGGCAGACATACTCAAGACTCTCGAACTTAGTCCCCCCATATGGAACCATAAGCGTCGCCGCTCAGAGATTATCGAGGAGCAGGAATCCTTGGCCAGCCAGCGCAAGGCCGAAGTCACTCGTTATCTTTCCTCCATCATCAAGAGCCCCCTATCATGGATCGAGGATGACGACGAGAAGGAGATTCTCTGGACACAGGCGAGCAAGCGTATGTCAGAGCGATGCGGACGCACGGCTATGGGAGAAGTCGTTCGGAGCTGGCCTTTTGAAGACGGAGCGGACGAGTTTGAGCTGATTATCAAAGAGCCCGCCCTCACAGGAGACTCGCTTGGCTTCAAGACCTGGGGATCGTCGTATGTGCTTTCGCAGCATCTCCCTCGAATGGCTGAGACCTCGCTATTTCGACTGTTTGACGAGACGCTGGGCCAGCCAAGACCTGATGTTCTTGAACTTGGATCTGGAACAGGACTTTTGGGTCTTGCAGCTGCCGCTTTCTGGAAGGTCCCTGTAGCTCTGAGCGATCTACCGAATATCGTGCCCAATCTGAGAGAAAACGTTGCCAAGAACGCCGAACTCATCAAGTCTCGTGGTGGATCACTTACAGTCGGCGACCTGACCTGGGGTGGCAGTGAGGATGAAATAGACCAAACTCTTTTTGGACAACCGAATCAGTTCAAGGTATGTTTCGTAGGCGATTGTGATTGTGATTGTAAGGGGGAGAGGGATGGTTTTATGACTCTTATTTGCAAACGACTTGTTTTCTAACCGCCCCTGTGACTCTAGATTGTCCTCGCGGCTGATCCCATGTACGACGATGACCACCCAGCACTTCTCGCTTCCGCCATCAGTGAGCACCTGGCTCTAGGCTCAGATTCACGCGCTGTCGTCATGGTCCCGCGTCGGGACGTCACCACTGGGCGCCTCCTTGAGTCGTTCCGCCAGGCTATGCTTGACCTTGATACGCCGCTGTTTTGCGAAGAGGAGGACGAGCTTGCTGGCCAGGATGACTGGATTGAGGATGACGAAGCAGGCAACGTGCGGTGCTGGCTTGGTGTATTTAGTCGAGGCGGTTCACCGCTGCCTTTGAGTAGTGATGCAGCCTCTGTTGTATAGGTGATTAGGAGGGAGGAAGGGAGGGAGGGAGGGAGGGAATGGAGTCAGGCGACTTGGACTTGAGACGAATAGGGGATATGGACCGGAGGAAACACTAGAGGACTAGACGACTAGATGATTAAATGACTAGATATAAATTGACTGATTGATTGATTGATTGACTGCTTGATACAGTAGTAAGGAAACGCAGCAAGCGTAGACAAATGACTCTCTGTAAGCAATGATACAGTTGACCCCTTGAAATTTCGTGAACAATCACCAGACGCTCTCCGGGCGAGCACTTCATAAGGCCTTCTTCTTCTTCCACTTCTGGACTTCTATTTCTCCCCTTTCCCTCCACTTCCACTCGCCCAACAAAAAAAACACGTTTCCCTAAAGCCCCTTTCTTCAATAACGATCATTGTTTCTCCTACGACATACCTGCAAGAAGCCTATTGTTTGATATCTCTTATTGATATCCTATGACTTCCTATTGTTCCTGCTATTTTTCATCTCTTCTCAAGCCTATGATTCACTGTCGATAGCTGAATAGCCTCGCTTAGCCAGTTCTGGACCTCCATAAAACCCTCCCGGTCCCTGACTTCTCAACCTCTTCTTTTCACAACCCTACAACCCAGTCATCGTGATTAAGAAGCTACTTTCCCTTAGTCACAGACATCTAAGTCTACCACCTGAGACATCACGCAATCGTAATTCTCGTTTGTTCCATGAACAACAGACTTGGCTCAACCGCACATCACAAACTACTTAGCTGGACCTAGGACCACTATCGGCTTGGACGTTTCTTGGACAGACACAGTTTTGAATCTTATCCAACATCAGCTCATCACTAAACCTTTGTTACACACTACCTATAAAGACTTTGATACTACTCCTGGCCCATCATGACCGGTAAACCAGTTTACAAACCCGAAGAGATCCGCTTCGCATTGGACCTTATGGTTCAGGACCTGTTCAACGAAGAAATCTCTCTGGCTTTTCGACAACGCTTCGACCGAGAGTTGACTGACAACCAGATTCGATATTTGAGGAACAAGTATGGAAAGGACCCAGACTATGGGTATGTTGTATTTACCAATATCATATTATTTCATACGTTTGTTAACTAACATGGTACTTGTAGATCCCCCCTCATCAATCGGCCAGCAAACAAGAAGGTCAAACGAAGACGAGCTGCTATTGCAGCGGCATCTGTAACATGTCCTACATCAGAGTAAGTTCTTTTAAGTTCTACATAGCTGTCCACTAGTTCATCGATATTGACTATGGTTATAGGGGCTCACCCGGTCCTTCGAAGCGAACATGCAGAGAGCCATCCTCTTCATCAGCTGGACTTTCCCTCTCCCCCCCAGATCAACGAACAGGACTATCACAGATACCACCACTCCAGCTGGAGGATGACCAGTCTACACTCTTCTCTGCTGCTCCTCAACTTCAGATACCAATATCCCTATCTCAGTTTGCCAATATTTGCTCCCCACCCAGGAACTCTTACACTATGCCCTCGACTCAAGATGCATTCGCTCCTGGGCCTTCAAGCAATCGCTGGCAAACACAGCCAAACACAACCTTCACTACTGATTTCACACCTATCAACACCCAGTTCGGCCATTACAATGTCAACACTCAAGGCCGAGGAACTTCGCCAGCTACCAACACGACACTGAGCCCGAGATCTCTACAACTTCCCCAAGCCCAACCCATCCACAACGCCAGTTCTACACAACAGCCAGCATTCAACTCCTTTCTGAATATAAGGTTCCCAGTCACTTCTCCCCAGCAAACCGTAGGCGTTCAGAGCGGGGCCTAGAATGCCCCTGCTACCCAACGCTCGCCGTCCTTCACGCTGGAGATGCCCGCGCCCAACTTTTCCCAAATTCCTGATCCTGTATATAATGATCAGCAGGCGCCCCCTCCTGCAGCGTTCCTTACCGAGTCGAAGCAAGAAGTTGTCAAGGAGGAGGAAGATTCAGCTCAGTTCAGCTGGGAGGAATACGTAAGAGCAGCTCACCCAGCGGCTGACCCAGCTTCCTCAAACCAGTTGCTAACTCGACACGTTGAAGTTTTAAATGAGCAACTTCAGCTGTGCCCCCCTGATGCTGTCAAGGACGAGCACGAAGGGATTGCACAGAGCTCATCGGAAGTTGGTCCTGGGGTCAAGCAAGACACCGAATCGGGTCTGGATCCAACTACGATTGACCCACGACTGTTTTCCGCCAATTATGATGAAGAATTGTTTACAAAGAAGCTTTCTTTCTAAGCTATACTGTAGCTTAGTGCGTGTTTTATATACTTGGGAGACGCTTGAGAATTCTGGCTCGAAGGATGACCAGGCTGTTCACTGCCTTACTCAATTAGATAGGGAATGAATCCCACTGTCTTGATAAACCCAACCTTTGTTTGATGGACTTGATGGGCTTCAAGGCGATACTAGTTGCGGTGACTTTTTTTCTATATAGCTATTTTTCTTCGAATACTGTTGATAATCCAGATAGGCAGCGACAAGCCTTACTGATATGCACAAATCGAAATGGAAACAGGGGGTGAGGCCAGGGCATGAATTGGATACCTGGGGTTTTTAATCGCTTTGGTGTAGCTACAATAACAGTATAACTATTTCAACCGTCTGTGTCACTCAGGATATGTGGCTTTGAAAATCCTCCAAGGATCTCATGAAACTTGCTATCGTGTCATCTTTGACTTGAACAGAGTCGACCGTACCCTCCAGTTCTCTTCCATCGACACGCTCGCTAGAGCCTCCCAACAGGGTATCTCGTGCATGTAGAAATGAATAGACCACCGCGTAAAATCTCTTCAAAATGCCTCTCCATCCCGGCATAAACAGATATATATATAAAATTGTCGTATTTATAAGTGTATTGGCACAATCCAAGGCCTTTATAGCTCCCAACTCCCAGTTCCAGTATAAAACAATAACATTAGACGTAGCGTATCATGAGCGTAATTGGTTCGGCGCCATCTCAAAACCTGGATAAAGAGTTGAGGAGAGCCCGACACCGTGCTTAAACCACAATGCTAACATTGCGTCGTGTTTCAACCTCTTCAATGGGAAATTGGAAAACAACTCGGAAAAGGTCTCGGAGGTAGGCATATCTTTGTGAGCTCTTCATCATCATTTGGATACTCTTGGCCATTTCTTGGGCAGTGACTCGCTTGCCTCGGGCCGGTAAATTGTGGTGTCGAGGGATTATAGCATCAGTAAGAACCGAGTTCTTATACTGTGCCAACAAGTTCGAATGTGAGATAAGGGAGCCGAATGACCCAGGAGGGAGATCCTTCACAAAGGTTTGTAGGGCCGTCGCTGCAGCTTTAGGGTCATGAATGGAGTCACGATTGAAGCCCAAGTTCATAGCAGCTGCAAGAACAAGTATTTTGGCGCGTGTCACATTTATATCTTCCGATGCGGCGGTAGTAGTGGCGGTGCTTGAGGTTCTAGTGCTGCTCTTCGAGTAGCTTGAGAGGTTAGAGGCACTACTAGACCATCGACCGCGGCTGTTGTCGCTGGGCGTGCCAAGAACAAGAATGTTGGGCATGGTGGGTGAACGACTTTGCGGGGAGATGGGTGTGTCTTCAAATTCGGTTACAGGGGTTTCGGGAACAACAGGATTCCTTGGTTTCTCCTCCTGACGTCCGCTCTTAACACTATCATGCCTGGAGCGGACTGAAGACGGATTTGATCCACGACTCTGTCGACCGTTTTGGTCATTCAGATGCAGGGGAAACGGTTGCCCTGGGCGTGGTGTTCCGCCCCTTTCAGGCCGAACTTGGGCCCAGTTGTCCCGGAAAACATCACACAGCTCCAAGCAAGCTGTAACAGTTGAGCTTAGCAATTCTTCATCTGGGGGCCTTCCATCTCTTCTGTTCTGCCTGAGATTGAAGAGCATTTCTGCCAGAGCCCAGCATGCTCTGAGCAATTGATCTGTCTCTTCTGCTAAGTCATTCCGTTGCTTCATAAGTCTGTGACATAAGGCGATGTAGAAGTCCAACGTGCGCTCCCTAAACTCTTCTGGCAGATTGAGATCCTGGGCACTGTACAGACTGCCGACTTGTTAGCAATGTGTAATTTTCGAATTTGTGACACTTACTGGTTGTTGAGCTCAAAACTGACACGCAAGACTGAATCGGCAGCTTCGTCGTTGCGTTGTCGCACCTCAAACAGTGCTTGGCAAAAGTCGCGGCAAAGATCAAGGTTGACCTTGACATTGAAGTTACTAGCATCCTCGTCCCGGCTATTGTACAGCCGCTGGCAGAGTTTCCAACAAGTTCTCCATGCTTTGTCGTGGGCATCTGGAATACCACTTTTACCAAGACCACGCTTGCGTTGGATGGAACTCAGCTTAGACAAGCTGTTGCAAAGAGTCCAACACTCTGTAAGTGCATCTCGGAGGGTTTCGATCTCATCTTGTTGTTGGGGTACTGGCATTGCTTCCGACTCGTAGTCCTCGTCGTCGCCCTCGGCCTCAGTTTGTTCATCAATTTCTAAGCATGTTAGTCACGTACATCACCTCAATTTCTTGCAACCTACTCTCAAGACTGCTCGTACTGCTTGAACGTAACCGAGCTCCATCATCCAGCATGGACTGTAGGTCCTGGGCCCGAGGTGTGGCGCTGTCTATGTTGTATCGCACAGGGTTGACATCAGTCATGATCCCAGGTCGAGTGGGATGGGTCGACGTCTGGTAATCACTTAGTATACGATGAGAAAGAAGAATGAGTGTAACTGACTTTCTCCGATGCGCCATTATAAGATAGACTTTCGACCTCTGATTTTGGGGAGGTTCTGGGGCTTGGACCTTTTGTTTCTACTGCTGGAGGTGGAGCAACCTGTTAGAGGTTAGATGGATGGGATTATGAATACAACAAGGGTTGAAGCATACCCAGCTAGAAAAGCTCTCGGGTGCATGGATGACAGAGACAGCTTCCTCGGTACTCGATTGACGCACACTCTCAGGCAGGTTCGTAGTGAGCATTAAAAGCTGATACAGGGTCAGTTGACACCTCAGAAAAATATATTGACCATTTGTGCTTGAGACTGACCTCTGACCTGCGGGTAGACTTTCTGTCCGTAACTTCCTTCTCAAGATCTTCTGAAACATCGTCCTCAATCTCGGTTGTCTCTGTGCCATTGGAAGTAACTGGAGAAGGGCCCACGATGTCACTTGGACTCATAACATTGTAAGAGCTACTTGACATACGATTGACGGAATTCGGCCGAAGGGAAGATGAGTCGGTGGCAGGAGGAGGAGAAGAGCTGCCATAACAAGTCAATACGTATTCCAACCACGGTGGTTCCAAGCACATAGGTCCGAGTGTTGACGTACAATGGTCTGAATGGAGAGCGACGGCTCTCATGATCTGTGGGTGCAGACATATCTGTCTGAGGATAGGCGAAAGGGAATTGAAGGTTTCCAGTCGATGACCTTAGAGGAGCTTCAAGGGCCATGGCGGGAGCTGAGGAGTCTGAAGTATCGAGCTACTCCAACGGCAGTGGTTGTGAGAGCTCCGGTGGGAGAAACAGGCCCTTAAGACAAGTAGCAGTTCTAAAAGGTAACGCAAGAACGCCTCGTTGCCTTTACAACACAGTATCCTAAGGTTGGATCGTGATCAAATCTCGTCAAATACAAGAAAGGTTGAGACTGCCAACAATTCTCGTGGCAGTGAAGAATGGATGTGAGCTTGCTGGTCGGTGGCCGGTCGGTGGTCGCGCGCGGCCAGTTAAGTGACCCGTGATCTGACAGATGGTGGTGTACTGGGATTTGAAGTATGCGCAACTAGCTTGGCCAGATAGACGGTATGGGAGAAAAGATTGACCAGCTAGTTACAAGATAAAAGATGCCAAATGCTGAAGAGAGGCTCAATAGGACCCAGCAATGAAGTAAGTAGCTGTCCAACAAAAACCAGCTCACCAAAAGCCGAACCAAAGAGTCAGAGGAGGAACAAAATGGAGGGGAAAAGGTTTAAAGAGACAGGCAGGGTCAAAAGCTGGAGCACCAGCGGTTGCGACAACAGGCTAAGGCAGACAGACGCCAGTCTGACAGGGGTCGATAGTCAAGGTCCCTTGTGCTCGCAGCCCTGTTGCATTGGAGCACTATGGGTCGGGTGCTGAATGTCAAGGTAATGTGGGTTGAGTCAAGAATAAGCTTGACGGGAGCGTTCAAGACACGGTTCCCACCCTTGACACCTGCAAGAAGCTGTATTGGACCAAGCTGGCTATCTTGCTGTCATGAATTCCAATTATGTGCGTGCTATCCTGGAGGGGACCGTTAATGCGGCCGGCGCTTGTCGGGAACGCGATATTTGACGCGATGAGAAACAAAAAGACGCGAAGATCGAGAATGATGCGTAGTGAGGATGGTTGAGCTTGATTATACCTTCTTCACACCTTGAGAGGATCGATTGTCCGTGAACTTCAGGGATCAACCAACAAAATCAATTTGACAATCTAACCTCTGCACTTGACAACGGTTCGATGTACCTGCGCACAGGAGAAAGATGACTGTGAGTAAATAAGGGTTGGGTCGTCAATGGGGGTGTGTTCTGGCTGATGAAATATGGGAGGTGTGGATCGAAGCCTACGAACCCAGGAATCTGCGGCTACGGCACAACTTGTGACTTGAAGCTCTCCTGGAACAGTTGAAAAGAAAGCCCTGGGCTACTCTAGATGGGTTTGCCGAGAAGGCAGCAGGTGGACCAGTCGTAAGTGGATCGGCGAACAGATGGGACTTATGAAAGATGATGGTAGATTTGGGGGCCGAAAGGTGTTGAACTCTTAAGCATTCAATGGGTTGTATTTCTCTTGAGACGTCTGACCAAGATCTCTTGCTGTCAGGCTGGGAATTGTGCCTAGATTTACTCCGAATATGGCTTCATCAGCCGAAGAGAGGGTTGGACCTAAATCCAATAACATTGACGCAGAAGTCATCAACTTGTAGTACCATAGGATTGAATCAGATGGCCAAGACAAATGGAGAGGCGGCTAAGCGTAGATGGTCGGCTCTTTATTTTTCTTTTCTTGTTTTTTTGGCTTTGTTATGGAAAATAGGGTGTGGTCAACACAACCAACCTATCGATTTCTTCTGTGTTGGTATGTATTGCAGTGACTTGATGCAGAGAACTTCAATGCGTACTGGTTGTCGCTATTAGGAAATGCCGAATGCAATCGACTGCAGGTAAATGAGTGAGACAAGATATGAGTAATTTCAGCGTGTTAATGGGTTGAGAAGAGTTGTCTCTTTGCAAGGACCAACAGCCCAGTCAGTTAGTTCTTGCATCGTGTAAGTCCAAAGTACCTGCCCGCCCTTGATTTATCATGGTGGACGGGAGGCCCACCCTGGTAAGCACCTGCCTTACGTACAGATCTCAATCATTTTCCCGCGATAGCCCGAGGCAGGTAGGCGCATGTCTATGAGACATGTCACGGAAGGTGACTTCTGAAGTCCCAGGCACATCTTCAATGGAACTTCATGTTTTCCATCATTCATGGCCCCCAAACGACATTGATACCCAGTTTCTCACCCTTCCGCTGGTTCTGCGAGTCAATTTCAACTACGTGTCTTGTCACAGAATCGGAAGCTACACCACTTCTGCAGCTCGACAATTAGTTGTCCGTTACTTTGCGCTCAGCTAACAGTTTGACTATGGACCGCGTTGAGACAATCACAATCGAAAACTCCAACCGCCCGCTCAGCCAATCAAATCCCAGACAACTGGTCAGGGTAGACGGATCGTGGCTTCTAAACCCGTGGGGCTACATTAATGAGGACAGGCGTCGGCGCTTAAGTCATGGTGGGACTGGTCAATCCTCCGCAGTCCCCCACCTACATTACTTCCACCAACGACCTCGAGCCGTCCAATTATTATGCATCGTGGAGCCTCTTCTTAGCAAGATCCGGTACCCAGCCTGCGTCCAGCCGTGACGAATTCAATGCCATGTGCCATGGACCGCTGCGCAGCATGAACGGCACGGAAAGTGACACTCAAGTTTCAATGCGTATTCAGCACGATCGACAACCTAAACCACTATCACAACAGACTCCGTCTATTCACGCAAGTGCATAGGCATACGGTGGGAGTCAAAGCATCTTATGATCCGGGCTTGGTTCCTCATTCCGCCATGGAACCTTGAGTTTACAGACATGAGGTCGGCATAGTCTTGCCTTGCACAAAAGCGTCATCGTCCTTCAAGCATGTTGGTTCAATACATGTAAGTTCTGTTGCTTTTCCTGACACCATTCCTCCTGGTTCACCAAGGGTTGAACTGAAGCGACCGTTGTTGGCCCGCGAGTCAGAATTCTTTGTCGAAAATAGTTCAATGATCAATCGTTTCTCTCCACTTCTCTACTACTTTGTAGAAGATGTTGAATGGAAACATCCACAACGCTGAATCTCCTTTGGTGCTGATGCAGTAAACGCCCAGGGCTCGCAGGGGTGCCACCAGGATGCTGGGCAAGCCAATCAATAACCCAAGCCAAAACCCAGCAGTTTGGTCACGGCGGCTTTAGCAACGCTAAAACGAGCCAGTGGCCCCACTAGCCGGGGCCGCAGGGAGCACATCCCTTCGCGACGCACAGTCCGCTGGCTTCCATTGGGACGGGACGTGGCTCTCGTAGTTAAGCTTCTTAGCAAAAGCTCAAGTCGTCAAGAGCTCTCTGCATTAAAAACAAACAGTCAAGTACCCTAACAGTTGAAAAGGTTGGGTCCAGAGAACATAGCTTCGCTTGCTATCTACTAGCTGTATCACCTTTGGCTAGGCGACTTTCTCAGACCACCTGATACTTTAGACACTTCACACTTGTCCATTGTTTAAGAGTCTTGATACCTGCATCTTTCCTCAAGGATTATACTCGAAGACCCAACGGAGCTGCACCTGTGAGCACACCCGAGCGTATTGAGGTTTGCGGAAACAAGAAACAAAATCAGACTCTACTGTTAAACTTACTGATGGTGTTATAGAGTGGCATAATGAGTTCAGTGCAGTTTGTTTATCTCATATCACTCGCGTTATGACAGCCAACTTTGCCTGGGGTCCCCATCCTACAAGCTGTTTTAGCGTGGTGATACACTCAAGGCCTGCTGCATTGTCTCAGCCATCACAGACTAAACAGATTGTCGGAATTGTTCTAAAGATCGCCAATCCGACCAGCCGGTGCGGGGATATCAGTTCCTCGTTAGCCGGTTGCGTGTACCCTTGTTGTTGTTATTGCTGCTGTTAAGACCTGACCTCCACGAGTTCTCTCGCGACATTCAAAAGAGTACAAGCTTTCCGCTCCTAAGACAGGGATTTTTTTTTTGATGTTTTCCGGTTGCAGGATGCAAGGTCGTGAATATGGCACGGGCTTTATCCGCCCCGGAACACTTCCCGAAATTCATAGCCGGCGAGTCTGAGCAATCCATCGATACTACTCACAGATCTTCGCCCGCAACACACGATAATTTGTGATTCCGACTGATCATGCGACTCATGGCTTCTACGAAGCAATACAGAGTGATGAAAGTGGTCTTTAACGACGCACAAAAAAGCTGTGGGGTTGTGCAGTACATAGGCGCCAGCCTGATCAGCATGTCAACTCCTTTACTATGATGATGATACGATATGGTTTGTTTATCTCGTTGTACAACGTAATGACTCAGGTTTCCCATTACGGTATCCTGCCCGTCCGAGTTTGTCAGATTTACAAGCAGGATCGTGCTATGGCGATCAGCATAAGCTCAAGCGCGATTGTTGGTTAACACTAAATACTACACAAGCCTGCAGGACAATTTAGGCGCGGTGGATGCTCTGGTTCACCGTCTTGATTCCCAATTTGTTCTGATCATACCAGGATGTTATAGTGTAAAAGAACATTGTACTTGATCTTACGCACACCACGCCCGAGTACATGGAATGAATTCATCGGGCAGCAGTTCACTTTCCTTCAACCAGCAGATACGTGTGCTCTTGGCATTTGTTCCACTGCGTTGAGGGGAGCTTGGCCTATAGGATTGACTGAATGGTTTACCCTCATCACACTCGAAAAATAAAAGAAGGGCCTCAAAGAACGTCTATCGTAAGCAGCCTTAATGGCATTGGTCCCGGCATGCGCATCGATGATTAGTTTACTGCGCTTTGTGGTATGGCAAAGGCCACCGACGTGATCCTGACAGCTTTAGTGTAAGAGCCTCAGTGTGAATAATCAAAGAAGATGCATGGTCCAACAGAGTTACAATGGTGAACAGCACCTGATAGCTCCCCCTTTCAAGTGGAACAGTATTACGAAACCTTTTGTCCTATGAGCTTCACTATCCGCAAGTTAGGGATAAGAACATCACAGCAACCTCATTTCTTGATAGAAAGACTCTGAATTGTTGTCCCCGGCAGGGCTGTATCGCGATCCGTCGTTGGGGTACCACACGATGTTACATCCTTTGCACCGACAACAGCACTGACTAACCAACAGGTTATACTCACAATGCTCTCAGCGGAGCCACAACCTTGCTATATCAAACCCGATATCAGATAATTAACGGTGCTAAAGTCATGGTCAATATTTCTTCGGTTGGTTTGGTATAGCAGCCCGCCTTTCCAACGGTAGATGCTGTTGGGCTGACGACACACTTGTCCACCTTCTCCTACAAGCAAACGAGCCGAGAGACAGCCAACAGGTCCGCATGAATGTTCAAGGATGTCCAGGCAACACTGGAGCATAGAAACATACAGAACGCTCAACATTACCGCGTCTTGTATATCAGGTGAGACAGAGAATATGCGAGACAACTTTGCTAGTCTTATCAAGGTCAAAACAACGTTGGCGTAGTTTCATTCTGTGTGGATGCCTTCTTGAAAATCTAGTTAACTGTTGTTTCTCGCTGCAACTGCACATCCACCGCTCTTTGCGCACAGGCCTGAGACAACACAGAAATACCCCAACAACTTGTCCTATCGTTGATGGAAGTCAACTCTGGTCATGTGAATAGTATGCAGGATGGCGCATCATCCTTGACCCAAAGATTTTCCTTTCCGTTCAAATTGAATGCTGTAATGCAAGCAAGGGCTGCTCAAACATTGGTTGAGTCCTCAAAGTCTCGGGAGGGTCTTTAAAGGGTGCTGTCGATTATGAAGACTCTTGTACTCTGATACTGACACCCTGATGAATTCATTGCCTTCCCTGCGCCGTCAAAATGACATATTTCGGCTACATTTCCCAAACGCCAAACCATGCACAACTAACCCGTTGCTACTCATTCACGAGGACCTCCTCTATACGTTCTGGCTCAATTGCTGCTTCTTCTCGTTTCGTCCGTCGGGAGTGTACCTAGTATTATAGTTAGAAATCGCGTTCTAAGCTGTGGTCTGGAGGTCGTGTCGTACTTGAGAAGCTTCTCGATAAGGTCGACGTGGGTCATGATCATACGGCGGCAGCAGTATCGCTTAAGACCGAGCTCGTCCATAGCGTCGCTATATATTTCATTAGTTTTCTATCAGCGCCAAAAAAAAAAACAAAAAAAACAATAGTCGACCTACCCATCAGTCTTGCGGGGATCTGCGATCAGTTGAAGGTAGCGCTCCCAAAGGTCTCCAGTGACCTGTCAATCAATAATCAGCAAGCGCGGCAGGCGCATCAGGTTTGATGACCTACCTTTCCACAGGAGAAGCAACGGATAGGAATAATCATTTTGACGGGGTTTCGTGAATGCGCAGGTTCGTCGGATACGTCCAAAAGATTTGCGACAAGAGAAAGAGGCACGTTATAAACAAAGCTTGTCGTGATTTAGTGTTGTAGCTCGTCTTAGAAAATAAATTCTCCTTATCGACGTTCCGGGGTTTATCCGGAAGCTAACTTATCTTATCGGTAACAAAAAGTTCGCAAGCGGGACCAAAATTTCTGCGAATCTCTATCTAGTAGAGTGCTAGGCAGGTCAACTTTGTTACCTTTTTCTCTGACGTCGAACTTTAACAAACGTCGCAAGCACACTGATTGATCTAGTGCATCGAGGAGAAGGTGGTAAAAATGGCTGGTAACAAAAGCCCCCGAGCAAAACACGACCCGAACAAGAAGCGCAAACGGGATCTAAATGAAAACGACTCGAGATCAAAGCGACTAAGGGCTGAACGCAAGGCGGCCAAAGCCAATGGATTAAATGCGAGCACGGATGGAGTGGTTTCTGAGGTGCCCGAGATCTCTGAGGCGTTGACAGAGACTGGAGCTAGAGAGATTGAGGTTGTTCGACAATTCGATAATACAGAGTCAGGATGGCGCGTCTCTAAGCCTATGGGCGGCAGGATGCTTGACATCGACCCTGTATTGACAGAAGATGAACAGTGAGTCGGATAATCTAGGTATCAGTGCGCCTTGCTAACCCATGCAGATATCTCATTTTGGCGTACAATACTTCGATCCAGGTGTACTCAGCAGCCGACTCTCTCCTCGTTCGAAGAATCCCAATCACAGCAGCCGAAGCCTCCGATGAGAAGACAACAGCTCCCGCGCATATCGTCGCTATGCGGCAATCAAAGCAGAACTCCGACATCCTCTGGGTAGCTACCTCGGACGGCCTCGTCTGCCAGGTCAACTGGACCAGCTCCAAGGCTCCCGGATTCTTCCAGACACGGTCCAAAACCGTCAATGCCATGGCCCTCGTGACAAAGAAGGTTTCTGGCAAGGATACGGAGATAATTTTTATCGCAGAGTCGGACAAGCCAGGCCGAATCGAGGTTGTTGCATACCCAGCTACAACAACAGAGTCTGAGCACAAGGTCGTCTTCGTCATGAAGAGGCCCGGCAACGGCCTGCAATTGCTCGAAACTAGTGAAGATGGACACTTGGTCGGTGCCATCAACGATCGCCTATTCTTTGGCGTTCCTTCGCAGAATCAGTTCGACAGCCTGGCCGTACTAGACTACGAGATTTACACCTTCGATACCCCTGACCTGGTCAGCTCTCTTGACCTCCGAGTGTATCCTAGACCAGCAACAAGCGGAAAGAAGCTGCGGCAATTGAATGCCCCTGTTTTGGATATCATTGTCGGTGGTGCCCGCGGTTCGATCTACCTTTACCACGATGCGCTTGCTCGAAGCCAGGCGCTTGCCAAGTCTGGATCTGAGAAGGAGCTTATTCAAGCGCAGAACTACCATTGGCATCGCAAAGCTGTGCATGCCCTCAAGTGGTCGCGTGATGGTATGTTTTTCTCCTTGTCTTGCTCACATTCTTTTACTAATGCGCCATAGGTAACTACATGATTTCAGGAGGTTCAGAAAACTCTCTTGCTCTGTGGCAGATGGATACAGGAAAGAGAGATTACCTTCCTCATCTCTCTGGCAGTGTGGAGAACATCACAGTTTCTGCCAGCGGATCTGCATATGTTGTTCACCTCGACGACAACTCGGTCTTGATTATTTCAACCGCTGAGATGAAGCCTACAGCATACATCGCTGGTATCCAGTCAGCCGCAATCAACGTCACCACACCCAAAGACCAGCTTGTCCAGCGTACATGGACGACCCCGTCGCATGTTCAGCGACCCATCCCAGCCGTCATCAGCCCCAAGGATCAGTCAAGACTTAATGTGTGTGTTGGTAACGGTCGCCAGGCTACTCTGGCAGGAGGTTTCTCGGCTCCTCTATTGCAGACCTTTGACCTCGAGAGCTTCCGCAGCGTTTCTAAACAGGCTTTGGCTCGAACACAGCCAACAGACGTCAACATCACCAACAAGGGCAGCCCCATTGAGGAGCCTCTCATTACTCATCTGGCCTTCTCTGCCAATGGAGACTGGCTCGCTAGCGTGGATACCTGGGAACCCTCACCTCGAGATGTTGACAGCGTGACCAGTGACATGAGGGATCAGTTTATCAAAGAACGACGTGAGGTTTACCTCAAGTTCTGGGAAGCGCAGCAAGGCGATGAGCAAATTGCTCTTGTTTCCAGAATTAATGCTCCTCATGCCACACACCGCAACGAAGCAGTTCTCGATTTGGCTTCAAATCCTGTTTCGACGTGCTTCGCTACTATTGGTACTGATGGTACTGTTCGTATGTGGCGCCCCAAGACAAGATCCCAGAATGGAGTTGTAGTCAAGGGACCCAACGGCCGCGAGGTTTTCACCTGGAGCTGTTCACAGATAATTGCCGTTAGCGATGGTGTGCCTCAAGACGGCGTGGTCGATATTCCTGAGGCTTATACCAACCAAGAGCCTCAAGGAAGCGTCGCCTTTTCAGAGGATGGGTCTACCCTCTTTGTGGCTTTCGGAACTGCTGGTTCCGGTGCCGTTTATGTGATTGACGCTGCGTCAGGCGATTTGGTCAAGACCCTTGAGGGCCAGTGGAAGGGTCAATTGCGATCCATCTGTGTGCTATCGCCTTTCGTTATCATCTTGTCTGACGAGCTCCGTGTTTACGACGTTGTCAGCGATGAGTTGCGATATGGTGTTGTGATACCCAAGACAAAGGACAATGCGCTACTCCAACTCGCCGTCGACCATACTTCAGGACACTTTGCTTTGGCTTTGCCTGCCAAGGAAGGATCCCTTCTTGCGGTTTTCGAGCCCGAAGATATCGAGCCCCTGATGGTGCGTAGCACACCTCAAAGAGTTGTTAGTCTGGTTTCTGCCCCCGAGACCAGCGGTTTCATCGCCCTGGACGATGCTGCACAAGTATGGGTGGTTTCTGAGGGATCAGACTCTTCATCTCTGGCCACAGTTCAACCCCTCGAAGACCTCCGTCTTGAAGGTATTGATACCAACAGCACTGAAGTTGGTCATATCGATGAAGACGAGGAGATGGCCAGCGATGCTGATGAGGCCGAGGTTGAAGATGCTGCTGAGCCCGAAGATGTCGAGATGGAAGACGACGATTTCCACCCCAGCGTGATCCAGCAACAACATCTATCAGATATCTTTGATGCCGCACCAGCATTTGCCGCCCCTCCGGTCGAGGATATGTTCTACAAGGTGATGGGCCTGCTTGCGACAAAGCCTCTGTCATCATCATAAGGAGAAAAGGCAGATGAGAGAAAAGTGTTTATATAATAAGGTGCGGTCAAAAGCTAAGCTAGAATGTTTTGTCAAAAAGGGGATCATCACGCGCGCATGTAACTATGCATTCATTATACTAGACTCGGTCTGGTTGGATATGGGGGGGATCTTGGGAAGATTAGATGATCGCAGCGCCGGCGTTAAGCAGGTCTGAATACCAGCTTTCACTCAGTTTCAAGATGTAATAAGGAACATGTCCGACATCGGCATGGTATCTGTATTCTGTGTGGGTGACAAGGAGAGGCGATCACCAAACAGTCACCCCCCGGCATCTCTCGGGAATCGGATGCGGGGGAGACCCAGACGATGGTAGTAGACGTCTTCTGGTGGGCCAATCGCGCCATGGCATGATGAGGTGATGGGTAATCTGCGTTGGCTACTTATTCACATTAGACAAGAAGAGAAAGATACCAAGATATTCATTTATTGGCAGTTACAATATTTGCTCAGTTTCAAAGATTATTTACCTTAGGCCGTGAACCAAAATGTCGTTCACGTCAATTCCCATCCTGGACTTGGCTGCGGCTCGAGATCCAGCTACAAAGCCTCAGTTTCTAACAGAACTCCGCCATGCGTTGATGGAGGTTGGTTTCTTATATCTCAAGAACGTTGGCATCGAGGATAAGTTGTTTCAAAGGGTTATTGAACTTGGAAAAGGGTTCTTTGATATTCCCGAACAAGAGAAGTAAGTAATGATGCATCTATCTCATTCTCTGCTATTCCCGTATGCTAATCACTCAACTCACTTGTCAAGACTCAAGATTGAGATGAAGAATGCGCCCTCTTTTCTTGGCTACTCACGCCTCTCGGCAGAAATTACAGCTGGACAAGTCGACCACCGTGAGCAAATCGATCTTTCTACAGAACATCCTGTCCCTGAACCTGGAGCTCCTTTATATCGCAACCTACTAGCGCCCAACCAGTGGCCATCTGAAGACTCACTGCCCGAATTTCGCAAGGTCTACACAGAGTACATGGAGCGCATGGGCAAGATCTCAATCCAGTTCACTTCTCTCATTGCCGAGGCTATTGAGCTCCCCAGTGATGCCTTCAACAAGTACTTTGACAAGGATCAGCAGCACAAGCTCAAGATTGTCAAGTACCCTGACGCAAAGGAGCTCGGTATCCAATGTGATGCGCAGGGTCAGGGTGTAGGTCCTCACAAGGATAGCATGCTCTCGAGCTACCTCCTCCAAGCCACTTCGCACAAAGGTCTTCAGGTGCAAAACGTCCGTGGCGAATGGATAGACTGCGAGCCCATCCCAGGAACGCTCGTGGTGGCTATCGGCCAGGGTCTCGAGGCACTTACACAAGGCGTCTGCGTCTCAACGACACATCGCGTACTCTCCCCCGCAGCAGGATCAGGCGCACGCTTCTCAATCCCCTTCTTCCAGGGTGTGCGCATGAGCGCTGAGTTCGAGGATCTCGAGAAAGTCGGTGTTGGTCTTGTACCCGAGGAAGTGAGGGAGCAGCGACGAAAGATTGTAGAGCGCAACGGTGGACGCATTGATGATGTGGAGTTTACTTTCCGTGCTGGTGGTGTATCAAAGACTCTTGGCGAAGCGACGCTGAGAAACCGCGTAAAGAGCCATCCCGATGTTGGAGAGCACTGGTATCCTGATATCCTGGCTAGTATCCGTGAAGAGCAGGCCAAGGCGAAGCAGCATAAGGAATCTACAGCGCCAGCCGTGGGAGCGCCCCCTAAGGCTGTGGAGGCTCATTAAGTTAATAGGAAGACATTAAAAAGCAAGATAGCATGAAGAATGTGTATAAAAAAAGAACTGTATAAAGTTATCATGAGTCCCTGCCAGTCATCTAAACTTCTCTTGTCTCTCCATGTTCTCGTGTAGGGCCATCACACCACAGTACGCCTCGCTTCGCTAAATGGTTTCCATTTTCACTTTTCTTTTTCTTTCTCTTCGTCCCGGTTCCCTTTCTCGTTACGATATCGTTATCGTTGTCTCAAGTCCAGGCGGCTCTCCAGCATAGTCGGTTTACTCTTGGAAGGTAGGGAAGCAGTCGGCGATGGCCTTGCCGTGCTTGTTCTCGGCGTGCTCTTTCAGACTGGGGGAAAAGCAAGTTAGTTAACTTATCAGTGGGGGAGAAGTGGAGGGCATACGCAGGGGCCTTTGTAGTCTTGAGAAAGGTAGATTTGCAGATCTGGCACTGAATGTCGCAAGCCTTTTCGTTCTACGCATATCACATGTTAGCAGACAAAACCAATGGAGAAGAGCTTTCGTGTTTAACTTACCACCTTGAGCTGGGACTTGGCAGTGTTCTTGTCCTTAGCAGCGCGCTCGCGCTTCTGTTGAGCCTTGGCACCCTGTGTTGCAGCATGTCAGCATTAGAGGATCACTAAACGATGTGATAGTGACAGTGTCTGGAAGGAAAAGGAACTATTTAGCTTACGTTACCCATGTTTGCGATTTAGTTTAGTTGAAAGAAGAATAGATAGATAGAAGAGGGTGTGCTGTAGAGACTGGCGGTGTTGAGGGATTCAGAGTGTGTGTAAGTTTAAAGAGGATGCAAAATAAATGGGATGAGATTTGTCCTGCACGGGAAAAACGGAAACTCTTCTCCCCTCACTATCGCTCTTTCGGACACGCCGTTATCTTTTCGCTCAGCAATTGGGCTGATTTATTTTTGTTTACCTACAACTTTTTCACGCGCTTCGCTTCGTTAGTTAGTCCATTTCAGGGTCTCGACCGTTCCAGAAAACCATAAGTAGCAATTAATCTACAGGGTCCATTAACTGGGGCAATATGGTTACCGTTTAATACTGTCATTAACAGTCTAGAGATAGAGATAGAGATTGACTATCTATAGGTTTACGCAGATAGAATACCTCAATAACACAACGTCTCTGAAACATTCCAGCTGGCAATTGGGCAATCCTTTGATGCATGCCACCACCAAACCAATACAGACGAATAATGCCAAAGCAAAGGGTCCGTTTTAGGCTCACACGGCAACTGTCTCAGTAAGCCCTAGGCAAAGCCTATTGATTTCCCCGACTTTTGCCAAACACACAACCTTGAATGAGATCATGGGGTAAGCTGACATCTGTGTAAGTGGCGGGTATAGTGGCATATAACCCGGCCAAGTTAGCAGCTACCAAACTGACCTCCAACTCGGCCCTATCAGATACGACAACACCATGAAGGAAGCTCTTACATGCGGCTCACAGTCTGACTTGGTTCCTTGGTATGCCTCCGTATCTAAGCCGGAAGAATTCACTTGGCTGCTGACCATTCTAACTAGTCCAAGCCTGCACAATAGTGCAAAAGGTAGTGCTTCACACACGTTCATATGCTCAAATCATCATCTAAGAGACTAAGAGAAATCCTCTTTATAGATAGACGGCCAATATCTGACATGACAATAACGCCACGTTCTGCTCGTACTGCATGCATTCGCGCATAGATATCTGTGCCCCTTTCAACTTTCTACGTCGACGAATAGGCGATAGCTTCAGGATTGTTGTACCAAGTCAAGTCAGATTCGATTATCCTATTCTGTGCATCGGTCCTCTATATTTGGTCTTGGTGTAAGCGGGGTCATGGTTAGTGCTGGTGTCCCCATCATGCGTGAACATATAAAAGGCAGCTGTGATGCTCTGTAATGTCCATTTTCTCATCCACCTACCCCATCGTCACACTTTTCTTCTCAGGTAAACATGACTCAAAGCAAGTTCTCATCTCTGCGTGACAAGCTTGTCCAAGGGAAACTACTACTCCCAGGAGACGAAGGATATGATCAAAGTCTCGAAAGATGGAGTCGCACTTGTGTCAAGCCTGCTGTAAGTCGATGTATCGTTATTATATGCCACACAACTTACTCTCATGTAGGCGGCTGTAGCCCAACCCAGGACTGCTGAGGAAGTCAGCGCCATAGTCAAGTTCACAACTTCGAATGGAATCAAGTTCAATGTCAAAGGAGGCGGCCACAGTTCCTCGCAGACATCCAGCTCTCCGTCGCCGGAGGGTATGGTCCTAGATCTTTCTCTCATGCGTGATGTCTCGGTAGACGCCGACGCACAAACCATCACCTTTGGGGGAGGCTGCTTGTGGAAAGATGTTGATGAAGCACTTTGGGCCAAAGGACTGGCCACTGTAGGAGGAACTGTCTCCCACACAGGCGTCGGCGGCCTCACCCTGCACGGAGGTTATGGTATCTTGAGTGGAATCCATGGATTGGCCATCGATAACTTGATTGCATGTCAAGTTGTCCTGGCAGATGGAAGTATCGTGACCGCATCAGCCTCAGAAAACCCAGATCTCTTCTGGGCACTTAGAGGTGCCGGTAGCAGCTTTGGTGTTGTGACACAGTTCACTAGCAAGGCCCACCCACAAGGAGACATTTGGGGAGGTATGGCCCTTTTCTCCCCTGAGAAACTCCCAGCTATCATTGATTTCACAAACACATGGGGAGCTACCAATGATGGCAGACAGATCCTCCTTGTTGCCTTCGCACACGTTCCTCCTGGTCCAGATCCCAATGCACCCAGACCCCCTATTGTTATTGTGCGGATGGCCCAGGTCGGAGACAACCCGTCTGAAGAAGGTCCCAAATATTTTGCCCCCATTTTGGAAATGGAGGCAATAATGAAACAGGCCGGGTCCATGCCTTATCCTGCAATGAATCAGGCTGTAGACGACCAGATGGGCCCCGGAAGCCGATACTTGCTTGGTGGTTCCAACTTCACCCTTCCCATGAAGCTCTCTACCGCTGAGGCGATACGCGACCGCTTCCATGCGTTCACTGAGAGCACACCAAGCGCAAATGAATCTGCCGTGATAATCGAATGTATACCACACCAAAAGATCAGGGAGGTTCCTATCGAGTCAACAGCCTTCAACTCGCGTGGCAAGTACTTTATCATGGGCGTCATGTACAAGTACGAGGATGAAGGTCTCGATACTGAAATTCGCCAGTTCAACCGTACTTTCCAAAATGAAGTTCGTAAGTTGGGATATAACGACGAAACCCTCGCGGACGGCATTGGCAATTACCTCAACTATGCCAACACTGGGAACATCTCAGCTGAGGAAGCATTTGGGTCGCATTCAAAGCGCTTGGTGGGGTTAAAGAAGAAATATGATCCTGAAAATGCCTTTGACAAGTTGTGGAAATTGGTTGGCAAGGTTGAAGACAACTGGATTGCTTGATGCTGTAGATGTTGAAGTTTATTATTGGCATAATAAAGTCCGAATTTGAAATTATGGATTGTGACAAGAATGAACAAGTGTTGCTTAATAGGTATGCGCTTGCCTGTGTAGAGTTCTGATGGCATTTTATAGAGGCTAGCAGGAAGTTACCATCGCGCACCGTGCGAGTCTCTTTCCTTCTTTCGCGTCGCGTTTGAAACTGCACTCTCAACTTACATTCGCAATCTAAAACTGCACTATCTCTCATTTTCTCATGGTTTCTTCGAGAACTCAACTTCTGTCTTGTAAAAGAATCATTGAGTACAGAATAAAACGGTTCAAATTTCTTGCACCCTCATCTCAGTCACTTCTCAGGATCAAGTGTTCTTCCACCGTGTGTAATCAATACCACACAATGGCATCCTCATCGACCATTGTCTCAGCCGATAAAGTCAGTCTCGAGGAGTTCAATCAACTGCTTCTTCGATATCCGTCTGTTATTCAAAGAATCTCTGACGAGAAAGGCGGTAGGTTGACTCTTAAATACGCACTGTAGTCGATACCCCATTAGAAACCGGGCTGATAGTCATCGATCATGATAGTCAAGAATGGCCAGAAGTCACTCAAGGACCTCGATGAATATCGTTACAGCGAAGCACTGGATAACTTTGATGCCGGCAAAAGAACCCGCCCAATGACAATTGACGACATCAAGACCCTTGTTGAGTGGAAGTTGTAAGTAACCTGCCCTCTCATTCTCAAACGGGAAAGCTGTACCATATCTTGACCATTTGTTAACAAACAATCAGACGTCACGGAAAGTTCAGGCCAACACTTATGAAACTTGTCTCATCTAATGGCCCAGATGATGCCCAAGATGTCATCAAGCAAGCTCTTAAAATCTATGATGAAAAGACAGACACTGTGGCGACTCTAGATGTATTAACCAAGCTTCGAGGCATTGGCCCCGCAACAGCATCTTTACTCTTAGCTGTTCATGATGCAAGTCGGGTCATCTTCTTTGCTGACGAGGCTTTCTGGTGGCTATGCTGCAGTGGGAAGCACAACCCTATCAAGTATAATGCTAAGGAGTATCGCATGCTATGCTCCGAAGTTGACGACTTGCGAAATAGGCTTGGCGTGAAAGCAAGTGACATAGAAAAGGTTGCATATGTCTTGATAAAGCAACCGGATCCAACAGAGCAATCGCATGATGCTGCACCTGTCAAGAAGGAGAAAGAGAGCACATCGACAACAGCACCAGCCAAGAAGAGGAAGGTCGATGAAAAGGAGACCAAGAAAGCGGACAATGCCGTCAAAGAGCAGCCTTCACTTCGTCGATCGAAACGTGTCAAGTCCTAGCTAGTTCTACATGATGAACTAGCGCTCATAACTAGGCGACGTGCCTCTTCACATGCACCTACAAAGTTCTCCGGTGCAGGGTTGTCAGATCCAGCCTGTCGGATTCCACAGCTGGTCGCTACACGACAGCACCCTAAGCTGACCGAGGCAATCAAGACGGCATATCTCGAAGGATCGGATACCCGGGCCGTGATAGCGTCAATCCGAAGAATAACAAGTTCACAACCGAAGAATTTCCGCCAGACGACGGGGTCATATGTTGAAATCAATTGCTCAGTGCCTGGTTGATGAAATCCGCCGTGAATTGGTGACGAGCCATGTCGGCTGTGTGTATAAAAGCTGTACACCTCACGAATCGAGCATATCGAGGGGTTTCCCCAAGTGGCCATCAAAATCCGTCTCTTCTTTTACTTAAATAGTTGATCTCGCTTCTTCTCTCCTACAATATACACATAATTAAACCAACCAACAGTGGTTCAGTGCAACCTACCTATCTGCTATTTCCGATACATACAAGCTTCAAAATATGGCACCAAAGGGTCACAGACATGGACCTTCAAGCAGCATGTTTGCTCAGATTACTGAACCCATACCCCTGCCTTCCCGGTTCGCACGGATCAAAAAGGATCTCATCGAGGGTAAACAAGATCAAATCAAGGCCGGCTGGACAAGACTACTACTAGAGCTGAAGGCCGAAATCGACATCATTGCCAAGGCAGGCCCTGATATCTACCCTTCCGTCAACTTTGAAGATCTTAAAAACCCTTCTGTGGCGAATTCCTTCTCTTCCGCACTCAAGGACCGTGGTGTCGCAGTTGTTCGAAACGTGATACCCCGTAGTCTCGCTGCAGAATGGGAGGCAGAGACGGAAGCCCATTTGGAACATCCTCGAGCTCGACGGCTTCCAACCCATGATCCTCATCTTTATGGTGTCTATTGGTCTTCTGGACAAATCAAAGCCCGGGCACACCAGAACATCATTTATACTCAACGTTTCTTGATGAGATTATGGCACTCGTCCGACCCAGAAGCACTTGTGAGCCCCAACTTTCCTGTCAGCTATGCCGACCGCATGAGAATCAGAACACCAGAGGATGAGGCATGTTCCCTCAGCGTTTATGTCGATGGAGGGAGCGTAGAACGTTGGGAGCCTGACGGATATGGTTCAGCTGGAACTTATCAACCCATTTTCGATGGTCGCTGGGAAGACTGGGAACCATGGGAGAGCAGTACTCGACTAAAGGTAACGAGTGATTTATACAACGGTGATGGTTCTTGCAGCATGTTCCGCATGTTCCAGGGCTGGGTTGCTTTGAGTGATGTTCCTTTTGGCCAAGGTACCCTTCTCTTGTGTCCGATGATTCGTCTTACAACTGCGTACCTTCTCCTCCGACCTTTTTTTGTTCCCAGAAACTCTTCGCCCTCAGGCTCAGACTTCCTATTACCAGAGAATTGGATCCTTGAGGAGCCGCCATCGTCTGTAATTCAAGGGGCATTGCCGTCCTACACGCAAGAGCTCAACAGGGCTCTACATCCTCACCTCCAACTGGATCGAAGCATGATTCCAATACCAAAGCTTGAACCAGGAGACTATCTTGTCTGGCATCCGGATGCTGTATATGCTCTTGACCGTCGCCACCGCCCAGATATACCTGCCACGACGATTGTATATCTTCCAGCTTGCCCTTTAACTCAGACGAATGCACTCTACCTGGCCCACCAGCGCAAGGGATTCCTACAAGGCGAACCAGGACCCGACTTTACTGGTGCCCTCACTGGCGACGTAGCTATAGGAGGTGAGCAGGCTATACGAGAGGTTGGCGAAGCAGGAGGTGTGGATGGTATGCGAGCCATGGGTCTTCTGCCATGGGATGAGGATGAAGCCAAAGACGATGTTGAATACGCTGTGTTAGAGATGGCCAATGGTGTTTTGTTTCCCGAAAAGTACGACATAGGGTATTGAATCATTCGTCCATTGTACATAGTTTGTATCTAGTATTATGTAGGTAATGATAATTCATTTGGATTGAGACGCTCATATCACATACGGTAGTGAAAAAATATGGTCTGAATAGTGATATTTTGCACACGCCAGACCCTGGTGACTGAAAACACCGAGACGGCCGATCCAACATCAAAATTCTATAAGTATGAAAATTCGAATACAATCTCAAATGGTTGATCGTCCTATACACGTCCGATCGCCAACTTTGCGCCTATGCTTGACCTCGAAACCGATATACCCGTTATTTTACATCTTCCGCTTCTTTTGGTGGGGGTCTGTTCGTTGTGGGCGCCCTGACAGGCACAGACTTCACCCATGATCCTTAACCGAGCCAAGTCAATAATAGGTTATCAACATTACTGAGTGGGCAGGTATCTTTTGGTAGAAATAGCGTACGTGGTACACTTCTTAGATACCCTTCCTGCCCTCGCCGGTCTGCTGGGTAGCGGCGTACTTGTCGCTGAGCTCATCGTAGCTCTTGTGGAGCTGCTCGCTTTGCTTCTTGAGGGTCTTGAGGTCCTGCTCCTTGAGCTCAAGCTCCTTTCGGAGACGGGCGAGCTCACCGGGCTTACCGGCGGCAGCGAGCTTCTCGGCCTCCTTGGTGTTCTCCTTGGTACCCTCGTAAGAGCGGACCTTGTCCTCAAGACGCATCACCTCGATGATCATGACGTAGGTACGGTTAAGAATGAGTGATAGGAAGAGGGTGAAACCGCAAAGGTACATGTTGCGTTGCGAGTAGAACTTGCGAGCCTGGACTTCGAGACGCTCGTGACCCATGACGGCGGCACTGTAAGCGAGAGTAAAAGTCAGTAACATGGCCAATTGTAGTGTCGCGGTTGCGTGGGGTAACATACCCTCCACCGTGCTTGGCCTGTTCGGAGGCAGCGGCGAGCTCGAGCTGGACACGGTAGACACGGTTCACGCTGTCCACAAAGAGGATCAGGATAAAGATGAAGGTAATCTTCATCCAATACTGAATCTTGGCTACGACGGGGTTCTCTGAAATGAAGCTGTTGCTGCTGTTAGCGCGGTGCTACGCGAGTGAAAGAAACTTCGTGATAACGTACGTAAAGATCTTTCGCTTGACGTTGAAGGGCATGGGGAAGACCAGGAGCATGAAGAGCCCCATCTCGAAGACGAGAAGCATAAAGACCTGATTGCCACAGTTAGCGACTCCATTTTCGAAAAGATTGAAGCTCCATGTCGCGATGTAGGCAACATACAAGAGTGTAGTAGAGCGTCATGGTGACGGTGGCTGACGAGGGGTAAACAGCTAAAAAGTGGTTTCGTATGCGAGAATTGAGAAGCTCAGAGAGAGCTTTCTGAGAGTCGAGTTCGTGAGGTTTTGAGGGGATGTCAAGAGAGGAAAATCAAATGATTGCAAGGGGAAAGAAAAGCTTTCCAGTTGCGAGGCCTTCGTATTTGTAGGAGGGAGGACGAATGGCAAAGGTGGTCAGTTTGGACCTGAACCTGGTAAAAGCTGGGAAAGCTGTTCCCAGTCGAGCACCAGTTAACTACGCTACTTCCCTCTTCCGAATCGACAACGTCATCGCCTGTGGCTGGAGGCTACTGGCCGCTAAAGGTGGCATGTGGGGCACAAGCTTCACAAAAGACTTATCTAGCACGCTTTGATACTAGTGCAGATCTACCCGTGTTATTCATTTATGAAAACATAATCTATACATATGATATCAGAACATTCTTGACACGACAAGCCCATCAAGAGATACTTCAAAAAGGACTTATTAGTGTCTCAAACAGCATGTGTACTTGCGGAAAAAACAGATTAGTCAACCTGTGTGCGTCAAGGACGAGAATCTCGACCGTCGTATTTATTATATCACGTAGCTATCTCTTTCTCTTTCTTTCTCTTTGTCTGATGCTTTAGCCCCTCAGGCTGTTGCTTGCCCAAGCCAGAAATCCAATCCCAGTTCGAGCTACCGCAAACATGTGCCGTCAACGTCTATTTAAAACGAACCCAGACCTATTATTCAAGCTTCCCTACCCAGATCACTGGCTGGCGCTCATCCAATCTCCATCATCTCTTAACTTGGCTGGTAGACGTCGATTCCTAGCGACTCTATCGATGCGCGAACGAACTACGACGTCTTGGTCGTCGTCGTCGTCATCATCATCATCATCATGATTCTTGTTGTCTTCCTCCAGTTGAATCCGAAGCCGTCTGGATTCTTCAGCGGATTCCTCTGTAGGCGTCGCATCTTCCATGTTATCATTAATTTCCATAGACTGTGGTTGCGGTGGTACCACCGGCCGCACAATCGTATCTGGCACCACGATATTTTTGTCCGTTTGCTCTTCTGTTTGTTCTGTTTCCTCCGACACCGACGCCGATAATCTAGTTGTTGCGGTTGTCGGAGCTGAAGTGGGCTTCCGGGGGTATTTTCTAGGTCGACCACTGCCAGGTCTGGCCCCTCCTCTCTTGCCTCGAGTTTTGACATCTCCTCGAGGTTTACCACTTTGATCTGAGCCAATTGCCTTTGCAGCTGGTCGCGCACGTTTTCGGAACCTGGCAGCCGATGGCTTGCCAGTTTCATAATCTGACTCGCCATCAGATGGCGTTTCCACGAGAGATGCATCTGTCCCGGTAGGATGATATTCCTCTTCTTCTGAGTCCTCGTCGAGAGCGCCCTTCTTACGTTTGCGCAACGGCTTCGGAGTGAATCCAAGTGTCGCCGTCAAATCATCTTCATAAAGGACTTCTTGGGTCTTCTTCCCCTTTCCAGGCTTCTTCTTGTCCGTTTTGGGGGCCTTTCTGGCGACTCCTTCCCCATTGGGTCGTCGCGTTCGCTTCTTACCCTCGCCCGACTTCTCTCCCGTCTTATGGTCGAGTAGCTTCTTTGTCAGGTTAGGGAAGTTCTCTCCGTAGTTAAAGAAGAGTTCTTCTCCAGCTGCGATGTCACGCATAGCTGAAAACTTGATTCGGTACTCGCCATTTACATAGAGAATGCAGGGCGTGATGTTGCACCCGCGTTTGTCACTCTCCGAGGCATGGTTGATGTAACGACTCAAGTTGCCGTACGTGGCAGCGTCCACCCAGATGCCTTCAGCTTCCAAAAGAGTGAAAACGTAGGAGATATTAGATTCTTCATCAAACACATCTCCCCGTCGGGCTTCTCGTCGTACACCTTCGTCATGGGTAATCAACTCTCCGACGTATTCAATGATAAAATCGTCTTGAGCGATAGGCTCAATCGTGAACAGTCCGTACCCGACACCTTCAAGTTGACTCTGACCTAAAGCGAGGCCCTTTTGTTGACCACGTTGAAGAGAGCAGTTCTGACAGCCAGTAGAATGTAGAACTTCGTCGTCGGCGTTCTCAGGATCAGCCCTGTCCAGTACACCGCACGTCCCACAAACATCCGGGTCGCATTCGCGGTTCAGCTGCACACAAACACATGGCCTGTCCTTCTGTTTACTAAAGCATGTTTTTCCTTGTGAGTGGCAGGCACAGCCAGTGAACTTGTAGGCACAGTTCTCAACGCTACATCCACAAAACTTTTCGCAGAGAAGATTTTGTTGAACGCAGACACAGCTGTCCAAGGTGCAAGGGCCTTCATGAGAACAGGGCTCAAAAATCTCGCGTGTTTGGTACTTATGGGTTTTGGTGTGACCCTCCCAATCTCCAATTAGTACTTTCTTGTACCGATCATACCAAGTGACCGTTCGCCTTTGCAATTTTCTCGCTGGCTCCGGTGGGGGTAGAGATATTCCCATCCGACAATATTCGTTAAAGACACCACTACAGTCGCGGTCAAGGAGTTGGGCGACCAAGCAGAAGGGATCTTTCTTGACTTGGCTGTGATCGGTTGTTGCGACGACAGAACGTAAGACGTACTGTTCTTCTTCATTCCAGGGTCGCTGAACCGAGCATGCCTCAGGGCGAGGCGATGACTGATAGCAGTTCCGTCTGCAGAGGCGTGAGTGACCATTCATCATATCGATATCGGCATCTTCTTCATGAGGTATGCGCCGTCTCCGCTTGAGAGTTTCTGAAAGGCGAGGAAGCATCGAAAGGGTGCGTTTACAATTCTGCGCATCATATTCACCATGTTCGCAAGAATGACTAAAGCAAATGAGACAACCGAGAATTGAATAAGTACCCAGCCAGTACTCGATGGCCTCATGCTCGTTTTCTTTCTGCGAACTGGAGCCGTCCTTCGCTGTAGGTTTGGTTTCCATGATGCTGTCAACTGATTCATCCAGAAGAAGAACATCGCGAAGCTCAATTTGTTTGTTTGGAGGTTGGCCCTGATGGAAGACGCGATGAAATGCTTCGGTAAATATATCAGCAGCCCTGTTTGCCCCTGGCGGGGTGGTCGATCCAGCTGGGCGGTGCGAGTTCAGAATGTCAGACTTTTGTCTGGGGGTGATTGCATTATCGGGTTCGCGACTTGCCATGTAGCGGATGAGGGTTGATTTGTCGCAGCCAGGCAGTGAAAGCTTGTCCAACCAGCTCTCCAGATAGAGCAGGACAGTCGATGCGAATTCGGACCGTACAGTTATGCGCAACTTTTCTTCGCGACTCATGGGTTTGAAACCGGATTTTCGATCAATGTCCTCCAACTCCTGCAACCATATGTTGTATTTGTACTCTTCTGAGGTCTCGAGATCCCTCAAGTGGGGTACAAATGTCAGCATGGTATTGGGTGTGAGAATGTTCTTTTTGATTTCCACATGGTGAAAACGATACCGCGGTACACGCTCTTCATCCGTTTGAATTCGTACAATCATGTGATGATCCTCCCGTTTGTTGTTCTTAAGTTTAGTACTAGTATGCTCCTTTTGAGAAGAAAAAAATGTCAGTGCTGCCGAGACAAATTTCGTTTGATATCAAATACCTTGGATTTGATTTTCATCGTTTCGCCCTTCTTCGCCGGCATAGACTTGCTGGTGAGTCCGGCGAAGAGATTGCTGCCAGTGAGACTGCGTCGCTCTATGGGTTGTGTAGATTCAATGATGAAAGAAGTCATGCGACTGTGTCCATTTCTGATATCCTGGCGATATTCAGTTAACTTTTCAGCGACAGCAGCAACATCCCATTCGGGTTTTCTGGGCGTCTGATACTTGGGAGACGTGGGCTGGGGTTCTTGTGATGATATATCCATATCTTGTTCAAGTGCTGGCGTCACCTGACGAGATGCCACGTTGGAAGTTGTCACTCTAGACAGTCTTGCCATACTGTCGGCATCGTCGAGAGTAGCAATTACTTGGGTCACGTTCTGCTCAATCTTGAGTACGGGAGGTGATGGACGTGGCGGCTCAGTGGAATGCTGCTTGTCCTGGATGGCGGTGATGGAGGATGAGGTTCGATTTATCTTAGGCGGGCTGACAGGTGCATGGGTTGATGATGGATGTCGTTCGGTAGAAAAGTTGGGGGCAAAACGCGCCTGGGTGGTAAAAGTGTCTGTGGGATGGACAGGCGACGACGATGACCTTTGAATATAGTCAGATCTGTCACTGTCTTCATCCACAGTCAAATCGATGGTGATGGGCCTCGCGTTGATGGAGGTGGGTTGAGTAGCCATGATTGCGGCTAATTGTTTTGCCTCAAAAGTTTAAGTAAGGTAGGTAGGTCCAGACAGGACTGTCGTTGTCAAGTAAGGTTTCCCTTTAGGATTGCCCCTCTCTTTGACTCGCAACTACCATTCTTCAAAGAAACGGTTGCTTTGAAAGACGGCTAGAAGAATCAGGATTAAAGAGAGACTGTTGCGACCTGCAGTTTGTAATCTCGTTGTGGTGGGCAGCACCTTTGTAGGTAAGCCGGTGAATAGACGAAACAAGGAAACACGACTTCGTCTAGCCAAAGAGACGCGTGTGGACAGATTAAAATTTGGATTTTGCAAGGAGAAGCAATAGGCGGAACGAGAAGCGCAATTTGAAGCGTATTAACCAAGGAACCAAATAGACTGTTGCGCTGCAGCGTATTTGCCAGATTCCGCACAATTAAAACGATATCATTTGATGGCCGTTGTGTTGTCGTTGAAATCCGAGACGAACGAAAGATGAATGAATAATGTTAGACATACGCGTTGAGAGGAGACTGCAGGGGATGTTGACAGGGGAGCGCGCTCACTAATCGACATTAGCGTCTTTCAATTGGTCCTGAGGCCTGAAGATTCCCCTGTCAGCGACCCCAATTGAAGTCCATTAATTGAGCATAGTACTACTACCTGGGTGCCTATATAAACAAATATTGATACTGGATAGTATTTATTTCAAACTTGACTTCGTTCTCAGCACTTGGATTTATTTCCATGGTTGTATATCGTTCATGGAGCTTACGTGAATCCTGTGTCAAGTCAATGGATATAAGTGAGCTGGCGAATATCCGAGAAAATCGAACATGCGATTGTAAAAGTGCAAAGAAATTTAAACAATACTAACAATTCAATCGCTGCCTTTGTTCGATTTCAATCGACTCTTGCCGTTGTTTGGTCGTTGAATTTCGTGATGTCTAAGTCGCTAAGTCGGGCTGTCTCACGTGAACGTCGGAATTGCCGGATGCTCTAATCCCAGGTAGGTACTCTTTTACGATTTGCAATACAACAAAATCCTCGGCCGTATTTATCTTGCCTTTGGTAGTATAGTAAATGATCTCAGCATGTTCAATGGGATTTGAAGACATCGAAAGTTTTTAAGGATGGTTTTTATTGTTATGCCCGGTGATTATTTATGGCTGTTTCACTTAACCCATCTAACTTTCTTTGCATGTCTTCCATGAGTCCAAGATTGATATCTTACCAACACTACAGAATACATTCGACAAGTTCAGATATCCACCATAATTATCAGGATTACTACAAACTTGGTCCATGTCTTCGAAAATTTTCAAGTCTGACCTTTTCAAGAACAGAACAATTTTCTAGATGTCTGAACCTTCTATCCGTTGGATGCCTCTTGAAGATCTGCTAGCTACGGAAAGACCCTGTTTCACGACGACATCTCGACGGAACTAACCACACCAAACAAACATGTGAGAAGTCCTTGAGGTAATTTAACTTGGACAGATCGAAAAATACCCCTTGTTTGTTGATCTTTCCGGACTGGAGACTGCCGAACGATCGTTCAGTCTAAAAACCACTTCAACTTCCCCCTAGCCAGTGAACATGTCAAGAACCCCAAAACTTATGCCGTGATATCGTCATATTTCATCTTAGAGACTCACTAGCGCAGGACTGGATTCGACCGAAGCTTGGTGGGCATCAACCGCATCGGGGATGGGTCAGCCAGCAGCCAGCTCAAGGGGGTCCCTCTCCGGATGCACAGGCGAGCGAGGATTCTTGGCGTATGGTTAGGATAAGAAAGAAAATGCAAGACGTAGACCTGAGACATTGCTTGACGTGAGGTAGTGGTACCTCGAAGAATGTGGTGATCACCAGGGGCTGCGTTGTACACAATACACTAATGATTAGCGCCCGTCTGTATCGAACATCCTCATTACCGTCCAATTCAGACGAGGTGGAGTTTGGATGACGTCGTTCTCAGCTCCCCCATAAAGCCGTGACGATCTTGTTCTCCGCAGCAACACACATACTGTAGCACTACCAAGCATTGCCCAGTTTCTTGGACTCCCTCATATAACGTTCCCAGCTTCCCGGCCACGATTTCCTTTATGATTTTCCCGACATCCATCTTTATCCTTGCTTCTCAGCTCTATTAATCCCCACCCGATCCCGATAATATTTATCCCCTGCCTGTCCTTGTTGGACCCTTTACTTGTCAGCTCCACCGCTTGTCGCTCGTCGCATTTTCACCATCATCATGCATCGCACTTATTCTATGCGCCAGACCCGGGCGCCTACTGCCTCTCAACTTCAGGTGCGTAGTGCTCATAGCCATCATGATGATTCAACAACGAGTATGCTGACTTGGACGTAGAACCCCCCACCACCTCCCTCATCCACAAAGTCCGGTCGCCTCTTCAAGGGCAGCTTCGGTACGCTGATCCTCGCACCATACTGGATTCCGTAATGCTAATAATATATCTATGCAGGCCATGCCCTTCGTCGCAATGCAGGCGGTGCCTTTGGCCCCGACCTAGCCAAGAAACTCTCCACGCTAGTCAAAATGGAAAAGAACGTGATGCGAAGCTTGGAGACTGTGGCCCGTGAACGAATGGAAGTTGCTGTATGTCCAAGGAATTATACTTACACGGAATGACACCACTGACCTGTATAGCAACAATTGTCTATTTGGGGCGAGGCTGGAGATGAGGACGTTTCCGACGTTACCGACAAACTCGGCGTTCTGCTGTACGAGATTGGTGAGCTCGAGGACCAATACGTCGATCGATACGACCAATACCGAGTTACTATGAAGAGCATCCGTAACATCGAGGCCTCCGTTCAGCCCAGCCGTGACCGTAAGGATTGTCCAGGCTCCTGTTCACATGCATCTACTGACACCGACAACAGGCAAGCAAAAGATTACCGATCAGATTGCCCAGCTCAAGTACAAGGAGCCCAACTCTCCCAAGATTGTTGTTCTCGAGCAGGAGCTCGTTCGAGCTGAGGCCGAGTCCCTCGTTGCAGAGGCCCAGCTTTCCAACATCACACGCGAGAAGGTCAAGGCAGCCTATACTTATCAGTTCGATGCCCTCCGCGAGCATTGTGAGAAGGTTGCCATTATCGCTGGCTATGGAAAGCACCTGCTCGAGCTTATCGACGATACTCCCGTTACACCTGGTGAAACTCGACAGGCTTATGATGGGTATGAGGCTAGCAAGGCCATCATCCAAGACTGTGAGGACGCTCTCACCGCCTGGGTCTCTTCCAACGCCGTCGTCTCTTCCAAGCTTTCCACTCGTGCCCGCACATTGTCCCAGCGACGCCGAAACAACATCCGCACTAGGGGTGAGGGACATGACCTCTCTGGTCAGGACATGCCCCTGAACGATGGTAGTTCCTGGACAGCTCGCGACCGCGACCTCGACAGCGAAGAGGAAGAGGAAGACGAGGATGCCCGTGGTTCCATTCTCGACAGCGATGGTGGCCTGAACGGCGAATCTCGTGGACGCCCACAGGAAGCTGTTGTCGCATAGAACGTGCTCATGATCGATGTGGCAAAGTGAATATTGGAGATGAAGTAATTACAGGAACGCGATCTTGGTTGTACAAGGTGTTGATGGTAACTTAATGCTGGAGGTTGCAAAAGGGCTGTTCTGTTTGGGTACAATAACTTTCTTTCGCGATAGCCTTAGTGTACTTTTAACGATTAATATTATATTTGTATTCGTTATCATCACATGAAACTACCATCCCGCACCTGACTGGCGAACTGCTCAACTTCCATCTTAGCAATGTGATGGCCTGGTATGACCACTAAACCCAAGTAGCGAGACGTCATGTCAACTTTAACAGATGCCCCGTCTGCTTCCTCGAGTGCCTTTGCACGTTCCCTGGATGATGGCTGACGGTACTCATACGTATAAGCCAGGATAATATTTCTATCCTTCAGGTTATTCGTTAGTAGGCAGTTCATCGATGGGCCTTCTTCACGAGAGGCTACACGGTATTGAGAGGCAAAGACTCACAGGGTCGGCGCATTTTAGCGAACCCCAGAACAACCGGCCATCCGATGTGTATACTCGAAGGTTCTTGTTCAATATTGTCGCGAGATATTGCCGAGCCGTATCCGGGTTCATTTTGGCTCTGGGAATGGCTTGATAACCCGATCAAGATTGCGAGGACTGCCTTAGATGGGAGCGTGGGGAATGTTAGGCTCATTGACTTGGGAGGACAGAAAATGGGTATTTTGGGGCGTAACAATAATCCGCTCCTACAGGGTGACTGGGTTTAAGGGCTGTTTTGGTTTTTAGGAGGATTGCTAACAGTAAACAGAAAATTCTTGTCAACATTTTATGAATTGTGTTTATATATTGGACAACTTGAAGCACGTAATGGTTGTTTTAATTATCCATACCAAGAATATAGAGGAATGTCTGTTCAACAGGTACTTGACAGATATATATATATATACACTAGAGAGAGAGAGAGAGAGAGAGAGAGAGAGAGGTCCATTATCGAGAATGGGTATAAGGTATGGAACTTCTGCTACAGGGGAAGGATGGACGCTAAAGCCCGCGGATTAGCGGCGGTAGCCCCACGCTGACGTTATTCACTTGCAGTCCGTTCCGCAGGCAGACGTGAATTCTATCATCATCCTTTGCGCGAAACAATGTTGAAGTCTACTCACTCTTCCCTCTAACAATTGGCTGCACACAAGCTGGACTGTTAACTCATATTAACCTCAGTCAGAACATGACCATTAATTTCACCGAACGAGGGCGCATCCCTTGAGTATAAGGCCTTGTGCCTCCGGACACCACGGGCTCTATTAATTCACGGTCATAATCCATCATGGGTGTGAACGGCCTCTGGACGGTCGTGCAACCATGCGCTCGACCGACAAACCTAGCAACTCTCAATCGTAAGCGGCTTGCAGTAGATGCCTCGATTTGGATCTACCAATTTCTCAAAGCTGTACGCGACAAGGAGGGAAATGCTTTGCGCAATTCCCATGTCGTTGGTTTCTTTCGTCGCATATGCAAACTCCTATGGTTCGGTATTCAACCAGTTTTTGTCTTTGATGGCGGTGCCCCTGTACTCAAGCGACAGACTATCCAACATCGAAAGCGAAGGCGTGAAGGTCGTCGCGAAGATGCTGCTCGAACCGCTGGCAAGCTCTTGGCGGTACAGATGCAGCGAATCGCGGAAGAGGACCAAGATCGCAGGCGAAGGGACCGAGAACGCGATATATCAGCCAGGGAGGAGGAGCAACAGGAGGTGATTCCTGAAGCTAGCCAGCTCGTCTACGACGATGAGGCTCTCATGTCACAGCAGGAACGACAGAAGGGAAGGACATTCCGAAGACAAGATGCCTACCACCTACCTGACCTCGATGGAGGTGGTATCGCAGCAATGGGGAAGCCCGAGGATCCGCGAATCATGAGTGTAGAGGAGCTGGAGGAATACGCGCGACAGTTTCACGAAGGAGAGGACATCAATCTTTACGACTTTAGCAAGATCGATTTTGATGGCGAGTTTTTCAAAAGTCTTCCCGCCGCCGATCGATACAATATTCTTAATGCAGCGAGGCTCCGAAGTCGACTGAGAATGGGCCTTAGTAAGGAACAACTGGAAGAAATGTTCCCAGATCGCATGGCATTCTCCAAATTTCAAATCGACAGAGTCAAGGAGCGCAACCACCTTACTCAACGTCTTATGTACGAAGTGGGCATGACTGGTACCGACCTCACTCTTGGAGTCAATGCAAGAGTTGCCGGCGAAAAGAACCGCGAGTACATCCTCGTGAAGAATGATGGTGCAGAAGGAGGATGGGCACTGGGTGTGGTTAGCAGGGATAAGGATGTTGGAGAAGCACATAAACCTATTGACGTGGACGCCATCCAAGTTCAATACCAGTCCAAAGAAGACGAAGAAGACGAGGATGAGGACTTCGAGGACGTCCCTATTGAAGGTCTCAATCGATTACCAAAGCCCTCTGCCTCGCAAATAGCTAGCTATCAAGAAGCTCAAGACGCAGCGACACGACGTCGACAATTTCACTGTGGCCATCGGAAAGAGTCAACAGAACGGGAAGAGGGATCGCTCTTTGTCGGTGGTAATGTCGAAAGCACAGATACTTTATTACAGGAACCGCCCGAAGACCCGCTTCAAGCTGATGAGGAGGATGATCTCAATCGCGCAATCGCCATGTCGCTCCAAAAACAGCATGGGGTTGAACTAGAACCAGAAAAAGACGAAGATTTCGAAGATGTCCCTGCCGAAGCACCAAAATGGACACAAAAGTCTGTTGAGTCACAAAAGCCTATCACAGCCAAGGGAGGCTCTATGATCGCTCATATCGTCAACAACCGAGCAAGCGCTGCTGTGCCTAAGCGACAAGAGCGTGGTGCCGCTGCCGATAGTGATAGTGATGAGGATATGCAGACGGTGCTCGCAAAGGCAAGGATGCAGAAGAAGCCGCAGCCGAAACCCAAAGCAACGTTCGTGCCTGTTATTGAAAACAAGAAGAATCCATTTGACGGCCCATTGCCATTTGCTAAACTTGATTGGCGCTCTTCTGTATTTAGAAAGAAGAAGACTGAGGTGGCCGGACCAAGCAAGAAAGCCGAGGTCACAGATGAAGCCCCAGTTCCGAAGAATGATGAAGAGGACGACATGGCTGGTGGTTTTGAGAGAGAGCTAGTGGACGAGAACGCACCCAAACCCTTACCACCGTGGATGGTAGATGACACAGATATCCGAGAGTCGCTCAAGAAGCAAAATGATGCAGAACGTGAGATCAACAACGCAGACAGGCTGGCGGCTGAGGAAGAGCAGAGACTTTATCGTCGGAACATGCAGGACCAGCTGATTCATATTGACTCCTCATCAGACGATGACAGCGACATTGAGGTCCTCGACAAAGCTCCACCACCCAAGGTGTCTCCAAAGGAGATGAATATTGCTGAAGTTGACGAGCCTGAAGCCACCAAGAAAGCTTCACCCCAGTCTGAAAAACCAGAACTTATTTCAGAAAAGGCCCCAGAGGAAACCATGGAGCGCACGTCTCTGCCTGAGGTCGAAGTGCTTGCAGACCGCACTCTGGTAGACTCAGTTCACCTTCCGGTGCAAGAAACAAGGGATCAATCCGAGAGATCAGAGTCACCTGAACCGGAATTCGAGGACGTGGTGCCTACGAATGCAATGACTGAAGTCGCAGCAGAAAAAAGCCCTACGCCCATATTTAAGGAGCTTTCTTCTATTGGCGTACCCTTAGCAAATGAGGGAGCCCAGCAGCCTGATCTTGAAGAAGACGATGGCCTCTTTGACGACATAGAGTATGACGAATTCAGTGACCCTGGTGATGAGGAGCTCTTGGCATCACTGGCCGAGGAATCTGAAGAGCATGCCCGTTTCGCTAGCGAGCTGAACAACAAGACGGCTGAGCAGAACAAAGAGGACTATGAAAGAGAATTACGTGCCCTTCGAACTCAACAGAAGAAAGACCGTCGAGATGCCGATGAGGTGACCCAAGTCATGATCACAGAGTGTCAAGCTCTGCTCCGATTGTTCGGCATCCCTTATATCACGGCTCCCATGGAAGCTGAAGCACAATGTGCCGAGCTGGTCAAGCTTGGGCTAGTCGATGGCATTGTGACGGATGATTCAGATACCTTCTTGTTTGGCGGCACACGAGTCTACAAAAATATGTTCAACAGCAACAAATTTGTAGAGTGTTACCTGATGAACGACATTGAGAACGAGTTATCCTTGGCACGCGACCAACTTATCTCGCTTGCTCATCTGCTTGGCTCTGATTACACCGAAGGGCTACCTGGAGTAGGTCCAGTTACAGCAGTAGAGATCCTCTCCGAGTTCCCTGGTAAATCTGGGCTGGAGAACTTTCGCGAATGGTGGAAATCAGTGCAGTCACAAACACGGCCTAAGGATGCCGATGTTTCGACTCCCTTCCGCAAGAAGTTTCGCAAATCACAAGGCACTAAGCTCTTTCTACAGCCGGGCTTCCCTAGCCCCGCTGTTTACGATGCTTACCTTCACCCAGAGGTTGATGACAGCAATGAAAACTTTCAGTGGGGTGTGCCGGACGTGGAGGGGCTACGGCAATTTTTGATGGCTACCATTGGTTGGAGTAAGGAGCGTACAGACGAAGTGCTTGTGCCGGTTATCAAAGACATGAACAAGCGAGACCGTGAAGGTACGCAGAGCAACATCACCAGGTTCTTCGGAGGCAGTGTCGGAGCTGGAGCCAAGGATATGTTCGCGCCGAGGCAGAGAACGCAGGGTAGCAAACGCATGACGGCTGCGGTAGATCGTCTACGAGCGAATGTTGCAGGCGAGGAGCTACAGAGCTCTGCAAACGGTGGAGGGAAGCGAAAGAGGGGATCGAGAAGGAACGCAACTAGGGCAGCAGAAGTCGAAGAAGATGGCGAGGAAGATGACGAACAGGAAGGGGAGCAAACTACAAGCAAGGGTCGTGGAAAGAGAGCGAAGGCTTCATAAGTTTTAGAATTGGAGCTTTCTTCAAGGAAATGGCTGGATCATTTTTAGAAGGGTACATTGGTTATGTTCCAGACTTGTAATAATCCCTGCATATCAATGAACATGTAGTAGTAAAGAAACCGATATGTTTTCTGATGTTTTTGCAAAGAAGCATGATAAACAGGATAGTTTGCAGAAACAACCCCTTCCTTGACATCATGAAATGAAGTTATGATGGCGATGGAAATAACTCGGGCTTGCTATTAGCCATGACGGCGCGGACGTCATCCGAGAGGCGCCGTTGTTCAATTAGGCACTAAAGTGGAGGTTAAACCCCGGCAGAAAAGGCAACACGCAGCTCACGTGCCATCTATCAGGCATTGGTTTGGTATTTGCGAAAGGTACAAACTACGCCTCACCCAAAAGTAACAATTTGTCACCTCGTTTGAACATCTTTCTCTTCAGTGGTTCTTTGTCTTTGTTACACTTCTAATTTCTCCTCCGCGCGCGCGCAAAAATCAAAAACAGGAAAAATCGCAAAAATGCCCATGGACGAACGTGAACTCGGGCAGCGCGTCAAGGCGCTCACAAAGTGCGTTGCTGCGAATGAGCCTCCGGAGAACGCCATCAAGCTGCTCGAGACACTTAAGAAGGATGCGTCTCCTACCGAAGAGATGCTAAGGGTACGTCAAATAATTACCAGGGAAGAGATGGAGAACGCAGGATATACAGGCGCTCTGAGTATATAGACATATTGCCAGCTTTGCGCAAAATGCATGATCGCATTCTGCGCTTCGGCTATTCATCATAAAGTTGATGACATGTTATCTAACCTACGGATCTCGTTTTCTCGATTCGATTTGGAACCTTTACTAATACTGTGATTTCGCACTTATAGGCAACAAGAGCTGGTGTGTTTGTTGGCAAACTTCGTTCAAATCCGAACAAAGAGATCGCACGTGCGGCCGCCGAACTCGTGAGCAAGTGGAAGAAACTTGTCGAACAGGAGAAGAGCTCGAAACTCCAAAAGTCAAAGGTGGGATCGGGATCCCCAGCACCAGCTCCCGCACCGGCTCCCACATCGTCTCCCGCGCCTCCTCCATCGTCCTCTGGAAACCCCGGAGCTAAGTACAAGGGTGATATCGAGAAGCGCAAGTACGAAACCGACAACGTCAACGTCAAGCGAACCGACTCGGCCGTCCGAAACTCATGCATTGGTCTTATCTACAACGGCCTGGCGTACCGATCAACAACATCCGAGAACGACGTCGTTAACAAAGCCGTCTCTGTCGAAAATGCCGCCTTTGTTAAGTTCAAGGGCGAGACACCCGACTACAAGAAGAAGATTCGATCGCTTTTCACCAACCTCAAGAACAAGTCCAACCGAGAACTCGGAAAGAGCGTCTTGTCTGGGGAGATTTCTCCGGAAAAGTTTGTCGTCATGTCTGACGATGAGCTCAAGAGTGAGGAGCAGCGCAAGAAGGAGCTCGAGCTGGAGAAGGAGAACATGAAGATGGCCCAGGTGCCTCAGGAACAGAAGAGTATCAGCGAGAGTCTGGAGTGCGGCAAATGCAAGAAGAAGCAGGTTAGCTACACGCAAGCGCAGACCCGAGCTGCTGATGAACCGATGACTACTTTCTGCGAGTGCATGGCTTGCGGAAACCGATGGAAGGTATGCATTTTGAAGTATCCAAAAATGATTGATCGCGAAGCTAACATATTTGACAGTTCTCTTAATGAGACAGCAAATAGTAGGAACAGAGCAGCGGCGTTTCTTTTTGCGCAGAAGAGCATCTGCAACATCAATGGGAGAAGGTAAAGGAGTTTACGGGAACTGGAGCGGCGACTCAAGACAAAACACGTTTAATAATACCAGACGAAGGAAAGATGATGGGCGCTTTATACCTTTCGTTTTCATATTAAACCTTTTTTTTTCCAGGACTAGAGATCAGGAGAGTGGATGTCAAGTTTGGTGAATAGAATTCCCTCAATGCTCGCTACAGACATTTCTATTTTGCCAAGTGCCATTATACATATACACATACACATACGGTTCGTTCATTCTTTTGTTTCTCACAGATCATGCCTTATGATCGGGTATGCCTAGCTCGGTAAACAGATTAGTCGCCTCCTCTTCGTTCTCAATTCCCATCTCCTTGATGTGCTTCCAGAACTTGCTAAGATGTCTTGTTCCGGAATCGCAAAGAATTGTCACGACACGGCTTCCCTTGGGCAGTCTCATAGCTGTTTCGACGGCGGCGACACAGTTGACGGAACTGCTGCTGCCAACAAAGATACCGTCGTGCTCGACTAGCCAGCGCGCCATGCGACAAGCTTGCTCATCTGTCACCCGCACAGCATCATCGATGAGTTCACGGCCAGCCTCAAAGTTCTCTGTCAAACGTGTGATGCCAATACCTTCGACCATGGTGTCAACCTGCTGCCTACGACGAGTACCCTCGCGCTCCGTAGAGGAGTACATAACACCATGGCGAACCTTGTTGTAAAGACCGCTGCCCTGAGGGTCGGCGAGCACAACTTTGATATCCGACTTCTCCTTCTCTTCTTTGAGATACTTTGCGACGCCTGATACTGTTCCTCCTGTGCCTGCACCCGCGACAAAAGCGTCCAGTTCACCATTTGTCTGCTCCCAAATCTCAGGACCCGTGGTGTTGAAATGCGCTTTCCAGTTTGCTTCGGACTCGAACTGATTCGCAAAGAAACCCTTGCTGCCATCGTTAGCCTTGCCGGCGTGTTCCTCCGCTCGTCGTCGTGCAAGGTTAACGAAATGATCAGGGCTAGTGATAGGCGCAGGCGTAACTCGCTCGACGGCTGCGCCAAGATGAAGCAGCAGATCGGATTTCTCAAGAGCCATGTCACTGGGCATGCAGATGTGAGCCCTGTAACCCACGGCTCGCGCAAGAGTTGCCAGCGATATACCTGTGCTTCCGACTGTTCCTTCATAAATAGTATCTCCCCTGTGTGGTGTAAGAAGCCCTTGAGCTTCTGCCTCACGGATCATGTTAAGCGCCACACGATCTTTGGGCGAGTTTCCAGCGCCATTGAGGAACTCTGCCTTGGCCATGATAGTCCGACCTGTAGCTTCAGATAACGACTGTATTTTGATAAGAGGCGTGTTGCCGATGGTGGCCTCTATTCCGTCAGCCAGGCCATTTCGTGCCCCATCGTAGAAAGTTGGCGACGAAGGTAGAGATTCGTGATCTTCGAGTTCCACAGGATCACCCCAGAAGACACTAGATCTTCTCCCACCGCCTGTATTCGCGCGCCTTTTACGCTGGAACCGCCGCTCAAGATCCGGGTAAAAGTCCTTAAAGCCCAAAGTGACGAGGATACCGGTTGTGAAAGCAAAAGCAACGGCAGCAGAGCCGTAAGCTTTGGGATGGTCGCTGAGCGCCATTTTTTATAGGGCGAGATTTAGATTTTTACCCAAATCCAAGATTAATTGGGGGTTTTCCGAAGAATTAGAAAGCCTGCATTATTGGTAGAAATGAGGTCGAAAGTGAAGCTTTGAAGGCTTGTCTTGGCTGTAGTTGAGCTGAAAGCTATGATGAACAGGTCGAATTGAGATGAACCCTGGTGTGTGCGTGATGTCATGTGGAGCTTCCAGTATAAGCGTCTAAGTTCAAGCCTGTATACAGCCAAGCTACCAGGACATGGTTTGGCGTCATGATAGATAATTAACTGTACAAGAGGTTGAAGAGGTTAGTTTATATTTCAGTCGAGTCTTTCTCTTCTTTAAGATTTTCAACAATAAATTACAGACTCTAACAGTGTTGTCTAGATACCTAGGTCATCAAACTCGTGACCGTTTCAAGCATATCAGTCTTCGTATATGAAAGATCTTGACTGCTGTCAACGTGTTGGACTACAGTAATTTAAAAATGTATTCTAATTACTCGAATAGGAAAGCTTGCACACGATCACTTATAGACATCAAAATGTCTCTGGTGATTTATCAACGCTTTTCTGCTCAACCCGAGGAACACCCGATGAATCAAAGACCCACCTCATCCAATGTAAACCATCTCAATCACCAAATTCAATTCACCAAAGAGGACAGTCATGTTCACTATATCCTAGGGGAAAACTCAACATGGATTCCCCAATCGTGGCCCAACTTTTTCGACAGCTCTTCCACCATCGTCCTCCGGGCTGCAAGGGCATCAGGAACCTCCCCCGCCTTCGCAATGGCCTCCGAACTACTGCTATCGTCGGCCATGGCCAGAGCCGCTTCTACGTTGCGGGACGGCCCTCTAGTGATCGTGGAATGAAGAAGAACGAGAGTCGATGGCAGCAACGGACGAATATCTTGCCCCAGGATCGATCTGCAGAGTTCGCAGAGTACCCTTATATATCTGCGGCGGAGCTCAAAGAACGAACAGAACGGCCACGCAAGGTCAAGATGCTGCTAAGAGACTTTATTGACGGCAAGCTACTCTTACCCAAGCGGTTTCTTTCGACGCCGGGATGAAAACTAACCCTAGCTGCAGACAGTCTTTACAACCCTTCCTATGGCTACTTCTCCAAACAGGCCGTCATTTTCAGTCCTGGCGAGCCCTTTGACTTCAACTCGATGCACGACGAGATCGAGTTCCAATCCGAGCTAGGCCGCCGATATACCGAATTCGAGGACATACTCGACGACCGCGAGGGCGAGAATCCAACACGCCAGCTGTGGCACACACCCACCGAGCTCTTCCGTCCTTACTACGGCGAAGCCATCGCCCGCTACCTTGTCGCCAACTACCGCCTTGGCACATACCCTTACGATGATCTTCTTATCTATGAGATGGGTGCCGGTCGCGGAACCCTCATGCTCAACATCCTCGACTACATCCGCGAAGTCGACCCCCAGGTGTATGCTCGTACTAAGTTCAACATCATCGAGATTTCATCTACCCTCGCCGCTCTCCAGAACAGACATCTTTTGTCGACGGCTGCGTCCCGGGGCCACGCAGACAAGGTCGAGATCATCAATCGCTCTATTTTCGACTGGGATCATTACGTCCCTTCGCCATGCTTCTTTCTCGCCATGGAAGTCTTCGATAACTTTTCTCACGACGGTATTCGCTACGACATCACCACCGAGCAACCCCTGCAGGGCCACGTGCTGATCGACAGCGATGGTGACTTTTATGAGTTCTACTCGAGAGAACTGGATCCTCTTGTAGCACGATACTTCCGAGTTCGTCACGCTGCAACGGCAGGAAACTATCCCAAGCCGTACCCCAGCAATGCGGTTCTGCGCTACATCTCCAGCAAGATGCCCTTCGCTGCCAATCTTTCCGATCCCGAGTTCATCCCCACTCGGCTCATGCAGTTCTTCGACGTTCTCGAAAAGTACTTCCCACGCCACCGTCTTGTGACGTCTGACTTTGACTGGCTACCTCAAGCTGTCAAGGGAATGAATGCGCCTGTTGTTCAGACAAGGTACCACAGAAGGATGGTGCCCGTCACGACACCTTTAGTAAGTTCTCTTCTCACCAAACCGATATATAGAGTCAATATGCTAATAATTTCTAGGTTCACCAAGGCTATTTTGACATTCTGTTCCCTACAGACTTCCAAACCACGGAAGCCATCTACCGTGCCATCACGGGTAAGCTTTCCCGTGTTACGTCGCATGGCGATTTCATGCGCAAGTGGGCGTATGTTGAGGACACAGAGACTCGAAGCGGAGAGAACCCCTTGATATCCAACTACCGCAATGCCAGTGTTCTTGTAACCGTGTAGAATTAGTCATGTACAAAAGCAAAAGGACGACGACAAACATGCGTCCCAGATATTTTAAATGTATAAAAACACAGCATATACCCTCACATGGAATGTACATTCGTGACTCTCAATGGCAGTTTCTTTTAGACGTACTGTCCTCTTATGGCAATGGAAAATATCTATGCCTACTAAAACCGCTTTATATCATTCCGTTTTATCTGACCCGATACCCACCCATATTACTCCTGTATGATTGAAAAAAAAGATATCAACATGTTCGCCCCCCTGAGAGTGGCTGACATACTCATATATCTCATTGAGTAGAGTAAACACATTTCTTATTTTTTATTTTACAACTTCAGTTTCTCATCGAGCCACTTTGTCGCGGTCTCGACACCTTCGTCAAGGTTCTCTGGCTTGGTGCCCTGGCCTTGTCGTGTAGGCTCCTTACCACCGGAGCGACCGCCAATGACCTCGGACACAGAAGCAGCCCATTGTTCGGCAGTGACACCTTGGGAGGCAAGATGCTGGGAAACAGTTAGACAAAATACTCATGCAATCACGTTCAGGGAGACTTACAGTTCCGACGTAGACACCGTGGGCAACAGCGCCCTCCTCCTTGCTGCCACCAAAGACATAGACAGTCTTCTCCTTATCCTTACCCTGGTAGTGCTTGACCACTTCCATCAGAGCCTTTGAGGTGGCGCCAACGGGCAGACGGCCAACAAACCACTTGGCATCCTTGTTGCTATCAAAGTGCTTCTTGACAGTGTCAAGCGCAGTTTTGGACTCGGCCTTCTGGCGCTTCTTTTGCTCGGCAGTGACAGCCGCGTTGATCTTCTGGTAGCGCTTGTTGAAGTCATCCTTTGTCAAGGTTGAGATGGTCAACTGGCTGAGCTCCACACTGACGGCCTTCATCTGGGCCTCCTTCTCGGGGCCGAAAGGCAGCTGGTCAAGAGCATCGATCTTCTTGGAGAACTCATCAGCTTCACGCTGAACTTGGTGCGCAGCCTCGCCAGTGTAGGCGATTATACGACGAATACCCTTGGCAATACCGCTCTCCTCAATGAGGATAAGGTCCTTAATCAAACCAGTCTGCTCGACGTGGGTACCACCACAGAACTCAACACTGTACTGGCGCCACTCAGGCTTCTTGGGATCAGCAAGCATCTCATCGATATCCTTGCCAATAGAGACAACACGGACGGGATCAGGGTAGGTCTCGCCAAAGACAGCACGGCATCCTTCAATCTGGCGAGCCTTCTCCAAGTCGACCTCCTTGGAGTAGATCTTTTGGCCGCGACGAATGTACTCATTGGACATCCCCTCGATCTTCTTCAGCTCCTCAATCTTGACACCAGTCTTGTGAGAGAAATCGAAACGGAGCTTCTCACTGTCAACTAGGGAACCTTTCTGGTTGACCTCGTCACCGAGAACCTCTCGCAGGGAGTGGTTGAGGATGTGAGTTCCGCTGTGGTTGTTGCGAATGGGCGATCGGCGCAACTCATCGTACTCGCAGATGACCTTGTCTCCGGAAGACAAGGCACCGTACTCGATGTATCCGTTGTGGAGGACGTATCCACCATAGTTCTGGACATCAAGCACCTTGAACTCGGCAACATCGTCAATGACAATACGCCCAGTATCGGCGACTTGACCACCGGACTCGGCGTAGAAGTTGGTCTTGTCGATCAGGAGACCAAGAGCAGTCTTCTCAGGGACGTCCTTGGTTGACTTGAGGAAGGACTTGCCATCGTAAATAAGCTGGACTTGAGCATTGCTGTCGCCCTGAAGAAACTTGGCGTCATCGTTGGTTCGCTCAACCTTAAGGTCCTTCTCAAGCTCAGAGATCTGGTGGACGTTGAGCTTGGCAAAAGTCTGGACAGACTCCTTGACTGCCTTACTGGCCTCACGGGCCTTATCTTGGGCAGCCTTGACCTCCTCGTCATCAATCTCGAGGTTGCGCTCCTCGGCCATCAGACGAGTAAGATCAACAGGGAAACCAAAAGTGTCGTAAAGTCGCCAGACAACGTCTCCCTTGAGCTTCTTGGCGCCGTCCTTGGTAGCCTCAGCAGCATACTTCTCAAACTGAGCCTCACCACGATCCAGAGTCTTGGCAAAGGCAACTTCCTCCTCGTCAAGGATCTCCTTGATGTCTTGCTGCTTCTTGACGAGCTCGGGGAATTGCTCTCCCATCTGATCGACGAGAGCAGGCAGGATCTTGGAGAAGAAAGCACCGATATCGGCGTTGAAGTACTTTCGGGCATATCGAACGCCTCGTCTCAACACACGTCTAATAACGTAACCTCGACCATCGTTGTTAGGAACAGCACCATCAGCGATGGAGAAAGAGAGGGTTCGGATGTGATCAGCGACTACACGGTAGGCAGTGTCAATGCCATCAACATCATCTTTACCGTACTTGTCAGTGTAGGGTCGGGCACCGGTGACCTCCTGAATCTTCTTGAAAAGAGGGGTGAAGCAATCGGTGGCGTAGTTTGAGACAGTGTCCTGAAGAGCAGAAACGAGACGCTCGTAGCCCATACCAGTGTCGATGTGCTTGGCAGGCAGAGACTTGAGACTGCCATCCTTTTGACGGTCATATTGCATGAAAACGTTATTCCAAACCTCGACAACCATAGGGTCATCCATGTTAACGAGGTCCGAGGCGTTTCTGCCACCAATCTTGTCGTAGTGGATTTCACTACAAGGACCACAAGGACCTTGGTCACCCATCTCCCAGAAGTTATCCTTCATGTTTCCAGGAAGGATATGGTCCTCAGGGACACCAACTGAGATCCAAAGCTCCTTGGCCTCCAGATCAGGCTCCAGCTTCAACTTCTCATCACCCTCAAAGTATGTGACATACAATCGAGAAGGGTCTAGACCGTAGACCTTGGTGAGGAGCTCCCAAGAATATGAAATAGCCTCCTTCTTGAAGTAGTCGCCGAAAGACCAATTACCCAACATCTCGAAGAATGTGTGATGATAGCTATCCTTGCCAACATCGTCGAGATCGTTGTGTTTGCCACCAGCTCGGATGCACTTCTGCGAATCGACGGCAGCCTTCAGGCTGGCCATAGGATCGGTCTTGCCAACGGTGCCGAGGAAGATGGGCTTGAACTGGTTCATTCCCGCGTTGGTGAAGAGTAGAGTGGGATCATTGTGAGGGACGACTGATGAAGAGGGGACTATAAAGAGAAGTCTTGTTAGCAAGTGTCGAGTCGGATGAGAGAAAGTTGAAGTAGATTGCAGTCTTCAAGTCTCAATCATTGTACCCCGAAACGGGGTCGCGCAGCCTTAGCTGTAGGACGGAAAATAGAAAACAAACAAAACAGAATCTCAACAAGAGATTGAACACATTTCCATCTTCTCTCGAGGTGGCAGAGCGTGGTGCCCGCACTATCGCATCGCTCGCATACCTATTGTGTGGCCCCTCTTCGCAAAGTAGTCAAAAAAGGTCTGACGCACTTTGGCCGCGGGCCACTTGAGCTCCGACTCGGCCATGTTCGCGCTGGAATAATACAGACGAAGGACAAAAAAGGGAAACCTCTTGTTAGTCGTAGTCTTGAGGAAATTCCGCGCGGGGGTAATAATCGTTGCCGGTCGTAGAGGAGGAATTGTAGTGGTGGTGGGGGTTCCTGGTTGAAGATTGCGGAGGAGAAGTTGATGCTGCCGGGGTTTGAATTGGAGATGGAGTGGCGTAGACGCAACCGTAGGCGGAGGCGGACGAGAGTAGAAAGTTCTACAAGAATGAGTCAAGACCGGCACGGATACATAAGGCCCGCCCTCGCCCACGCCCGTACTCGGCCTGTTAAAGCAACTGGACCTCAAGCTCCGGGGCAAACAGCGCCGACTCCAACGCCCGTAGCCGCTATCGCAACCACTGAATCTCCAATTCCCACCCCTAGTAGCAGTCAAGCTGACTGGACTCCCGCGATTGATACACGCCCACATCGGATGGAATCGCAACGAAACACAACGTCTTGAGCCTGTAACTATCAATCTCCAAAGAAAAGGAACACGTTACGCAAAGTCAATTCTGACAAAGTTCATCCTGACTACGCGTGACCGTGTCGCCTGTGTCCCTCTCGAGTCGTTGATTCGACGTTTGACAGGTGTTGAAGGATTAAAAGTTCACCTTTCCAGACTTAGAACTGTGGAATTGACCACTATACTGGGTCGCAATCATGCTACAGTCCCCCTCATCCGTCCCGACTGTTGCGACTGCTGCCGAGACCGTCGATAAATCGAAACGATTACGTCGAAAAAGAAAGGCGGACACTCAGGATAATGAACGACTTTCTAAGCGCTTGAGTCTGCTCAATCTTGGTACGCATTTTCGTTCGAAAAATCACCATTTTCTAGGTCAACCACTAATACATGTCGTGCTTATAGAGCAGGGCGGTAACAAGCTCTATGTCCCCGTCGAAGAACCAACAGCTTCAGTACCTCCCATTCCTACATCTTTGTCTCATGCTCCCAATGTCCCCACGGATCTACCAAACCCCGACGAAACAATGCAATTAGATGATTCGAAACACAAAGTATACATTTACAACATCGACGACGAACTCTCTTCCGATAGTGAAACCGATGACCCTGGCAAACTTGTCTTCCTTCCCGACATCGAAAAGCACTTGCGCGCAAACCGCATCCCCCCATCTGTGTTAGCCAACAGCGACGGTGAGCTGGCTGGCATGCAGGTCGTTCTCTATAGCGATCCCAAGTCTTTAACGGTTCCCGAGGATAAGGACAGTGTTCGCAAGGCCATTATCGAGTCGAGACAACGCACAAGGGAGCAGCAACGTTTAGAAAGAGAGGGGAAGGCAGACACTCCAGCGATACAATGCAATACCGTGAGTAATGATATGATGACAGGTACAGACGACCCAGACGCAATGGATTTGGACTAGACGAATAGCGAACCGATATAACAGAACATAAGTATATACCCAAGGCGATTGGAGTTTAGCCATTTGTCGAATTAGCAAGCAGAAATTGGCACACTATAGCGAATGCCAGACTCATGCAATTACTTGTATTTCTATGCTAAGATAGCTTGCCTTGATAAGAGTTTCAATTTGATGCTTTCTTTCCCACGGGTCGCTCAGCAACTGCCATATAAGTGTTTGAATCTAGTGATTGACCTCTACCCATGCATGTACCCTTCTCTACTCAGCCCTTTCCAGCACTATTAACTTCGTTCATCGTGGAGGCGGAGGCCCAGCAGGAGGCGCATAAAAGTCTGCAGGTCCATCCTCACGTCTCTGCTGCCCTTGCGAAGGATCGATCTTGGCGCCGTTGGGGGATTCATCGTACATAGGCGGTCGTGACGGGTCGTAGACTGGTGGAGGAGGCATGTTGTTCATGGCATATCCGCCAGGCTGACCATGATAGCCATTTGGTGGAGCGTAGTAGTATGTGTTCGGTGGATAGGCGTATCGGGGATCAACCTGAGCCATCATGCTCCTACTAACGAAACACTAGCAAGGTTGTTAGAAAATCAGCTGGCGAGAGACCGGCGCATCGCATGTGCAACTTACTCGGTGATATGCCAACGGTCGCAAACCCTTTTGAATCCTTTTCTTTGCATGCCAGTATCCTCCAACGATCCAGAGTGTGAATAGAAGAACAATGACGGCGAGGATAGTCCATTTGACAATGTATCCTTCCTATGACCCAGTTAGTCCTGAGGTCTCCGTGAGATGCGTGATCATTCCTTACTCTACTGTACCACCAATAGATATCGTCGTCGTCGCTGTTTGTAGAATCCCACTGGTAGCTGTCCTCATTTTCGTCTCTGCGCGCCAGCGCATGTCTCACGAAAGTTGCCATATTGGCGATGAGGGGATTGAACTCTCAAAAAACAAGAGCCAATGTTGTTGTTGTTGTTAAGATGGGTGGGCTGAGCACGAGGTGTAGGTGAATTCGGGTTGTTTAGCGGAGATGCCAAGGTACCCTGAAATGCGTAAACAACTTCTCGAGTGCAGGGATGAATGGTGAATATCAGCGTCAGCGAGAAGGAATGGCCCCCAGCGGAAAAGAAAGTAAATGTCAGAAAGACAGAAAGGCTCAAGGAAAGTGTAATAGGATAGGATAGGTAGGTAGGTATGATGAGAGATTCAACAAAAGAAGGGTCTTTGTTCAGATCAAATGCAAGAGCCGTTACATATAAATAGCATTTCCTTCCCTTTCGGTTTCCCCTTCACGCAGGCGCATAAACCAAGTGCACAAAGACCAGAGAGGGGGCAATCGCCTTTATGCTGCGCGACGATCTCTGCAGCAGGTTACGTTACCCTCGTTTCACACGCCAGGAGTGGCAGGGTTGTGTCACGTCCAGCGGCTACCAGCCTAAGACAAGCCACTGAGTCGACATTCACAACACCCTCTTTGTCTGTTACAAGTTTATCTTTGCTCTGTTAGGAGAAGGGTCGTTGAGAAAAGAGACGCCACAGCTTACTTCTAGATGTTTTCTTGAAGTTAACCTGGTACTTTCTGATGATGCTGCAGAATGGAGAATTGGAACGTGGGATAAGCATAATATAGAGTTCATACCATACTATCTGAATTGATTCAAATACATACTATATCCAATATTGTTCGCAGTGGTATAGATGCTTACCCATGCAACCATAAAGCTATCGGAATTAAAGAGACCAATGCTGCTAAACTTCACTATCAACCTTACGATTTAATTCTTGTTCTTCATTCTCTGAGCGACTCAATTGCTATACATCCTAATTACATTAGTACCTACTACTAATCTAGAGATAGTACTTATAGTTTTATATAGTTGATCGGTCAATAAGAGGTATCCAGTTATGGAACCAACAGCTGAGCTAGGCCCCCACTCCCTAAGCTCAAGCCAACAGCTTCTATAGCAACCTATCTACAATCTCCATAAGATTCTTCTTCCTCCATTCTCTTCTCAATTCTTGACGATGACTTCTGAAACTCTCGTTCCCGATAACTCCACCATTTCTTCACCTCCTGCCAAACGAGCCAAGACCGCCGCCACAATGGAAGCTCCCCCTGCCCTCCAGATCAAGAAGCTCTCTGAGAAGGGCCGTCTTCCTACTCGTGGCAGCGAGTTCGCTGCTGGATACGATATCTACTCTGCCCACGACACAACTATCCCAGCCCGTGGAAAGGCTCTGGTTGATACCGATATTAGCATGGCTGTGCCCGCTGGAACTTGTAAGTAGCGAAAATTACGGTCCCAATTGAGGAGAAAACAAAACAAAGAAAGGCGGTCTAACAGAATGTTTGAACTACAGATGGTCGTATCGCTCCCCGATCAGGCCTCGCCTCCAAGCACTTCATCGACACAGGCGCTGGTGTCATCGATGCCGATTACCGTGGCCAGGTCAAGGTCCTCCTTTTCAACCACAACGAGTCCGACTTTGAGATCAAGGAGGGTGACCGCATTGCCCAACTCATCCTCGAGCGCATCTACACACCCGAGGTTGTCGAGGTCCAGGAGCTCGAGGAGAGTGTCCGAGGTGCTGGCGGCTTCGGAAGCACTGGTTAGAGTAAGAAGATAGAGAATGCCAACTCTTCTTCCGAGTAACATATATTTAATGATTTGGGAGCATGTCTGTAACATGGCAGCATTGACTCGTATTTGGTGGACGGGAACAAAATACCAGGTTAAGCTTCCTGGCCTTCAAATAATAGACAAACAATTAGAGGAGATATTATAATAAGGAAATGCTCTCCCTCTGCAAGGCAGGTTCACCTCGTAATTCATGTACAAGAGGGACACTCTGCTTCGACAGAAGAGACTACTAAAAGATAGGTGTAAGCAGGTCACCAATGTACTCAAGCTGTAGTCATTCTTCTATAATAGATCCAAGTACGCCTTCGCTCCGATGCTATCAGTAAGATAAAAAGAAATACCCCCTAGATTTGATATTCACAAAACTATTCCCCCGGCAGCCCCCCATCCAAACTCAGCACCTGGTGCCTCAGGCCGTGGGTTAGGAGGAAGCCCCTGCTCTCTTCTTCGAGCGTCTTCTGCTTGTTGATGGGCCTGTTGAAGCCGCTGTCGCCACCATAGAAGGAACACAAGTGAAAAGGTGATTCCAATGATCAGAATGCTTTCCACAACACCGTCATCATCAGTGTCCTGTCCATCACCAATAGCACCGTCGTACAAGTCACCGCCATTATAATATTCTTCGTCAAAGACCTGACCCTCGTTCTGCAAGAAGTTTGCAACCCACTCCGAAAATGACCTGTCCTTCTTAGGTTCTGGTTATGTTGTTAGTATATGAGCAAAGTCTATATGTTGCGAATGACTTACTGGGCTCGTCCTGGATGGAGTGGATAGGTCCATGCGTCAAGGTGTTCCAAGCACTTCTGAGACGAAGCTTCAAAAGGCTTAGAGTTACTGGTAAGTATGCTTCCTCGTTCACCTCCAAGGCATGATCGTAGTATCTCTTGGCCAGATGGAAATCTTGGACCAAACCGATGCCATTCTCGTGCATCCATCCGAGGTTGAACAGTGCTTGCGCACTTTGTGAGTAATCGGACGCTCCGGTGTAGCATTGGACAGCCTTTGAGATATCCTCTTCAGTACCAATACCATGGTAGTAATAGTCTCCCATCTTGACCAAGGCATCAACATTGGACTGCCTTGATGATCGAGTCCAGTATACGAGAGCCAGAGTGGGGTTCTGAAGAAGTTTGCTTTTCTCACGAGGCTTTCCAATTAGCGACGATAAGGAGATCGTGTTTTGAACCGAGTCCAACATGTAGGCCACATTGGTTTGCGCCTTTTCATAGCCTTGCTCGGCGGCCAAGAGGTACTCGAGGAATGCAAGTTCGTAATCACCAGCCTCATAGGCGTCATTAGCATCACCCCACGAGGATACCAGTGGTTCTGCCTTCTCGGCAACACTCTTGTAATACGTCAGTGAAGCACCACAGAGCTTCTCTCTTCCAACGCCATGATGGATCATCTCTGCAACGTAGTAGTGTGCCTCTATGTTGCCGTGTCGTCCAGCAAGTTCGAAATAGTTATTAGCGATCCTGACGTCCTCTTGGCCACCTTGGTCAAGGTAAAGCTGCCCCATCTGTACCAAGGCCGGGGCATAGTCCTGATCAGCAGAAGATTTGAACAGATCCATAGCTTTCTTCACATTTTCCTTCGTTCCGTAGCCGTGAAGCATCATCAGACCAAGGCCATGTTGAGACTGGGCATCATTATGACCAACGCCGCGATCAAACCACAGTTTTGCCTTTTCAAAGTTCTGGACAACGCCATCTCCCCTCAAAAACATACGGCCAAGATACCCAGCGGCCTTCCCTGCAATCTTTTCGATGCCGGCCTTGGGATTTTCATGAAGACGTCCGTCCTTCCTCCAGTAGCGAGACGCTACCAGGATAAAGTATTTGCGGGCAAGGTCAACGTCTCGCTCCAAGCCACGCTGGCCGTCGTAGTATATGCGACCAAGATTATAGGAAGCCTTGGAATCGCCCTTCTGAGACATCAAATCCAAATATTCAATCACATCATCTATAGCAGCATTTGCATCGGATCCGGGGCTAGGTTTGAAAGCGTTCATGCCGGAGCTAGATGCACTTGCACCTTCACCATAAATGCCTCCGTCGTTATCAGAGATTCGCCATGACTGGTGAACCCAAGATCGACCACCAGGAGGTCCCGATCGATACCAAGTGATTGCTTTGTCTGCAACACTCTTGTAGTATTTCACGGCTACCTCGCAGTTTTTAGTTGTTCCAATGCCAGCATGATGTCTGAATCCGGTTGCCATTTCTGCGCGAGCATCGCCGCGAATGGCGGCGAAGGTGTAGTATAAAAGCGCTTTGGCTTGGTCGCGATCTACCACGTTACCAAGTCCTGTAGAGTAATAGACTCCGAGCATGTACTGGGCCGTCGTATTCCCAT